TTACTTCTGGTGGCTGGTCTCTCACTTGATAATCTTATCAATGCATCTTTACCAGGAAAGGAAAATTATGGATTAGAGAAAGTATGAAGTACTTCAGAGACTGGTTCTTTGGAACATATTTGCATCTGATATGGAAACGATAACTAATATGTATTTCATGAAGCTTGTGACTCACATTTTTTGCTTCAGGAAAGTAGAGAGAGAGAGAGTTTTCAGAAGAATTTATCTGTTATTATTTACTTGCAGAAGGAACTGTCCTTGATGAGGGATCTTTGATTTCTCACTCACTTGTTTGGAGATGCATTCATTTTATTTTCTATTCCTAGATTTGTTTTCCTCCCAAGAGTCTTTAGCTTGATTTTAAGAATTAGAAATTATACAAGGCTTGTCTGAAAGCCCTCTGAACTCATCAGAAATATTTATATTCCACTAACAGAATTTACTGAATCAGTGGCTGGAAGTATCTCCTTGATTAACTGACAAGTCCTCTGTTCATCACTTAAAGAATATACACCCTTCAAGCCAGTGCAGCAGAGCTGCGTGATGTTCCCTAGTGAAGGTGTAGAATGAGCAAGCATGTACAATTTTCTCTTTCTCCAAGATGAAAGCCTAATGAAAGTTTTTTATAATTTGACACTCAACGTTCAAAGTCTCTAATGTTTTCATTACTGTGCAGCTCTATACCTGTTTTTCCAAATTAATTTAAGAACATTAGTTTAAACTCACAACTCATTCATTTTATCTATATTTATTTTGCTTTTTAAGGGAGCCGTTTCTTCTCCTTCTAATTTTTCTAATTTAGGAGAAATCTGAACTATACTCTCACAAAATTTGGGGTTTTTTTTTGTTCCAAATAGGTTCATCTATTTTTTACTGCATCATAAACTAGATTGTGGTTTTCTGTATCTTGGAGTGATAATGTTACACTTGGCTTTTTCCCCTTGCTTTTTCTCATTCTATTTTTTCTATTTCACACTTGAATGCTGCCTTTCCTACATGGAATATCGCTTTGAGAAAATAAAGCTTCTGAACCTATTAATATTACATAAATTCAAACCAATCAAAAAAGTGGCATCTGCTGCACCCTTTTGGACATTACCAGGACAGCACATTCTCCAGAAAATCCCAAACAATATCAGGTAAGATTACAGCATAGTTTTCATGAACAAAGATGTGGTTTCCATTGTTTCTAAAAGAAAATGGGCATAAAAATATCTCTACTTTTGATTGGTGTAAATCAAATGAGATCCAAGTGTTTTCCAAATGATCTGAATGATCCCAGTGACTTTTCCATGCTATTTAGTAGCAGACATAAAATGTCTTCAGACTTCTGCATCTATGGCATTTGCTGTCTGAGAGCAGAACAAGTAATGCTGTCAGTGGCAGAAAAAGAGAGGTTTGGCTCCACATAGTTCATATCCTCATCATGTCCTCTTCATCTCTTTGTGATATCAAACTAGGAAATCTTCAGGTCCTCCATGCCCTCCTCACCTGCTTCTTCCCATTCATGTCCCCATAATTTCTCTGTGAGGTACTCCTGGGTTCCCTTAGGACAGCCTGTCTTCCACATCCACTTGTAGAAGGTGGATGTTCCTAGGAGAAGAAATCTCGTGGTCACTTGCCATTGTTCTTGTGAGGGACTTTAACCTCCCAGATATCTGCTGGGAACACAAGACAGTGGAGAAGGAACAATCCAGGAGGTTCCTGGAATGTGTGGAGGATAACTTCCTCACACAGCTGGTGAATGAGCCGACAGGGAAGGTGCCCTCCTAGACCTGCTTCTTGTGAACAGGGAAGAGCTTTTGGGGGAGGTAAAGGTTGGAGGCCGTCTAGGGTGCAGTGGTCATGAGATGACTGAGATGAGATGAGATGAGATGAGATGAGATGAGATGAGATGAGATGAGATGAGATGAGATGAGATGAGATGAGATGAGATGAGATGAGATGAGATGATCCTTGGAGAAACAAAGAGAGGGGTTAGTAAAACTGCCACCTTAGACTTCTGCAGGGCTGACTTTGACCTGTTCAAAAGACTGATTAACAAAATCCCTTGGGAGACTGCCTTGAAGGAAATGGGAGTCCAGGAAGGCTGGTCATACTTCAAGAGAGAAGTCTTAAAGGCACAGGAGCAGGCTGTTCCTATGTGCCAAAAAACAAGCAGGAGGGGAAGGAGACCGGCCTGTCTAAACAGGGACCTTTGGCTGGATCTCAAGAACAAAGGGAGAATCTATTGCCTTTGGAAGAGGGGGCAGGTCTCTCATGAAGACTATAAAGTTGTGGTGAAGTTATGAAGGGAGAACATTATGAGAGCCAAGGCACTAACGAGCTCAATTTAGCCACAGCTGTTAAGGATAACAGAAAATGTTTCTATACATTTGTTAATAGCAAAAGGAGGATTAGGGAAAATCTCCCTCCCTTACTGGATGCAGAGGGAAACATGGTAACTAAGGATGAGGAAAAGCTGAGATACTCAGTTACTACTTTGCCTGAGCCTTTAGCAGTGGAACTGTCTGCTCCCTGGACACCAGCCTCATGAGCTGGGAGATGGGGAGGGGAAGCAGAATGAGGTCAGCACAGTTGAAGAGGAGGTGGTCAGAGACCTGCTACAACACTTGGATGGTCTGTGGGACTGGGTGGATTACAACCAAGGGTGCTGAGAGAGTTGGCAGATGTGCTCGCCAAGACGCTGTCCATGATTTACCTGAAGTCATGGCTAACTGGGGAGGTCCTGTTGGACTGGAAGGTGGCAAATGTGACACCCATCTACAAGAGAGGAAGAAAGGGCGATCCAGGAAACTATAGACCTGTCAGTCTGACCTTGGCACCAGGGAAGGTCATAGAGCAGGTCATCTCGAGTGCCTTTAAAAGTCATATAATGGACAACCAGGAGATCAGGCCCAGTCAGCATGGGTTTATGAAAGGCAGGTCCTGCCTGGCAAACCTGATCTCCTTCTATGACAGGGTGACCTGCTTATTGGATGAGGGAAAGGCTGTGGATGTTGTCTACTTTGACTTTAGTAAGGCCTTTGACACTATTTCCCACAGCATTCTCCTGGCAAAACTGGCTGCTTGTGGCTTGGATGGGCACAGACATCGGTGGGTAAAAAACTGTCTGCATGGCCAGGCCCAAAGAATTGTGGTGAATAGAGTTAAATCCAGTTGGTGGTTGGTCACGAGTGGTGTCCCCCAGGGCTGGGTTTTGGGGCCACTCCTGTTTAACATCTTTATTGATGATCTAGACAAGGGGATCGAGTGCACCCTCAGTCAGTTTGCAGATGACCCCAGGTTGGGTGGGAGTGTTGATCTGCTCAAGGGTAGGGAGGCTCTGCAGAGAGACCTGGACAGGCTGGAGCCATGGGCTGAGGCCAACTGGAGGAGTTTCCATAAGGCCAAATGCCGGGGGCTGCCCTTGGGCCACAACAATCCCCAGCAGCGCTACAGGCTTGGGGAGGAGTGGCTGGAGAGCTGCCAGTCAGAGAGGGACCTGGGGGTGCTGATTGACAGCCGGCTGAACAGGAGCCAGCAGTGTGCCCAGGGGGCCAAGAAGGCCAATGGCATCCTGGCTTGTGTCAGCAATAGCATGGCCAGCAGGGACAGGGAAGGGATCTGACCCCTGGACTCGGCACTGGTGAGGCTGCCCCTCGATTCCTGTGTTCAGTTTTGGGCCCCTCACTACAAAAAGGAGATTGAATGACTCGAGCGTGTCCAGAGAAGGGCAACGAAGCTGGTGCAGGGTCTGGAGCACAGGTCTTACGAGGAGCGGCTGAGGAACTGGGGGTGTTTAGTCTGGAGAAGAGGAGGCTGAGGGGAGACCTCATCGCCCTCTACAACTCCCTGAAAGGAGGTTGCAGAGAGCTGGGGATTAGTTTCTTTAACCAAGTAACAGGCAAAAGGAGAAGAGGGAATGGCCTCAAATTGCACCAGGAAGGTTTAGACTGGGTATTAGGAAGTATTTCTTTCCAGAATGGGTTGTTAGGCGTCGGAATGGGCTGCCCAGGGCAGTGGTAGAGTCCCCATCCCCGGAGGTGTTTAAGAGTAGAGTCAACATAGCACTTAGGCATATGGTGTAGTTGGGAACTGTCAGTGTTAGATTAATGGTTGGACTGGATGATCTTCAAGGTCTTTTCCAGCCTTGATGATTCTGTGATTCTCCCCTGCCCAAGCAACTCCAGCTGGACTGTACCAACTAGCCAGGCAAACCAGTTGAAACTCCTGAGGGTACTCTGGCTGGGAATACTTAGCTTGCCTTTGCTGAGACCCATGGGAGTGATGGAGGTGGTGTGGCTGAAATGCATGGGGCACCCTGCATGCACCCTGAGGTCTGGGGAGATCTGAGATATCAGGAGCTTTGCCTGTAGAGCAATGACACATTATACACTGAACCAAAGTGAACACTGCCTCCCAAGTCATGAATAACAAAAAACAACCCAGAAATGGGAAACAGATTAGGGAAGCTTCTTTCCTCCAGGAAGGACACTGGTGACTGTTGAAAGAAATTCTGATACAGAGTTGGCATTATCAGGGTCTGGTCTAGGGACTGGCTTATAAAAACCATAATTCAGAAGCAATTCCAACCTAAGCAGTTCAAGCCTGTGAGTGAAAATACCATTGTGACCTACAGCTGAGTATAGAGGACTGGATAGAACTAGATCATGTCTGAGTTTCCATACTTTTCACTGTCTTGATCCCCATCTTTACCTAAGCAAAGTGAGGCCAAGCAATCTGAGAAAAAAAAACCCAACAAACAACATGCCCTGCAAAACAAGAGAGTGCCTTCACATTTCCCAGCATCCAGTACAAATGACTGAGCCTGATTTGGTAATCCATCCAATTCAAGGTTGTTTGAATGGACACACCACAGCAAAGGGGGTCACAGCATGGGAGAATGATTAACTTAATCTACCTGCCTTGTTTGTTTGATGCTGCCTGACTCCAGTGCAAGTCAATAAAACTTTGTGCGCCAACACACACAACTTCCAGCACCCACCGGCTTGGCCGAAATGGGGATTAGCAAAGACGCCTTTCTCTTTCTTTTCTTGCTCAGCTCAGGTAAGAGCCCTTTGCTTTCTGCTTGCCTAGGTGAGATGAGGGCCAAATGCTTGCAAGCCCCATTTGGTGAAGATAGGTCCCCAAATCTCTGTGTCACCACTTACCTGGATGACGATGGATTTGGGGCTTGCTGGCCAGAGAGAGTTGCTGTTGAACAAAGCAAGTGCTGTGGTTGCTCCAGTGTTGTGTGCGTTAGAGACACCAGAAGACCAATAGCCTTGGTGCCTGTGTGGGGAACAAATAACTCCCTGAAAATATGCCTAATGACCAGAAATGGGGGGACCCTTGGAAAGCAGCCCCAAAGCCTGCTGCAAAACCCATAGCAATGAGTGAGACAGATATCTGGTATCAGCAGCCTTTGGATCAAATCCTAAAGCTGATTTTACTGCCAAGCATTACTGACCACAGTGATCCTGATTTTCATTCTTTATGATAGGATTTTCAAGGTTTTTAAATGAAATATTTAGAACAAAATTTAAAATTAAAAAGCTCCTTTATATTCCAGTAATTTCACATTTTCTGTTGGCAAACACAAGAAAATATTCTGCCCTTTTTTCCTGGAGGCAGTAGGTAGAAATTTAACCTTCAGTAACCTAGATCAATTTTTCTAGAAATGCATCTAGAATTCTTTTTTACAAGTCCAAAAGAAGATAGGTGTTCCACTAAAGTTTCTATGAATTTGAAGCTCATCTACAAATTCTGAAAATAAACCACATGTAATATATATTTCAATTAGATTTCAATCAGATATAATCGTCTCTAATGTTTTGACATTGCATATCATTGTATGGCCCTTAAATAACTTTAAAAATACTGTTAAAGACATATCAGTACAGTTTGTATGATTTTCTACTAGCTAGGACATTTAATATGACACAATAACAGGGACATATCATTGTATGATTGTGTGGGTTATAAAAGACAGATGATAAAGTTATTTTTATTTGCTCCTTGTTTTCAGCTCTAACTTACTTTCTCCAAAGTGTTGGTCCACAAAACTGCGTTAAAACTATTTTTTGTGTTCTGGAATAGTACCATTCAACTCTGGAAAGATACATATGTAAAAGAAGAAATGGGTTTGCTCTCATATATTTGATTATTCTGTTCAATTATCATGTATTATGTCTGGGTTTATAAAGTCTTGGACTTTGGCCAGAATAATACATTCCCTGATTAATTTTTAAATCTACTTTTTAAGTATACACTTCACAGTGTTTTTCAGACAATTAACATCACATTTTCTTTTCTGTTATCTAAGCTTCTGCCAATCTTTGATGCCTTTTAGCTTATGTATGTCATCCAAAATCTTGTGTGTTCATTCTTAAACCAACTGAAATATTTTTTTATAATTGCTGAAAAGGAATGGTATCCAAAGTAGAACTCTTTGGACAAACCCATAGTTTTAAGATGAGCCAATAAATTTTGGAAAGTAGTATTTTCCTATTCTGGTCCCCTGTAATTCCGGAACAGTGGCCTCAGTTAGCTTAGGAAAAAGGTCAGGAGAGGAGACACTTGTTTGCAGATTTTATAGCATTGAGCCAGATCTGCAGTCACAGAAGGCTTCCCTCAGACAATTAATCATCTTACTTTCATTAGTGGCCCAAATACCATTTATTTTATATGAATATGTGTCATGTGGAGGTAGGTGATGGGTGACTTATATGTCATGGGCATTAATTACAGTGGAGTGAGGTTGTAGTGAATATGGGTGTTTGCACAAAGAAAGATTCACATTACCTGTGAGAATGCAGTACAATTATGAATTTCCTGTGTCTGTCAATAATAATCTATCTTGAAAAGTGAAATAATTAAACTATATCACTTTTGTAACTTTGTAACCTGATGCTGGATATGGCATCCATTAATCTTTTTCTGAGTGGTGTTTGTTTGACACCATTTAGTCCCTCTCTCCGGTCCCTCTCACTTTTGCTTCACATTTTTTGTTCTCACCTTCAAACCCATACATAACTCCATTCAGAGCTGCTTCTTTACATCTCTCTTCTGCTGTGTTTTCCTATGACGTGTCCCAGTCATACAGCTGTGATTGTGTTAGGAGACAGAAATTTTCTGAGTTTATCATGTTTTACTCAGAATTACACAAAATAAATGGTTCCTGTCAATGCTGCATGAAAAATGGGACTCAAAATCACAGATCTTCTTAACTGCAGCATTCTCATTTTAATGTCTGATTCCTTTTCTTCCCTTGCAGTGAAAGGAGATATACTGGATGACTATTTAAGAACAGATGGTATTTGGATACTTACTCGTAATAAACAGTTTTACACGACAAATAATGCAAAAGAATGTGCAGAGAAATGTGAAGCAGAAAGAAATTTTAATTGCAGGTAATTTCTGTTGAATCATGAAACTATGTCCTTGTGGGTGTCTGCGTATCAATAGTATTTTCCTACTGTCGCTCAGAGCCAACATGCCCATCCTGCTGAAGCTCCACCTACAGCAGTTGACCATGCCTGTGCCTTTAGCCTGTGGCTTTATCTCCACCCCTAAATTACCATGAGGCCAAGCAAAGGGTGGATTTACTATGTATTACTTGTTCTGCGGTAAATGTTCAAGTTCCTGCTCTTTGCAAACATTACCTGGAAAGCTGCTTATGCCTCTTTAACTGGATGCTGCCTTGTTTCACAAAAGAAGGGTGAGACGTTTCTAATTCATTGTAGGGAAAGGTGCTAACCTGAGCAGCTAGGATGCTGTTGATAACGTTTTGCCAATGCAGTAACAAGCTTCCTACACAGTAACTAATTCACGTAGTCATACATCGTCAAAAAGTCAGCCACTTCAGAGCAGTAGAAAATGTCAGTCTCTCAGTGTCTCAAATACTGAATGCAGTATCTGAAAGATATAAATGGATACAAGACAGTGCTAGTAAATCAATAATTTACAGAAAAATAATTATGAGTTGACTAAATTGAATTGAATTAAAAAGATTTCTTCCTATGTCAATATTCCTTCCTTTTCAATTTCAACAGGGCCTTCCTATTCACCAGGAAAAAGCTACAGTGTTTAACACTGGCTGAAAATACCAAAATGACAGTGACATTTGACAGCATGGATGCAATTCTTTATGAGAAGAAAAGTATGTATATAGTAAGATGCTACACATTTACACATTAAGCCTATTTTAACAGCATCCTTGCATTCTCTGCTGCAGTGCTGGAGCAAACTGTCGCACATGGTGGCAGTTTCAGTGAGGTGGGTCTGCACCCATTACGAACTGGGCTGAAACTGCCATTCAATTCCACATATAGCATGAAGGCTCTTTATGTATGAACTTGTATTTCATCCCCTTAGTCATGTTTTACTGGGACCAGGCAGAATATGCATACTCCAAAGCAAAAATCAAGCATTTATCTGCCCTTTAAGTATTTGCAGTCCTCCGCTTCATGGAACTAGTGGAGTCTTTGGTCATATACACTTTTCATGACTACAGGATTATCTACTTTATCTGTTTCTATGTACCTATTTCTCTAATTTTCTGTGTAATAATTCAGTCAAGAATGATTTGACTGAAATAATATTGACTTAAGTTTGTTTTTGTTTTGTTTTGTTTTTTTTAAATTGTACTCAAATGTTCACATTTTGTAAGCTGTTTTGTTTGTGCTTAATTCTCATTATATGCCAGGCTCAGGTAAGTGGCTTGGTTTTGAGATTATTTTTTGAATTAATTAATTAATGCTTTTCTAGGTTTTGAATAGAAGCCATATGGGAAAAAAAATTAATGAGCCTATCTTCATAAGTTTTGTGGGAACATAGATAATACAATCACAAACACTAACTTCAATGAGTCTTCTGGGAAAAAGAAAGCTCCTATTACTAACTGATATGTGAGATGAATAGTGAACATTTCTTGTAAGAACATTTCAGTTTGTTTGAAAAGACAATTATTTTCAGTGTCTTTACAATGCTGAAGCATTTGAAAGATATACAGAAAACTGAAACTGCATGAACAATCATGGTGCAGGTCCCCTTTGCCATATCAAAGTCTTAAAGAGAAAGCAGTTCATGTCTAAATTCTCAGCTAGATTAATGATACAGTTCTGATAAATTCATTAACATCTGCTGAACATCTGGCCCAAACATAACAAAACGATAGAATGTTAACATTTAAGCAGTTGTAGACTAATTCTTCTGCTACTAGGCTGGATAATGGGTTACTAAGTTCATGGCACTGGTGCAACTTGGTTTGTAACAGGTATCTTCAGTAAGTACTAGCTTAACCTCTAGTTGATTATCAGCCAGTGACATTGTGTTCCTATGGTGCAATATGTGTTCCTTGGTGTCTTATTTCTGTGCTGATGACAAGTGGATTTTCTCATCAGTTTTCCTGAACTTGCAGTTTATGTTTAGATCGGATGAATTGCTAAAGCCTTAAAAGCTAGAATGTGAAGCATATCACTTGATTCTTGAGTGTTATTACGGTCTGATTCCTCCCTGTTTTAAAAGGCAAAGTCACTGTTACAGCTGTTTGATCACAAGACTTCAGCTCCACACTCATGTCCACCCTCTGCTCCAGTAACAGACCTCGCAAGACTAAAGCCTATGGAGAGCTCTTCTCCACTTATATTATTCACATGTTCCTCATAGATCACTGGTGTGTGAGACACCAGTACAGATGCAGGTTCAGCCAAATTATTTCTGGCACAAGTGAAATATCTGTAGAAATAATGGATGTAGCCAATGACTCAACAGTTTAACTGTGATTATTTTTTACTGAAGTCAAAACTGATTGGAGTTTTCCTTTGAGATTAGAACAGGATAAAGGAGTATGGGCTCTGTAAATTCCTCTGCATATGTTGAAAGCTAATATACACATGCACAAGGCATTAATTATTATATTGAAATTAGTCCTTCTAAGTGAAAAAATAAATGTTACTGACCATAATTATATGCTGTCACAGAAGGCCAGACAATAACTCGGGCTTAGATCAGTACAAGTCAGGATAATATCCCCAGCTTCATCAGGGTCCCTTTACATCACTTGCCGTTGTCCAAGCTCTTTCAAGCTTCTGAAACATCTGAAGAGACACATTTGATCCCCATGTCAGCAGCAAAAGTCTTGATTTTAAGCCCAGGAGCCTTGGCCTCTCAGGAAAAGGAGAGAACTTATTGGTTTCTCTTCTTTCTTGTCTGCTTTCTCCAAAGCTCTTTGCTGGAAGACAGGTCTGGTGCCTCCAGCCTCAATGTTCATCCCAGTGACCTTCCTGAACACATGTAATCTAGAAATCTAGTCTTCAGCTCTGCTGCTCATGCCTCCATTGGAATCACCTATTCCTGGCAGAAAAAAGGCCAAGCTTGGCACCCTCTCATGCTTCAGGATGGATTTATCCGTTTAGTCTTAACTGAAACTGTAGGGTGAGATATGGGTCTGCTTCCCACCCTCCTCACCCTCTTGGAAGAAGAGCTTTTCCTTCCTGGTCATGACTGGGACTGAAGGAAATGTCACCACATGAGTCCAGTGCAGGTGGAGACACTGTCCGGTTCCTCACACTGAGCGCCGAGCTCATTAGTCTGTAGGTGCCTGTCATGGTAGGGGGTCCCCCATGAATGGAGGCACTCGTCCAGGTGCCAGGCGCAGGACAGAGACATGGTTACCTGCTGTCCTTCCGCAGGGTGAAACTAAGTGTCCCACCTAGGCAGGGTGGGCAGCGATCTCTCTTGCCTTCACTGCCATCACTGTGTGGGCTGTCAGAGAAAACAGATCTATCTGCAGCCCTTCTGCAGAGTTGCCATTCCTTTGATGTGACTGGGAGACCTTTTCTGATCATTTTAAAGTAGTCTGGCTCTTCTCAGTTCTGACTTCAGATTGAGCAGAAATCAAGCCTCCTTCATATTTAGCATCTATCAATATCACTGAAAGCTGCAACCAGGCACTGCCATAGCTTCGATAGTAGGTCATGGATACCAAATCCCTTCACGTGGAATTGATTTTCTCTTTCCCTATGTTATCCTTGTGCTAATGGTGGTGGTTCTTTGAAATGACCTAGCCTGTATACCTGAGCCTTATAAAGCAGCTAGATACTAGCAAGGGAAAAAAACATCCACCTCACAGACTTTTCATTTTCATCTAATGAGTTATCAGGCATCATATGCTCATCATCTAACATTCTTGCAGTCTGTAGCAATTTGGTAACTGCCTGTGTCATCTTCATCTCCTGTTGCCTTCTGCACACTAGGAGACCCACCTTTGACACCTGGGACACCTGCTGCCTCCTTTGGCTATACCATTCAGCTCCTATGCTGCTGCTATATAACATGCTACCTCTGCCTTCTCAAGGATATCTCTTCATGAAGAGTCTGCTTCAGCAGGAATTGCTTTTAGCTCTAGCAGCCAAAGAACTGTTTTGTTTTTTTTTTTTTTCCCAGGGGACAGTTTTACAGAGCATGATTTTTTCCAACAGAGGAAGTAGAGTCATCTTCCTTCTGTTTTTCACCAGGAATGTAAGACTATGCCATGCCCTCTGAAACTCATGGCTACCACTGCCAACATCTTTGTGAAGTCTCTTGATAATCCAAATGGCATCATTTTGTATCTATAATGGCCCCAATCCGCATCAAAACAGAGATATTTCTCATAAGGCTGTTAAAGTGCATTGTGAAAGTGAGACTCACCTTCCTAGAAGCAACCTAATTATCACAGCCAGCATCACCCTGCCTGAACTTGAATTTGCAAATAAAGATATTTAGTTTCCTTAAGTCTCAGAAAAGTTTTCTCTCCCCACCATGGCTCATCAGCACCAGGAAATAGCTGCCCTAAAACTCATTTCTGCTAAAATATAATGGAATCTGTTCTGCTTGGAGGAAGCAATCTCTAGAACATTTTGTTACTCTGCCACTCCCTTAGGTTCATGGTGACTGTACAATCTCACATATGCCTGACTCAGACCTTTTAGTTTGTAACAGCTAGTCTGGCAACACTCTTTACTGGAATTTATACTCTTTGGGATTGGATTCAGAATATTTTTACAAAACTTCTGCTTTAAAACCAAAAGGTTAATCCCTCTGTGAGTATAAGAGTTTGGCTGTGCTGGGCCATCCAGTGTTATGCACTCACATTTTACCCCACCACAGACACTTTGGGAACCATATACAGACCATACTCTGAATTGTCCATAGCTGTGAAGGCAACTCCATGAGGATATGTCTGGCAGTTACAGTTTTACTTTCCTTATGTTAATGGAAAAACCCTGTATGAGGTTATCGAGAGACTATTCTTTTTTGATTACAACCTACTTGTTAATAGTAGGAATAATCCACAAGGCCCAATTACATAGCTTTTGTGGGATATGCTTGATACATTTTGTTGAGTCAGATTTCTTCCCACCCAGACTTCCAAGAATGCCTTTTTCTTTGGTTCTAATTGGACTCTCAGAGTTTAAGAACCATGGCGTTTTTACCAGCTCAGTGGTCACCTGGGATGCTTACCCTCTTGTAGGGGTAATAGTCGAAGTGTTGGCACTTAGTCACTGAAACATTTCTTAAGAATTTGGTTAGAGATTAGAGACTTCTCCTTCTTTACAGAGCAGTTTCCCCAGTCAAATCTTAATTTTGTCTTGACATACAGTTTGGCTTTTGATATCACCCCTCTTTTGGGGAACACAGACTATCAGGGGTTATAGGTCACCATGACAAACTGTTGTACAGGACAGAAAAGTAAGAGAGACTTTGGGGTTGAAACAGCCATATTAAAGAGGGATCAAATATCAAGGCCTAAATTCATGGTGGTCTTCATGTGCCATTTGTCTTCATTCCTCACCCAGCTATATAGAGCCTCCACTCCCTCTCCCCAGCTGTCAGATATGTCCAGCTTTTTTATTTAGACAGGCTAAAATTATTTAGGAGGAACCTGGCAACATCAGAATGTCCATGGGCAAGGATATTCACCAGAGGTGGTTATGCTGGGACCTGCTACGGGAGTATCGATGTTGAAGCAGCAGTGACAAGATTTTTGGACACTCCAGTAGTACTCTGACAACCAGGTAGCAGCTCCCTTTTGGTAAGACACACAGCACAGACATTTGTAGTTCCAGCCATACTCTGTGATGGCAGTATCTATTACAAGATGTCCAAACAAGGCTCAGCTTTTCCTATCAGATTTTATTCCTGTTCTTTTTCTAACATTTCAATTTTATATTTTGGAGTTTAGGGGTGTCCTTCTTGTGCAAGCAAATTGGTGGAAGGGAAAATTAGGGTCACTCCCACAGTAGCTGGAAATTTTCAGTGTCTGTTGCCAAAAAAAGCATCATCAACACGTTTTGCATTCTATCTGCCTTGGAATCCCCATAGAAAGTACCTGGGAGTCTGAGGCTAAGAGCAATCAAAGGTTTGGGGGCCACTTAGGTGGCAAACATATTTTGACAACTAAAAATTTCCTGGCTTGAAGGTATAGTTGCATGACATCTGCACTGCAAATGTATTTATGAAAAATGCATTTCAAAGAATCTCCAGCTGCTGGTGAATGACCTTCCTTTTAATCCCAGTAGTATGATAGTGTAAGCATGCATTTTATATGTCATATACAACTGTAACTTGTTATATCTGTTTTCTTAACTAGACTTCATTAGCTTTATAAAAACGCTTCAGGAATTTTCCTCTATAGTTGCCTAGTAGTTATTAACTAATTTGTTTTAAAATACCTTAGAGAATCACATCTGTGTCTGCATGCACAGGTTCAAAACATGAGTAAAACATGGTTCATCATGAGCTGATGAACTTGAGTTCTATTTTCAGATTCTCAGTTTCAAGAGATACAATGTTGTAATGCCATTGAATTAACAAAGCCAATTCCATTTCAGTTTACCTTCTACAGTGTAAAAGAGGGATTGGGAAGGACTACAGAGGAATGGAAGCCAAAACTCGGAGGGGGATTCCATGCCAGAAGTGGTCAGAAAAAACACCCCACAACCCAAAGTATGGCTTTATTTATATTTGTCTTCATGTTGTTCTGAATCTCTTCCAAGCTTCCTCAGTTTCATGTGTATAATATAGTACATGTTATCAAAGACAGTTCTCAGTTGACTTTTTAAAACAACTTTATCTTCATGTGTCTTGTTACTTTTGACTCTACTGACAGAGAACTGCAATGATCTGGATAAGGAAAGGGTACATTGTCAGCTAGAGAGGGTGTGTCTAAATGCTTGGCCTCTTAAGAAGATTAAAAGCTCCTTCTATCAACACACGATGAAAATTTTGCTATTCGTAACAGTGGAGCCATAATTTCTCTCTTTTGTATGAGGTGTCAAAAAAAAAAGCAGTGATATCTGTCCAGCTCTCTGACCCCCTGCCTGCCATCCAGACAGTCAAGAAGAAATATCCAGCAAAGTGCCTAAGGGACCTGCCCAAGCAGTTTTCTCAGGGCTGACTGCCACTGGGCTCACTGAAGCAAGTGTGGAAGAAGAGGTCCTATTTTCTCCGATCTATGCTGGAGATTCAGCTGTTTAAGAAATCATTTTTTGTTGTTCTAATGAAACTTGGATGCACTTGTTTAGATTTTTTTGTTTAAAAGTTATACAGTCTTCTCTGAGACAATTGTTGTAGGAAGAAGCCTGGGTCACTTGCTTCAAAATCTCTGCAGCTTAGTATCCAGTTGTGTTTGATGAAAAGCCTCTAGAAATACTCCACTTCTTTAAAATAGGTCCATTAAGAAAAATGCATGACAGAGCCACAGGTCATAGTGCGCTGACCATATCAGCTGGATGAAAGTATTAAAGACAATAATTGTCTTTTGAGACTGTCATTCCTTCAGGCTGTAAGCTCACTCATCATTGGCAACTGGGACCTGAGGAGAAAGCTTTTAATAATGGTAGTTACAAAATGTTTTTTCAGATTTCATTTATGGGTTACAATGGGGAATCTGTGTCTCTCATTTTTACTGTGAATGAATAGACCCCACAGCTAGCCGAGCAAGTTGGACATTTCCCTTCTGCTGAAATTACTGGAATTAAAATAGAATTTTAATACTATTACAGTTATACACCTGAAAAACACCCCAATGCAGGGTTGGATGAAAACTACTGCAGAAATCCTGACGGGGATGAAAGTGGACCCTGGTGCTACACAACAGATCCTGCTACCAGATTTGATTACTGTAACATCCCAGAGTGTGAGAGCCAGGTCACACACACTGGAGAAGGTATATTTATTTTTCAGAGAAGGAGTGTTCAAGTAGGTAATATTATGCTTGTTGTTTCTTCTTGCTTTAATATTGCAGATTGGTTTCAAATGTGAATTTAGATCAGCCTGGAACTTAAGTTCTCAACACAAAGGTTGTTTTCCTAATTGGCTCCAGCTATCAAAGTAATTTGGTAAATATGGAAGGACTGAAATTTTTTTTTAATAATTTGCTGATTTTGTCCTGCTCTTACCCCTAGCAATTTATTTAACAAGGGGACAGATTGACCCAAGTGCTGTGCTATATACAGAAATCCCACTGCTATCAGTACATACAGATATGTGACAAAGTGACCTTCTAAACAACATGTATCCCTAAAGCTTTATTCATTTGGCTAGGCTGTAATGCATGGTCTTCTGGATTCCTTTCATCACCAGCTGGAGCAAAAACCCCTTTTCCTTTCAGTGTAGTCTTCCATGAATAGATCAGGATCAGAATTCATGGGCTGGTGCAAACCTTGCTTTGTCTTCATTCTGCCTAGGCCCTACAGGGGAGTGCATGCAATGTAATGGTGAAGACTACCATGGAGAAGTTTCCAGAACAGAGTCTGGGCTTGAGTGCCAGCGCTGGGATGCCCAAGAGCCTCATATGCATGGATTTACCCTGAAACAGTGAGTCACACTCAGTGCTGAATTCATGCCTGGGAGATCCTACTCACAGAGACCCTAAGTGTTATCGCCAGCCATAGCTGACTCACAAGCTTCTCTTTCATTTTCAATGTGCAGCTTTCCAGAGAAGGATCTGAAGATGAATTATTGCCGTAACCCTGATGGCGAACTTCGGCCCTGGTGTTTCACTACCAGCCCTACTAAACGTTGGGAATATTGCAACATTCCTCGTTGCAGTGAGTGTGATTTCCTGAAATTGCTCCAGACGGTAGCTCTTCTCATTAAAATGATACATGGAGGGGAAAGACAAGAAAACACGGTTCTGAGTAACCTAAGGAAATACTTATGTACCAGGAAAAGTGCACATTAATAAGCAGAATCAATCACTATATTTGGTACATAAAATCATCTAAGGTCAGTGAGGATGCAGGTGTCACCAAGTGCAATAAAGCCAAAGATGTTATGAAAACCCTAATTTGTCTTCAAGCCACCTTACTTTTCAATTCACCTGAGAGGCAGGGCATTCAGTTTAGATCAAGTGGTAGTTTTCAGCCGACCTGCTAACTCATGGAAAACACGTAAATCACCATGTGGCCATACTGTGATATTTTACCTGGGTCTGGCCAGCCCAGACAGCACTGCCTCTTTCTTAGAAAGGAATGAATCCTGAGAAACAAGTTCAGGCCTCAGAAGAAAAACCTGTTTTATCAGTGAGCCAGCTTTATCCCTTAAGCTGAGCACACTAAATCTGGACATTTCCAAAGCACTGAGTAATGAGATTAGCATTGCTGTTTGTGGAACTCGACTGCACTTTGAGAAAAATTTTTGTGTTTTTATCTCTAGAGCTTGCTTTCTTATGCATCTGCACTTGGCAGTGCTCTAAGCAGCAGCATGTGTTTGCTAGATGTAGTACACCTCAGCAGGCTCAATTACAGATGGAAGAATGACTATTTATAGACTTCTGTATGATAAAGTAAATTGTGAAAGTTACCACAGCATCTCCATTTTGTGCTTAAAACTTAAAGAAAATTTAAGAAACAGACCAACCTTTTAAAGTCATAGTTGTCTCCTCAGGAAATTCTATATGCAAAGTATATATAATAGATATGCACTGAAGATTCATTTTCTCTCTGCCCTCTGCAGGTTCTGTGCCTCTGATCATTACTCTTACTTTCTTTGCTGTTCACCACATTCACTTTCTTTCACTTATCCTTCTGCCCCATTTTCCCAATTCATGGACTTCAGAGGCTTGGCTTTGACAGATTTTTGCTTTCACTTACAATTTTTTTGTGGCCCTTATCCTTTCTGCCCTTCCACCCTACCCATGTGTATTATATTAATGTTCTCCCTTCATCCCACTTGTTTTTACAAGACTGGATAGGACTACTTACTGCCTTTCCAGTTCTGCTCTCAGAGGACTGCAGGAACAAAGTCTGGCTTGACCTAGCAAAGTTATTTACTGACGGCTGTAAAAGGGCATACACAGGACATTTGTCTGGCAGCCTGACTGCTTGTGAAAATTTGCACTTTTGTTTTGCTATGGCTTTCAACCAATGTCACCTCTGTTGAAAGAAAAAAATTGCATGTTCAACATTACAGAAAACAAAGGGGTTTTAAATATATTTGAAAGCACTAGTTAGCAACATTTTTCTTTTCTTTCTTTTTCTTTTCTTTTTTTTTTTTTTTTTTTAAATCCTGTTACAGCTATGCGTGTACCAGTGTCTGGCCTGGGCTCTCAGTGTCTTTCAGGGAAAGGAGAAGACTATCAAGGCAGGATAGCCATCACTGAATCGGGAAATGCCTGCCAACACTGGAACACACAGTTTCCTCACAGACATGGCTGGATTCCTGACAGATATCCCTGCAAGTATGCTGAGCCTTCTAATTTTAACAAATACCAAAGAACATAGTTAACTCCTTATTGATCCACATGCAGAGGCAAGAGGAGCATGGGTTTTCCACAGCTATGTTGATAAGCGGTTTTCTCCCCTTTTGTCAGATTTCATTACTTCTTTTCAGGTCTTGCTCTTGATTTTTTTTGTGCATTCTTTTGTTTGTTTTTTTTACCAGCTTTATTCTCACGTACTTGTCTCATCTGTCTCCTCCACATCCCAATGCAGAGTTATAAGTATTTACTACCTTTATGTTAAAAAGCCCCTGGCCATGTTTTGGCACATTTTCAATGCATTACTCTTCTGAAGAGCAATACTCCAAGGTCCAAGATGCTCCAATACATCCTTTTGCTCCAAGGTCACAGGAGCTGGGTTTGTGGATCATTGTACATGGGCAAGGGTAGCTGGGACTGATCAGGCTTTTAGCTCTGTATTTTGATCGTGTGGGTTGTGAAATGGAGCCTGCAAGTTTTCCTGGGCATGTGAAATCCTGTCAATTATCGCAGGGCAGAGGGCAGCATGCACCAGTGCTCATATGCACATGCTCCCAGGATCAGTGTGTGACATCCAGCCTTGCCTGGTTCCTACCATAGCAGTCAGGTACACCAATGACACGTGTGTTGAAGTCAGCTTTAACTGACTTAGCTTGGCCTCAAAAACAAGAGCAGAAAGTGTAAGCATTGGTAAAGGTCTTCACATATCATCAGCATTTAGACTGTAAATTCAAAGGCTCTTGATTAGTCCCAAAATAGTAGTGCATGAGATAATCTCCAAAAAGAATAAATGTAACCACTGAGTTGAGTTCTGCATGCAGTAATTGTTAATAGTCTTATACACAACTTGTCTGGATTTCTATGAGTAGTTTAAAGCCAGTGTTTCTGTTTCAGGGGCTTAGATGAAAACTACTGTAGAAACCCTGATGGAGAGAAGAAGCCTTGGTGCTACACTACCAACAACAGCGTTCGATGGGAATATTGTGCAATTCCCCACTGTGATGGGATAGAACAAGGGGTTGCTGGTATGAGTTGAGGAGTGTACTTGAGATAAGGACTTTAAAACAGTGAAAGCCTTATTGTTTCTCATTATAAACATGTGAAGTCTTTTTTCAATCACTTTGTCACTGTTGTTAATGCAGTTTTTCTTCTTGGCATGTTACAAAACCTGTCAAATATTGGACTCTCAATGATTAAGGAAGTGCAATGAAGGGTGTAAATCACCAGCTGACCCAATAGAAGAATTACAGGATGAAAGAGATTTTTTTAATTTTTTTTTTTCCCCAAAGGTAGGGGGGTTTTAGCAAATTAATTGAAAAAATAAACGAAGAGATGAAGAAGTGCTAAATAAAAGGACATTCTTGGAGAGTAGCCACAAAAGAGAGGACAGGAGCTTCCAAAGTAATAAAAATCTCATCTGAAACATCCATTCATTTAACCACAAAAAATAATAAGAAAGTTATAGTGCAATCAAAAGGATAATAGAGAGATTAAAGTTTAACATAATGTCCAATTTAGAGAGCATCAGGGGCAAAATCACTAGCATCTAATATTGGAAGATTTTTCATGTGAACTTTCTGATCTTTAATTCAAACGTGTTCACATATACAGAACCACATCTGACATATGAAGGTAAACTGCAAAAGTTTTCTAAATATCTTTGGAAATGCCCTTCCACTTTTCATGTGGGCCATGATGCTCTCGCTGGACACTGTCTGTATAAATGAATTGTTCATTTTTGTTATCCTGCATGTTAGATGCTTTATTGTGCCTACTCAGTGAGAACATAAAATTGTGATGCAAGTGACCAGTTTCTGTTCTATGCTGCAGATGTGCCTATGCAGGTTCCCTTGCCAGAGGAGTGTTACAGAGGCAAAGGCCAGAGCTATCGTGGCACAACTTCCATCACTGCATCAGGAAAAAAATGCCAGGCCTGGAACTCCATGTTCCCACACAGGCATGAAAAAACACCGGACAGATTCCCAAATGCGTATGTTTATCTCACCTTTTCTTGCTTTATCTGATAATGACTACTGCTGATTGTCCCTGCCCCTGCAGGGGGGTTGGAACTAGGTGATCCAACCCTAACCTTTCTGATTCTATGATTCTATTATCTTTGCACATCCATGCTTTAAAACATTGCCAAGGAATTTATCTATAAAATATATTTTTTTCCAAGACATGGAAAAATTTTCTGTTAGTCTCATTTTTAAAACTGTGTTTTCCTGTTATTTAAATTCTCAGTAAAAGACAGCTGTGTCCCTTTACTCTTAAATCTGAGCTTCTGTAACTGACACTGGGAGGTTTGTATCCAGAGTCTGGGCATCTGTTGAAATATGCATTTTGTTTATGAATTTGAGACCTTTGCAGTGCCCTTTCTACTTATTTCACCTGATGAGAACACAGCATTTATGCTGCAATGCACACAGTCAGATATATTATGATAAGAACTACCATTTAAGTATTCTTTGTAGCTGGAATTGTGCACCCAGACTTGCATACATTGAATTTTTCTCCTTATCTTAAGACTAATAAAACTGGACCAGGGATGACTTAGAGAGCTAATCATAATTGCTAATGTATCAGTTTTTCATAAGGGTAGGAAAGCAACAAGACACAATTGCTAGTAAATCCATCATTGCTTGATGAATTGTAAGTAGAAGCAGGAAAGCTGATACTTTTCTAATTTTTCCCTTTTTTATGATGTCACCCAAAATAAATTTTGGGGGGAAATTTTCAGTCATATTTTAGCATCAGAAATACTGATGTATTGAAACTGGAACATCCTCAGAGGGGATGCTGTTTTTCAAAAACATTTTAAAAAATTGAAATTAAGCTGTGAAAACATGGAATTAATGTGTTCTGGCACGTTCAGGAAAAAAAGCATTTCATTTTTTTTCATTCTGTGACTGTGCTGTGATTCAGGATAGGAAAATACTGCAACTCTGCCAATTACTGAAGAGACAAATTCTACTTCCCCCAGCCCCAGTAACCATGGGTATGGGAGTGTTCCCACTGAATTCAGTAGAATTGGGTTGGGCTTTTTTGGGGGGTGAAATCATTAGCATAATTATTTATTTGCCATTCTTCTGAATATGAGAAAGAACCTTCTGACATTTAAGAATAAAAATTTTGGAAAAGCATAATTGTCCACTGACAGTATGGATCTTTCTGCATATTATTATTAATTCACACATTCACAAAATTGTGTATGCTTATACATATATACTTATAAATTAAATTATTGGCATATCAGGCTTTTATTTAACTACTCATCACATTCACATATTACAGTCAAAATTTAAGCCAGTAGTTGAATTATGTTTCCTTATGCATAAATATATTCATTACTCTGATGTACATGTGAAATGTAACTCTCCACTCATATCACAGCCATAAATGTGTTTGCTGGTAATAGGATATCTGGCAATAGATAAAAAAAATAAGACATACATTTATCTCTGCATAGTACTGATCCACATCTTTTGGTAATATATTCCTATGATTACTTTCAGTCTTATGCAGCATGACTATTGTACTTATTTTTGCAGGGATTTGAGGGACAACTATTGTAGAAACCCAGATGGTGATAGCAGCCCATGGTGTTTCACCACAGACCCCACCACAACATGGGAGTACTGCAGTCTCAAGAGGTGTGATGATCATATACAAGAGCATGCACCAAATGACCCCCCTGCAACGATGGCTGGCCTGACTACACCCACCACATCTGGTAACAGCTGGCTATAAGTGCCACCTCCTGTAGTGTCTGTGGGTAAAGGAAATAGTAAACTATCAAAATTGTCCTTGAGCAGGACTGCAACATTGATAGTTGCATCCTTCCTCCAGCTTTCGATCTGTACTGTTGAGTTTTGCAGCAAGTACTTTCTAGTCAGTTCATATCCTGTCGTCTGTATCATTTTACAGTGCATTCTGTAGGAGATCTTTTTCATTTAGGGAAACAAGAGGAAAACAGACACAATTTCTGGTGTTTCTGTAGCTGTGTGATATTGAGATATTATCACAGTGAATTGTAGTTATTGTAGGAATTTGCTTGTGCTGTGCTTTGTGTTTTCAGGAGACTGACCTTAGCTGCTTGTATTGTTCATGGGCAACCTTGTTTGGCAAAATGTATGCACCAAGATAAACAAGTTTTTGCTCTATCCTGCTTCGTTGTTTTCTTAATTAATAGTCCATATTGTTCAAAGTGCTTCAAGCACAGAGGTCAACTGTGCTTCAAGCACAGTTCGTCAAAATTCAAGCACAGAGGTACATTATGGGGTTGACACTGACAGGCAAGACTTTACTGAATGTATAGTCAAACTTTCCATGGAATACGTAATTCGCAAAAGAAGGTGACAGGGTTGGATAAAAAATACTAAATGAAGCTGTGTACTCTTACATGCAGCAGAAGAAAGTACTGGAGCAATGTCCTTGGAAGCAAAAATTGCTCTGTCAGTGTGATGGGCTGCTAACTCTGAAATATGCTTCTCATGGAAGGTGCTTACTGACACCAATTTAGCAAGAATCTTGGAGTCTTTTCAGGTATTTGCAATATGTTACAGAAAATGTGTAGCTTGAAGTTCCTTGAAATTTTTTTCCAATTCAGTTACTCTGTACATCCAGGAAGACATTCATCTTGACACACTAAAAGATCACATCACATGGTATGCTTTTGTCTTTCTGTTGCAGACACTAGAGAGTGTGCAAGTCCTAAAGGTACTTAATCTGTCTTGTTTCTGCTTACCACCACCACACACAGATTCAGCAGCTAACAACAATTTCCTTTTCCTTTTTTTTCACAGACTGCATTAATGGTAACGGTAAAGATTATCGTGGCACAGTAGCAAAAACTGGAAGAGGCAGGACTTGTCAAGAGTGGAGCTCTCAGAAACCTCATAGCCACAAATATTTCACTCCTGTGACTCATCCAAGAGCAGGCCTGGATAAAAACGTAAACAGCTGCTAAAACCATTGGTGTCATGAACATTTTCTCCTTTCTCCATGACCCCTCAGTAAACACTTCATGTTCAGTCTTTATAGACCAGGTTAAGCATATCTGGAAGTCATCATGTTGATAGCCCAGACCTATAATAGTGTTGAAGAGGGAAGGATGCATTTTCTATTATCTAGGATGTTGATACTTCAAGCACAGAGGTACACCATAGGGTTGACACTTGACAGGCAAGGCAGCACAAAAGAAATCATACAGTGCTTCCCAGGTTTCTGTAAACCCCAAAGAAATACCTTTTGTTGTTTGACACAAACTAAGCAGACTTCTGGCAAATTCCCGGAGCTGCCCTAACCTGCTGTCACTGTTTTAGTGCAAGTCATCCAATGACAAAATTTATTCTCATGAGGCCTTAATAAACACTAGTGCTAGGGTGACTCCTGGTGGATGAAGAAAATTATAGGAATTTTTTATATTTTTCTAATTTCATCTAGTGGTTTTGAGAAAAAAGGAAAGAAAGAATTTTGTCATCAGAGGAAAGAAAAAGCATTTAACATCCAGTGGAAAAAGTAGTTGGGGGAAAATCATTCAAAGTTTTAGTTTAACAATTTTTTAAAAACATGCACTTATAGACTTCATTCTGTGGCTAACATTTGGAGTCTTCATTCTCTGTTTTTGTAATTATTACAGTATTGCAGGAATCCTGATGGAGATGTAAATGGTGTTTGGTGCTTCACAACAGACCCAGAAAAAAAATGGGAATACTGTGAAATCCCACGCTGCTGTAATTATCCTTAAAGACTTTTCTGTCCTCCATTTCTAAAACTTGTCTTGATAGTTACAAAATGCTTTCAATCCAACCCTAAAAAACTGCAGTAGGCACTAACTCTAGATTTGAATTTAGGTCTGTATGGAAGTTTGACACAATCAGGCACCTGTAACTGTCAGCCAAAATTTAGAAAACCTGGTATTAAGAATCATCAGTAAGATTTCATAGACAACAATCTGTGTGCTCTTTATCTTCAGTGAAGCGAAGCATTAAGAGTTGCTAGATGAATTGAAATATCCAGTGAAGCCGTGAAGTACTCCTTTCCTGGACTCCTCAAACACAGGACAGGTTTTCCTTGATGTTGATGCTAGTCCTTCCATTCACTTTGTGACAGGACTAATGCATCCAGAACCTGCTCTTAGTTGGGAGCGACATAGATGACATCCTTTGAAACCCTTTTCATTCTCTGCTGTCTTAATTTTTATTCTGATCCAGATGTTAAAATAATCTGTCCCTAGATATTTTCCCTTTCTTTTGGGGTAGGGACTGAATCTTGTGTCTAGATATTTTACAAGGTATCCTTAATGCTTTTTTTCTATTTTGAAATAGTAATCAGTACACTGAGCAGGTGCAGTGTTTGCTAAAAAATTCAAAGAAAGGGATTTTACCTTCTGTGGTACTCTGGCAGTGGGCATCAACAGCAGGTGCAATGTACTGGGAGCGCTGCTTGGCACACCTGGCAGTTACCTCATTTACTTTACTCTTCCCTTCCCTGCCTGCATTTAGACAGATTTTTTTTTTTTTTTAATATATCTGGCAGGGATATGGAAAGTCTATTTCTTCTTCATCTTATGTAGTATTTTTGGTACAGTAACATCTAGAGGCCAGGTCCCTGCTCTGTTGGACAATGTAGCAATACAAAATAATGAAGAGTGGTCACTCCTTCAGCAGTGTGTGATATTCTTCATGCTGGCCATCACGTTCCTCTAAGTATTATGATTGTACACATTAGTTTTGTCAACCAGTTCTAAGAGCTGCACAGGCAAAAAGAATAAGTAATGGTATACAAACAACACATATCACAGCTGTAAAAACCTCTTCCCTGGAACTGCTGTGGTGGAGCTTCGCTTTGAGATCTGATTTCTTTTCAAAGCATCCTTTGAATGTCAGGTTTTTAAATTAAAGGTGTAGGGGAACCTTACAGTCTCTAGTGTTTTATTACTTTATTAATTGTCTCATACTGGAACTGACAAATTTAACATCCATATCACCATATGCAGCTCTGGAAAGAGTTACTTGGGTCCTTAGCAAGCACCCAAGTTCAAACCATTTGAAAAAGTTCAGAGAGATTTGGATTAGAAAGAGAGTGAACCATGTGAGAGCAAGATTGGAATATTTTATGACAAGAGACAACAACTCAGTTTTATTTATAATCATTTATAGGCTGTAATGTTTTAAAGAATTTAGAAGTTGTTATTATTGTCCGGTCAATAAACTCTTCTGCTTTCTTTAGCTCTCTTTTCCCTTCAACTTCCTTACAGATTTTCTTTTGGGGATGGGGCTCACTGTAGTTTTATTTATATTATCTGACTACATAAAAATACTTGACATAGTTAACAATTTTTTCCAGGTAAATTAATATGTTTTCACATCAAATGTTATATATTAGCCCCAGTTTTAAATGCTCAAGGTAACAAAAATATAATGGAGTCTAAAGGTTCTGGTTGTTTCTTTACCCCTAGTTTCTATTAACCAATGTAAGAGTGAAAGCTTAAGGAAGATAAAAAAAAGCTCATGCCTTTCTTTTCATCTGATTGCACTGTGGATGGCATTACAGAACTGTTTTAAAATTCTCCATTGTAGCATTTTTAATTCTGTAGCTGCTTCTGCGAATGACTGTGGAAAAGTCCCAATGAGGAGCGAGCGAGCCTGTGGGCAATATAGCATGTGTGAGGCAACTCTGGGGTCTTGGCCTTGGCACATCAGTCTCAGGACCAGGTACTGGTATTCCAGACTGTATCACCATCCATGAGCAACAGGGTTTCACAGGGAACAGGTGTTAGAAAGAGACCAACAGGAAACATTGCATATGCTTCTGGAGACTGGCCTTGGTTTCTATATAAAATGCCATAGCATGTAAAATAAACCCTTTTTTTTAATCATAATGTCCACAGATAGCTATTTACTGGGTCATTAATCCCAAACTCCCCACTTTCTCCTGAATCTCTAGAGGGCAAAACATTAAGTACACCTTTGTTTACTGAAATGGGGAAGGAATAATTGCCACTGAGGATAGTAACAGTTAATTGCACTCTGCAGTGAGGGATTTAAACTCAGTAATATAGCCATCAAATCACAATGGGTATGAATGGATTTTGATTATCCCTTATCACCCAGCATCCAATCTGGTTCAAATATAAATTGATGCTGTGACCACCCTAGTCATGTTAGAAGCCATAGGAAGACCATCATGTCTCAGTATAAAAAAAATGATTATGCATAGCATTTGCACAGTCACAATGAGAGTGGCTGAACAGGAGATGAAGAAGTGCTTACAGAAAGGCTAATTAAAATTTCTACAGAGTTGTTGACAGTCATCATAATAAATATTATCTCAAGAAAACTTAAAAGTCTAGTAAGTTTTATTTAAAGAGCTGGTCCAAACCAACCCCACAAATCAGAAGGATGTATCCTTCTATTAATAGTTCATCAAGACAAACACATTACACTACAAATTAAATTGTTAGGAAGTGTAATTATTTTTATTGAATTCCTGAAAGCAAGAATGACCTGTGGCAAAAATTTCGCCTGGGTGTCGTTTCTTTTCACATCTCATGTTCTGGAGCAAAGCTTGTCCTTTGAAATCTGCATTTTGTTTCTCTTGCCTTTGGCAAAAGACAAACTAGGACTGGCAAAAGGTTTGAATAAGGGGCATATTGCTAATTCGATAGTGTTTCCCACGGGGTACAGCATACATGGTGGTCAAATTAATGTGATTGTCTTCTGTATTCTAGTATCAATGTGCACCACTGTGCCGGCACTCTGATACATCCACAGTGGGTCCTTACTGCAGCTCAGTGCTTGCAAGAGTGAGTATCCACTAGAACAAATAATAGACATTTCCTAAATCTGTATGAGAAAATCAACAGAGGAGCAAGATGTACCCCAAAAGGCACTTTCTTTACTCCTTATTTCCTGTCTTTATTGCCAGTAAGCTGATTTTTATCTTCTGCTCCTCTCTCAGTCCAAGAGCAGCAGAGCACAAACAGAGGATACCTCTGTTGCCTGCCCTCTCCCCCACCCCAAAGCATGCTGAACAGGGTGCTAATGATGTGCTGGTGCTAACTATACTTGGAAAAACTGTGGCTAGCCGCTGACCCTTAGGGCTTTAGTAGCTGTGAACACTGCAAGAAGGTGCCACATTGTTTACAGCCAACGGGATTTTTCATTGTCATAAAACCCAAGCCATTAAAAAAGCCACATTTTCCTTCTCCCCAAGAATAAATGGGGGCATCTATGGTCAGAAACTGGAACCTGACCATCTTATTAATTGCAGTTCTCCAGGGAAATAACTGAATTTTATAAGAATTATATTCCTGACCACATGCATGGATGTGTAATCTTGCCATTGCCATTTCTTCCAGGTCAACAGAGCCTTCTTCCTACAGGGTGTTTCTTGGGATACAGAATCTCAATGCAGCAGAACCATCCCTGCAGATCCAAAGTGTTCAGAAAGTATTAAAGGAACCAACTGGAGCAGACATTGCTTTGCTGAAGTTGAGCAGGTACCATTTCAGTCCAAGCTTTCCACCCCTAACACCTTTATTCTGAAGTCACAGTTTAGTTTAGCCTGGAGTTAGCTCTCAGGGGTGATTGTGGGTAATATGAGAGAGCGTGAGAGTCCCTTCAAGTGCTAGCATAGGCATCTGTTTAAGGGTGAACTCTGAACATATCTCCTGTTGAATGACCCTATTGGCCACTGAAACAGGGAGGGTGGAGGCAAACTAAAATGGAGTTGTGTCTGGAGGATCTTCTGCTTGGAGGCTTTTCCTGCTCAGTTCTGAGGGCTGTGAGCCACAACAGAAGATTTGGCCAGAAGTTACCACAGCTTCTGCATGAGGCAAGTAGAATGGTCCAGTTTTCCTGGCAGTGCTCCAGGCCAGGCCACATACGTGTTTCATGAGCTGCAGCCTTGGCCAACAGCTCAGTAAAATCAGATCCTACTTGTAATACAGTAAAAAATCCCGTGCATAACTGTAGTTGCCTGAAGCCCTCTTTTGGGTCTTGCTTAGATGTTTGAGCAGTCTGCTCTGGAATGTGTACAGTTATTTCAATGTTATTTGGGATAACATTGGGATGCTCCTGAAACTTTTCTACTTATTGTTTTCCCTCTTCTTATTATGCTCACCACACGTGGATAAAAGATCATGAAAAGGTCATGTTTGACCTGAGAGGACATTTCTTTTTTGAAATTCACCATACAGCTTTAATGAACTTAGAACAATTTCACTTAAATTTCAATTCTGGTGCTTGATTAATCAAAATCCCACTGACTTCAGGTGAGCAGAAGGAACTCATGCTTCACCAGTTTTACTCTTGCTACTGCTTGCAACTGTGTCACTCAATTCCTCTTTCATTAGGTGCTCTATGCACATTTGCACTGTAGATACATGCATGCTATAGCACTGTAGTCAGTTTTGTATCAACAGCACTCACCATCTGAACACATTCTGCATGTGAGATGCCATAAATAGCAGATATAGACATCATACCCCTCAGTTTCTGACTTAGATCAGCTTTGCCTGTTCTCAGCTTCATTAAATTCCTTCTTTACATTTGCCTTCAGCTTTCTTTGTGAACCTTATTTTTTCCAAATCTTCACTGTCTGTTCATGAAACAGATCACCCAAGAAAATAACGAGGCGAGAAGACTGGTTGCTACTCCTATACCTGCATTTTGTGGCAATAGACAAGACTTGTCAGAGAACTGGTGCAGGTCTGTGAAGATCTTGGCAAAAATCATCCCAAAGGAGGGCTGATCTATTGAGGAGGACCACTGTTTTCAATAGAAGTCTAGTCCCAGGTGAATTATGTGCCATGCTCCTTAGAAGATGTGTGCTGTCCAGGACTTTAAACTTCCATTTCAATGTCATTGACTGTATTCTGGTGTATCTTCTGAGGACTTGTTCCCTGCTCTCCTATTCATTTACCTACCCAGACATCAGAGACCTCTGAGAAGGTGCCAGTATCCACTCAGTGTTCGTTGCAATCCTGTTCAAAGGCCAGTTCCTTGTGTGCCAACAGGTTTTTTAGGTGCTGTCTCACCCTAGGGTGGATGTAGAATTTCCTTGGTGCAGAATAGGAGCATAGGTAGAAATGGAATTTACTTTTTGATGTTGGGGAAGCAGAAACTGCAATGCTTGACTGCTGTAGTTCAAAAATATTTGCCTGGCTACAGTCACACCAACAGGCTAAAAAGAAGCCAGAGTTGCTGTGAGTGCCATACTACCTGTGGAATTAGACCTAAGATGCTAAATACAACCTTGAAGATAAAGATCCTAGAGGAACAGCACTAGAAACCTAGAGAAACCCCTCATCAATATGAGCTTTCTCACTTCAATCTCCTCTTGTTTATTAATTTTCAGGAATTCTTTTGATAAAAGTGGACTTTATTGAGAGGTAAATGAACTAGTTTTGGAAGCTTCAGAACTGATTTCTATTCTTGTAGGGAAAAGAAGGATTAACTTCATGGAACCATATGAGAGTGGAGTTTTGAGATAACAATCCGGGACTTCAGAGGGCTGGAGGATAGAGTTCAAAATTATGATAGCATTGGCACGTCTGTAGCTTTAGCACAGGAGCTGATTACCATCTCCTACCCTCCTGGACTGCTGCATTCATGTTTCATTCAGATTTTTGTGTTGGAGAGATTTTTATTTTAAGATGTGTCAGAGTCATTACCCTTTGGCTTCTCATTCTCTTGAATTTTCTTGGGGCTCATGGCCCTGACATTGTCTGATTAAGAACAGGGGGATTTGTTAGTTCCCTTTAATTGGACATTGAAGATCTAACTAGCTATCACATCACATCATCACATCACATCACATCACATCACATCACATCACATCACATCACATCACATCACATCATCACGTACTTTGAAAGTAATTCTGGGCCTGAAAAGAGATGATAAAGGTTCATTTTACCCTGACTGAACATCTGGAGTTTTCGGGTCCTTTAACTCTCTTTCACAATCAGAACTAACCTTCACAGGGTAGGTTTCTGACAGTAGCAAATCTCATTTCACGGCTTCTTCAGACATATTTTCACTGTGCCAGAACTGTTTGTACTTGTCTGACTCCTAGGGTGATACATCTTCCAGAAGCCACCTCATCTTTTTACATCTACATCTGTAAGTCAATAAGGGATCAGATGGTCCAAAGCAAAAAACCCCCTATGCAGTATTTTCGTCTTCTGCAGAACTGCTTCCCGGGGCCCTGTCCACTCCATATCAAGCTTTGTTCCAGTGCTGAAGTATCCAGGCATGATGTTGTGATAAGAAAGAATTTTATTTTGGTATTTGCTTTATTGAGGTACTAGACTTAGTAATGTGTGTGATACTGAATGATGTTACCCACAGCTATATCAGCCATGGAACCAGAGAAAGGAATTTTCTGCAGCTTCAGCTGTGTCTGCTTATTTACTCATTCATCCATCCTTCCCTCCTGCTGTGAAGTCACTGAAAATGTCCACGACCTCTGAGGCAGGGACGATCTGAGATAAGTCAGGTTCACACCACCTGCAAGGGTTACTGGGGGCTGGGCTTGTGCCTGTGCATGTTCCTACAGTAGCAGGGGTAGCCAGAGAGCAGTGCTCTAGCACTATGCTGCAAACACACTCGAATTGTGACTGTGCCTGCAGACACATCGCAGAGACTTCCAGTTGCTGTAAAAAATCTCTTTTTTCACTAAGTGACTAGGCACCATTTTACAACCATCTATACAATTTTAAGGCACCATCACCTTCTCCACTCTTCTCCACAACGTTTCCATGCAGAGTATTCTGAGTATGCAGACTGAACAAGCTAATGATAATTTTTCTAAGGATCTTTTAATTTTATTTTTTTTTCCAGTCCTGTAACAATTACTGACCGCGTAAAACCAGTTTGTTTGCCTGAAAACAGTCTGATGGTAGAAGGAAATGCAGTATGTTTTCTAACTGCCTGGGGAAAAACAAGAGGTAAAGCATATTTGGTGCAGTTGAAAATTTAGGAATGTTTTCAAATCCTATTCCAAAATATATATACTCATGGGACCTGAAAAACACATTTTACTTAAGATTTAACTAACTCAGAGGTCACCAGGATACTTTATTCTTTTTATTTCTTTCTCTCAGAGCCTGATTTTTCACCCTCATTGCTCACATATACTGAACTCATTAAACAAGATAAAGGAGAGGAGAATTAGACTTAAGGCTCTACCACCTTTTATCTCTGTCTATTTTAGTCTTTCTTCAGCTTAGGTATACATTGTATTTGCACAAATAAGGACAATAAATAATGCCCTTGCCTTTAATTTTGATCTTCAGATATACATTTTTGTTTAACATCTGAATGAAGCTTGTACTTGCTTTCCTGTAGTTTTACTGTCTGCATAGATATCTGCAGGCACCTACATTCACTCCAGACTAATAGGATACATGGGCAAGTACCAGCCTCAAGACCTTGTATCTGAGATAAGATGGCATCCCAGGAACCATGAAGCCTTTGAGTCAGAGCTTGCTCAGATCGAGCCACCTTATGGGCATGGGCAAAATTAGTTGAAGCTGAAGCCTTTTAATGTCAGTAAAACCCTTACCTGAATTTTGTTCACAGTCTGGCATTAAAAACTGACCATGTAGTGTCCTGCTTCCCAGCTCCCACTCCACCTATGCTGAGGGCTGAGAATACCCAGCTCTCTTTGACCCACTTTTGCTGCAGCAGGAGATGATTCCTTGTCCCTGTGGCTTCCAGCAGTGATTCTGTCATCTGTCCTTGGTCAGTCCCAGCTCCCACGTACACACTTACATCCTTGCTGAGCTACACACAAGGGATGCTCTTCCTACCCCATTTGCCAGACAGTACCTTATTAATACTCCACGTGTAAAACAAAGACAATAGATTCTTCTTTGTGCGTGCATCCACAGAATTAAAAAAAAAAAAAAAACAAAAAAAAACAAAAAAAAAAAACAACAAACCAACAACAAGAAAACAAGAGAACATGTCCCTGTCTCTAGGTTTCACCATAAAACCCTTCCAAGTAGAATGCAGTACCTTTTCCCCTTTCTTGTGTCATTTAGCTACAAAATTGATGCTATGAAAATAATGCTGAAGAATAATCACCCTACTATTAGTGTAACTCATCAGCTTTATCAAGAAACACTTTTCTCCAGCATAGACAGTATTTACTGGCTTTCCTCTCACCTTTTCCCTTCTTACCTTGCATTTTTTTCTTTTTTGTTCAGCTTGCCACACGGTGGCAGCTGCTTCCTATGTTCTAGTGATCACAGACACAAAAAAAAAAAAAAAAAAAAAAAAAAAAAAAAAAAAAAAAAAAGTCAAGGCTAGATTTCCTCGGGAAGTGCATTAGGATGGAAAAATCAACAGATCATTGTTGCATTTAGGCAGTGGAGAAGATGGTCCTGTCATGTTATGAAACAAGTTCATGAAATCAGAGTCCCACATCCAAATAAATTGTGTTTTGGGAAAATTCAGCCTTGTCTTCAGGAAAATCCTCCTTGTCTAGAAAACACTTAAGGCTTGAAAGAGTTCAAATTAACGTAAAGTAAATCCAGGCTAACATTTTTCCCCCTGAAACAAGCCATTGTTACTGCACCATGATGAAAGCCTACAAACCAACACAATGGCTCATAATACTAAGGTTTTATTTATTTAGCAATACTGTTCAAATAAGAATAATCTCTGCTTGTTGAGGGTAGGCATGATCCAACTACAAAGAATTTGAAAGACTTAATAAGATCCTTCAGGGACCTCAGAGACTATAGCAGAGCTAGGGGTGGATTCCAGTCCTTTCATTACTGAGGCTTCACTGGATCACAATGCCCGGGCTATCATTTATAACGGTTATATTTTCTTGGTTATTCATGAAGGTACCAATACAGACAACAGATTAAAAGACGTTGAATTCCCTGTGCTTGAAAATAGAATATGTAATCGCCCTGAATTTCTGAATGGAAGTGTCAAAAATCATGAATTTTGTGGTGGATTTACTTTTGGAAGCATAGATAACTGTGAGGTAAGAATAATCTAGCTTTGAGTGTAAGCAGGTCAAACAACTATTTGTGCTTTCAAGGCTCAGAAATAGCTTCAGCAACTCAAGGCTTCTGCGTGAAGCATAAGAACTGAGGTACACATAACATTTTTTCTTCACTCACATAGTCAACCAAAATAGCAGGGGAATTCTGTAGGGTAATTCCACCTTTTTTTCAGAACTGCATGCTGACATATACTACTCATAGTAGCCTACTTTTGTGAATACCCCACCTCACCTGCAATAAATCCTGTAATATACTACCTGGACTTCCCTTCGTTCCTAGAGACAGAGTGGAAACTAGTGACTCTTTCTGGTGCAGCCTGGAGTTGTACCACATCTTTATTTAATCCCTTGATTAAATAAAGCTTCAAGTACTTCCAGTTTTCTAATTTTCACAAGGATATGAAAAGACTTTTAAAATGTTGTTTTCTTAATGGAGGCTATCATGTTGGGAACTTTTCAATAAAAAGCTGGTAGCTACTTGGTGACAGAGTCAGAAAGCAAACGCTGGTCTATCTGAGCAGGTGTTCAAGACTGCCGGTGCAAATGATATCCTTGAGTGTGTGGACAGTGCCTTCATTAATAGGCTCACAAAACATTGGACATAGGTATTCATATCCTGCCATGCCTGGATTTTAAGGAAGAGCATTAAAACAATTACATTTGTTTTGTCCAGGATCAAGTAGGTCAAGTAGGATATGGAAAATTAAGAAACTTCCCCTTTCTTGTGTAACTGGCCTCTCAGTGATCTGGGCATGTTCCCACATCTGTGATTGGTAGATCTTCAGACCAGGGGAATGGCCTGGACACTTGGAAACAATTTTTTTTTCCCTCCCAATTTTTTTACTCCAGTACATCTAATAAAACACACTGTCTCTCTCTCTCCAGCCCTTGCCTCAGTCACATTTTGAGTCCTTCACAGTTATCATGATATTATGCCTGGTAGTATTTTGCTGTTTGCATGTCTAGTGTCTCTATTACTAGAGAGGTCACCTTACTCTCTCTTCTACTCCCTAGGCTGAAGTTGGAGGACCTCTGGTCTGCCAAGATAAGGACAGATTTATCCAATATGGAGTCACCTCTTGGGGACTGGACTGTACCCAGCCATCAAAGCCTGTTTTTGTCCGAATTCCTAGTTTTGTTTCTTGGATCAAGAATGCAATAGTTGTCCACTGAATCTGGATGCAGGCTGGCTTTTTGGGAAAGCAGAAACAGCATTCAAAAAAATTTTAAATTATAATAATTCATAAGAATCTTAAATAAATATAATTACTGGGTAAGCATAAGTAGTTATTGCAACGCAATAGCCAAGTCAACCAATTATTTTTGTCTGTCAGTGTGTCTGTTTTGTGCCTGGGTAAGTCAACCATGTTACATGTGGCAGCAGCTGGAAGCTTCCTACTTCATCCCTCTCTTTTGAGATGTGCTCTAACTCATGAAAGTGGCTGCCTCTTTGTTCAGACACCTGCTTTTCTCCTCTGTACATGTAAGCAGCTAGCCTATCTCTGTGTACAAGGTCTTCCCACTTTAAGAAACTTTATCCCAATTCAGGCCTGCCCCTGTACCTATCACTGGCGTCTCCTCCCCTTTCTGTTGCTGCTCCAGGAATAAGAAAGTAGAAGCCAAACCCAGCTGCTGCCTTGGGTAAGAAAAAGACTAGGCTGTGCCTGTGCTGTGAGGAGCTGGATGAATGACTGTTAGGGTTGCTTCCTCTTGAGGTTAATGCCCCCCCCTTTCACCACCCAGGCAGAGATTTGTGCTGTGCTGTGCAATCATCTAACCTTCCTAGGTTAGATATTTGCATGTAAAAATACAACTATTCACTCCAGCAGGCAAAGCATTGAGTTGGATGGCATATGGTATGGTTAAGACATTTGTGAGGCACTTGCAGAGAAATCCTGCTCTCACTTGTGACATCAATAGTTCAGTCCTGACATAGAGTTCAGGAATTAAAATAAACTGTTCTTTCAGTTTATTTCCAGAAGAGGCAAGGACATCTCAGAGGATTGGACAAGTGAAGCTGAATGTCATGGCACTAGTGCTTGCTTTATTAGGCTCAGCTGCTGATTATTGCTAGAGACATAAAAATTATTAAAGAATGAAGGATTTTTATAGAACATCTATTAAACTGGAACCATCATGAGTACTTTTATAAACTGCTCATAAACAAAGATGATGTTATTGTATGTTAAACTCACACACATAAACGCACACTGACACATGCACATACACACAGTCTGACAAAATATTAAACGAAATCTGAAGGTGATATTCTCACCTCATTAACATTTTGTTGAAAATCTCATTGACTCACATGGCTTGAACTGATTCCATTCCACACAGCCTAGAATGGAATATCACAAAATCATTTGCTGCCTTTGCCCTTTTAACATTTCATTTCAGTAAGATTAAACTGGTTAGAACATCCTTCCTTCACTCAAGTTAATGAGTCAAGAACAAGCATGGAAATAAACTTACACATAAGTGACAAGTAGAAACTGCACTGGCAATTTCAATATACACATTGTGTGGAAAATGGAGGTGGCTTGTCCTTCTTTTCTGAGACTATCATAGAAACAAAGAGCTATAAATATTCATCCTATTTTAGTGACATTTCTAGACAGCCAGTTTCATCATTAGCTGGAACCACCAGTAAACAACACGCTGCTACAGGGATCATTATATATGTTGTATATATTACTGTATAAGTGTGTGGAAAAATACCAGAATAGCACCTTACAAATAGCAGACATTTGCTGGGGTCTTTGGAGGTACTTGGGCAATTGTCGGATAAAATGAAAAATCTCTTCCCAAACATTCTCTCCTCTGCTTTTCTAACCAGAAGTGGAATAGTGGTTATGCTTATTTTCTTCATTTTCTCTTCCACATTCTGCTGCCAAATAGCCCTGACCCTCATCCAAGGACTCCCCAATAACTCCCAACATTTTGGACAGAATGGTCAAAGGGTTAAACTGCACCATTATGTGCGAGAGGAAGGACTGGTGGGAGTTCTACAACCCTCCCTCTGCATGGGCTCCAGAACTGCAGTCACAGCTGAGTCCTGTGATATGTGGCGGCAGAGACAGGAACTACTTGCTTGCTAAATGCAAAAAAGTGTAGCCATGACCTAACAGCCACCAGTCTTTGAGGAGCCTGAATGCAAGCAGATACTCATTTTCTTATAGCCTCTGCCAAGAAGAAAACAGGATTAAAAAGAAAAATAGACATACGGGTTGAATTTCAGGCTCTATTATACACTGCTTCTCCACTTCTGCTTTGCAGCCCCACATGTAAAGTGTGACAGCAGGCTGCGTGCTAAATGCCACAACTGCTGAACTGGGCTCTATTTTCAAGTATTTACAACAATTCACTCTTCAGCTGCTTAATTTTAAGGTGGGGGAAAGGCTGTGTTTTCTCTTAATCACCTCCAGTAAAGACTGCTGTCAGATTCTCTATAGCATTAATGCTTTTCACAAGTCTGTTAAAGGCAATTGCAGCATCCCTGTTCTTCAAGATATTTTTTCAATAACACAGAAACCCCAGTAGTTAATTCTTTAGATCTTTCTGATAGAAAGATGACACTCTGTTTACTTCCAGAGAACCTCTCTGGTTCTCTAAAGTCTGTTTGACCATCCTGCTCGTTTCTTATATTTGACAGCAGCCAGAACAAATGAACATCTCAAAAACTAATACCTTCACATCCGGAAAAACATACTCTGTGTCTCCTTACTGCCACCGTCACTTTCCTGTCCTTGGATACATTAGTGTCTATAGCCAGAAATTGCAGAGATGAGCTAATCCACCAGGTCTTCTACCCTCTGTGTACCTTCATATGTAAAACAAGGACAGAATTTATTTTTAACTTGGCTTATCTTTTTCATTCCTGAGCCCCATTCCATCTCACCTGCAGCAGCTCCTGCCGTTAGAAGCCATCTATGTTATCCCTCTGGGGTTGCTGGCGAAAGTTCCCTCTGACTGTGAATCAGGGCTATATAAATCTCATTTTTATCACTTGTTCTGGTTGCCATTGAAAAGAAAGTAAAAATACCTTCCTTATTTCCCAGCTATATGTGGATCTATGCCATAGCATTATCCCTCGGAACTCTTACATGAGCTCCTTAAGTTCATGCTCACCACAGTCTTGCAGCTGTGCCCTTTCTTAGAGCTGCCTTTTGAGATTTTCCCCTCCAAGCAACCGAATTTTGCTATTGGTCCTTTCTCTTAGCAAATAACTGTTATCTAAGAGACTGTTTTCTGACTTTCTCTGATTCTGAAATTTAGGGAAATTATGTTTATGTGAATTTATAAAATAAGGTGTGACCTGTATTCTGACATTGTTTGCAATTTCTTTTGTAGGGGATCTTTCTGAGCTTACAGTAAACCCAATTTCAAGGGTCAACTTCTATTTAAAAAGCCTCCTACTGTTGTTTATATTTTAACCACTGTGCTAACTAATGTACCCTGACTCTGAAATAAGATCTGATAAACTTCCACCTATGGTAGGCCTCACAGTGGTCAAATAAATGAGAACAAACACCACAAGACCAGAACTGGGGAAAGATTTAGATGCTGTGGATCTATGAGGGAAAAGAGGAAAGGAGGAAAGGCACAATAGGAGACAGTTAAATCAAGAGTTTACAAGAGATCCTTTCAAACATGAGGCCTTGAGTCATCATATCCTTGCCACAAGATAGCAGTGAGGAGCGCCAATCTGGTAGATGAAAGACACTTTTGACATTTTCTTGTGAAAAACTTACAGAATGAGCATTTTTGTACCTGGATCAATTGCTGACAATATCCCAAGACCAGTTTTCCAGGATCAGATCTATTCAGACAGAGGTGAATAGTATTTCCCCAAATCCGCATTGTCATCTTTGAAAAAAAATGGCAATACAGGTTTTCTTTCCCTTCCTCATAAATAAATCACACAGAAGTAGGTGCATTTTAACCAGGTTCAAGGCAATGAGCTTGAGAGAAGTCTGAAAGTGGCAACTGCTATAGGCCTGAAGGAGTATACACGGACCTTTAACATGAAAAAATCTTGCAAAAGAGTGCTTGCTTACATGATGCATGCAGATGTTTCCAAACCATCTCAGACACACGTTAACACACCTTTGGCTGCTACAATTAGCCCCTTTGGTTTTGAAAACCTGTAGGAAAAGCAGATCTGATCAAAATCTTTAAAACATCACGTTTATCAAAGAGTTTTACAAACTCAGTTAAAACTCAGCTTTTCAAACCTCTCCTGTGCAGGAGAAACTGACACATGTAACCCACATATGCAGGTTTTCTCTTACACTTTAACCACCAGATAAGTACCATAACACAGTAAACCCTGCAAATACCTCAGTGGAAATGGGAGATACAGAAGGATGGGGAATGTGCCAGAGGTGCTAGGGAGGGAAGGGCTGTGCAGAAAACACATTTGATATTTAATTAAGGAAAAAACCACTGTCTGATAATATCTGACGGGAAGGAAGCACGGGGATTGGTGAGCAGAACAGTGGCTGTGACTGTGGACAAGACAGTGGTCAGGGAATCAGGAGGTGTGGAGCAGGAGACAGGGAATCCAGGATGTGGAGTAAGAATTGAAAATGGATTTAAGACTATTAAAACCATGTTGGGCTAAATCAAACTTGATTAGGTCTCAAAAGCCTCCTTGCTGGTGAAGCCTACCTTGTATTCTGCTCCTTCATTTTATCCTTCGTTCTTAATGAGTAATTGTTCCTAAAACCCAATAAGCCTGATTCCACCTGTAATTGCGCAGTATCCATCCCCTCCTATCTGTCACCCTTCAAGTGTTTCCTTGAGCTGAGTCCAGGTCCATCAGCTACTCTCTTGGGTCCATCTGTTTTGTTTCCCTGGCCTAGTGTGAGCAGTCTCCCAAGCCTCTACAGATATACCACACTCTACTGTTATTCACAAGTTGCATTAAAACAGCTTCAAGCACTGAAGACAACCAGATAACATGGTATTACAGCACCCTACAAGGGAAAAAAGCACAGGACTGCAAGCAGAATCAACTCTAGATTTTTCAAATAATCAGTAAAATAAAAGCTAATGTTTCCCATACTAGAATGCCTCTCACATATTTACTTTTGCCCCCCTAGCTTTAACCCAAGCCCTCAGTAGAATGTAATTTCTACTTAAAATAAGGAGGACATCAAGGAAGTGGATAGACACACTATTTTTTTAGAAGAAACTCATGATTCTATAAACTCTGTGGCTTCAATTGCAGAAGACTGAACTGCATGACACAGCAGCACGCATTTAAGCCTGTTTTCCTCATCCAATATTCAGCCCCCTCCGCCTCTGGTGAGTCACTAGCACATCTGATTCAACAAGTTGTATTCAACAAGTTGTTTTGAAGCAACATCAGTGACCTAACATGCAAGAGAAGCCATGAAATGGTGCTGCAGTGCAACTTTTCCAAGGCAAAGGCCACTTGGGAAATGCAGAGTGAGCTGATGTTGAAATCACGGTAACACATGGATGAGCAAAGTCTGACACCCTCACTGGATAAGTTTATGCATGCAGAGTGAGGTTAAACATCTGGTAAGGAAGAACATGAAATAGCTATCTATCGGTCTTAAACATAATGCTATTCAACTAAAATGAACTCAAAGTTTTACTCTCAAATAGAAGAAACAAAGAAAAGCCTAGGTCAAAAAAACATAGGAGAGAAGGAATTATTTAATAAAAAATTAAAATTAAACTATTTTATAGAGTTAATATTATCTGGATCTGATAATCATGCTTACCCTGAGATTGAATGAAAGTTCATCCTTATAAGTCAATACAGGTATGCCTGGCTGGAATTACCATTGGACTCTAGTATCAGGAGAAACTAACATTCTGCTTGGACACATGATTTCCCATGCTTTCCAACAACGTTATTGCTGTCTATTCTCTAACAAAGAGAGACCTAACCATTTGAGAACCAAAAAATGCCCTACAAAATAAGAGAGTGCCTTCACATTTCCCAGCATCCAGTACAAATGACTGAGCCTGATTTGGTAATCCATCCAATTCAAGGTTGTTTGAATGGACACACCACAGCAAAGGGGGTCACAGCATGGGAGAATGATTAACTTAATCTACCTGCCTTGTTTGTTTGATGCTGCCTGACTCCAGTGCAAGTCAATAAAACTTTGTGCGCCAACACACACAACTTCCAGCACCCACCGGCTTGGCCGAAATGGGGATTAGCAAAGACGCCTTTCTCTTTCTCTTCTTGCTCAGCTCAGGTAAGAGCCCTTTGCTTTCTGCTTGCCTAGGTGAGATGAGGGCCAAATGCTTGCAAGCCCCATTTGGTGAAGATAGGTCCCCAAATCTCTGTGTCACCACTTACCTGGATGACGATGGATTTGGGGCTTGCTGTCCAGAGAGAGTTGCTGTTGAACAAAGCAAGAGTTGTGGTTGCTCCAGTGTTGTGTGCGTTAGAGACACCAGAAGACCAATAGCCTTGTTGTCTATGTGGGGAACAAAAGGCTCCCCACAAATATGCCTCATGGCCAGAAATGGGGGGACCCTTGGAAAGAAGCCTATCAAAGGCCTGCTAAAAAGACACAGCTGTCTCTGGTTTCATCAGCCTTTTATCTAGGGTTGTTTCCTTTCTCCGTTATTGCCAAGTACTCTGATCCTTGTTTTGATTGTTTTAAAATTTGTAAATGCATTGTGGAAAAGGAAAAATTGTTCTACATGCTAGAATTTCAGTCTTTTTCATAGCCACAATCTTAATAGGAAATTTTTCATTTTATGTGATAAGGAGGCCACAATCTGGGCAGCATTAGTTTCTGCAGTATTTTTGGTGCTGCAAGACAGTTTTTGTGGAAGATAGTACAAAATAATCTGTAATACACAAAAACTGAGTAAGGCTCTTTTCATATGTCTTTTGGGGTTTAGTAGATTATAACTCTTACAAATGTTGAATAAATATTGTCTGTCCTGATCACTTTAAACTTCCATGAACTATGGGTTTCAGACGGCACATTGTCTTTCAGGTCTTCTGTATAACTACACAGCCTGTTGTGATTACAGTTAAAAATATAGTTATAAGTGTACAAACACATATGAAAAAAAGAAAAACAAACACATAATAATTTTACATATGTAGTTTTAAAATATAAAAAAGGTAACAGTTAGAAAAATTTGTGGGTAGATTTTAGCTAGAAGACGTGCTCCAGCATAAAAGTTCTAGATATTATTTAATGTTAAGAAAGATCACCTTAATTTAAATTCTAGTTTCTAAGCTTTGTTTTTGTAGAACAGCATAATTCAAATCAAATACACTTCTCAAATAAGTAAGAACATTATGTGGGGAAGGAAAATACAGGATTTGGGCTTTTGTCTGCAATACCCTGCTTTTGTTTCCAAATCGTTTATCAAATAGCGGTAAATATTTTCATTTCTGAATAAGGTAGTAATACATCTTTCTAACACTGAAAAATTCCATAGACATAGGAAAAATGATAGGAAGAAAATTTACTGCATTTTTAATCAGCTTGCATATATTATTTTTTTTCTTAAAGTGTTATGCCTTGCCATATAATCATAACAGAAAAGTGGAAAAATATTTTTACAACCCAAATCAATTACCACCCTGTCAATATGTTAAAAATCAAATGCTATAATCATAATCACAATATTATTGCAGAGAATTAAAGTTGTGTGGAAGCTGTACCATAATAGGAAATCTTTGCTTGTATTTCTTGTCCTTGTGGAGAGAATTGCAGCATCTCTATGAGACTGTTTTAACCTAGTTTAATGTTTTCTCTCAAAACTCATTTCTTCTGAATGTCATCTTTGTTTTGAAATAACTAGGGAATTAGTGATTCCTGTGCCTGTCACATGAAATGTTATTGTCTCCTTTTTCTTTTTTTTTTTTTAATTATTATTATTTTTTTTAGCAGCTGTCCTTTTCTTTCATGCATACTGTTAAATTGTCAACCCTTGGACCCAACTCTTCCCTAGTCTACATCCTGATTAAAAAACTTCTCTGGGTTTACAATGGTATGAGAGGAAGCATAATTTGGCTTTCGGGTCTCTTTTATCAGTTCCCTCTTGTAGGTGCAGAATTATCTTCAAGAAAACACTCTATTGCAGACTCAGCTAGCACTCAGGTGAAGGAATTTAACTGTACCATGAGGCATATGATCCTGCTTCATGCTACAAAAGGGTTTAACTCGGGAAAGGGAGACAGAGTTGCCTTCCTCAGCCTGAAAGACATTTCATCGAATATCCCCATGGAGCCCACCAGTCACAGGCTGTGGGTCTGAGTGGGACCTCAGACCTGAGTGGGCTGCTTTCTGCACCTCCTGCTGTCGTTGGGCTACAGAAAAGAAACAGAAAGGTCAGAAAAAGGTGAAACATGGCTGTCACATATAAGGGGAAAGCTGGGGTCTGGTTCATACCCTGCATGACTTTTATTCAGCAACTTCATAAATCCAGGCACAAAACCAGAGAAAGACTGAGATGTGTTGCAAAGACCATGGGAGAGCTATCTGTTTGGGGTTGAAACCATGAAAACTGGGTAACTCTAAGACCCAAGTATTTGTCAGTAGAATCATATGCTCATCTGATAAAGAAACTGTCACAAGACTCATGCAACTCCATGACCCTGCAGCTGGAATTCATGAAAGTCACAGTGCTGTGAACTATAGCTAAGCATTCAGAGATTGCATAGCTTTACAGAAAAAGAAAATACTAAATAGCAAAGACCTTTACACTAAGGATTGTACTTGAACATTTCTGGAGTTTACTGCTAAAAATAGCTGTACTTTTTAGTATCCTATATATTTCACATGCAGCTGTAGCCCAGAGTTTGTTAGGTGAATTTATTTATCAGTTGAATGGCTTGTATTAATTCACTGCAACAGAGGGCACCATCTGCTACCCTGGTTATTAAGTAAGTTCAGTACAGAGTTATTACAAAAATGATAAACTGAACATGAGCACAGTGATAACGCCAGTGACTGAGGATGGCTTATTTCTTGTGAGAGCAAGAGCATTTGAAAAGGGGCAGCTATGGAGTGGCTGACAAAACTTAAGTCATTCCATGTGGGTAGGTATCAGCAATGGACAATCACTGCTTCACACCCTTCTTGAGTCCCATTTCTCCACTTTCTCCAAACTATGGGCGACCAATATTTTCCTTTTGAAACATCTCACTTTTTTTCACTCCTTTAGTCATCGTCCCTGTTCCCGTCACTTTATACCCTATGTTTGTGTTACTTGTTATGACTTTCAGAATGATACAAAGCACTGTTTAAGCCACTTCTCTGTCCTGATTTACACTGGGTTTTCAGTTACACTGCTCTTTGCCGTACTAGGAAGGCAAGATTTACCCATATTTTGTCACCATTAACCCAGTTATTCCAGCAATTAAATGATGATGTTACTCAACGAGGTGACAAGGAATTTAACATGAGAGTTTGAAATAAATCAGATCAGCATTCACATTTTTACCTCTTTCTCTCTTTTTCCTTTTAGTGCAAGGAGACATACTAGACAGCTATGTGAGAACAGAGGGAGCTTGGCTGCTCAACCCAAAGAAGCAAATTTATAGGACAAATAGTGAAGAAGAATGTGCAGAGCAATGTGAAACTGAAAATAAATTTACTTGCAGGTAATTTCCACTGGTTCCCATATATATCTTTTATTGCAGATGATGGAGCACACTACCTTATTTATCAGTAGTCTGAACTTTTGAGGGATTTCTTAGGAGTATGTGTGTCTGAGGTTTGCCCCAAAAGATGTATAGAAACAGAATGCCTGGGACATATGGATGAAGACAGCAGAAATAGAGAAATTAAGAAAATTATGTTGAATTTTTATTGGAAAATATTATGATATTTTGATGCACAGCTTGGCACACTGAAAACCAACTTGACACGGTTTTATCAAGACTCTTGCACTCCTTTTGCAATAGAGTCATAATTAATTGCTTGGAGAATTAAGACAGTAATAATGGCATTGCTTATGTTCATTGAATTACCTATTATCTTGCAGGTGCATCCATTATTCTGAATTTTACTGGAATTTGGACTTACATAACTTCTATTCACTTTTAGAAAGAGATGACCATCTAAACTTTAATGATCCTAAACCCTACAGTCAAGCCCTCCCTCTGCATTTGCATTTAACCAGGCCCAAGGGGCTAGAAAGCATGAAAGAAGTTGACCAGCCTGTACCACCGGCTTTTGCTCAGGCTCCTGCCTCAGGAGAGCCTATTGCTTTGAGCCTAGGGCTTCTGAGCCTCCTGTGCTGAAGCCTCAGAGCCCATTCTACTTCAGCAGTACAGCAGGCAACTGGAGTAATGAGGAGAGATATCTCTTACTGCAGTAGGAGGCAGTCCTTACATATGAGGAAGGGAGGTTTTCTCTTCTAATCTTCATGGGTTCTTGATCTACCAGTTCTGCAGCATATCTTTTGAACTCAGCCAACTGTCTGCAGGGCTGTTTCCAGTACTTCATTCTCCATCAGGCTTTTATTCAAGGCAGGGATACCCTGGTGCTGTATTTTTCAAATGTGTTTTATAACTTTGTGTTTTAAATTAAAAGAGAAAATGAGACTTTAAAGAGGTGTAACCCTGAAGGATGACAGGAGTTTGCTGACTAAGCATGTGAAGTACCACCCATTCCCTTTGACCCAACCCACCTCTCTGAAAACCACAGAGGGCAGAGCTTCAGTAGTACTTGGCCCAGAAGGACAGGGAGGAAGGAAGAGAGGGCAGGTCTGTATATTCAGATTATATATTTACAGTTTGCAGAGGATTATTGTAATATTCCTTACCCTCTGCCTTAAGTCTTAGCCTACCATCACCTGACACTAGAATAACATCAGTGTGTTTTGTCCTTGCCTCCCTAATTAGTTATGTGATATCTGCTACAATCAATAAAGAACAGGTGCTACCTGTCAGGGAAGGATCTGGAAGAAGAAAGGTAAATGTTAGGCAGAGATTTAAGACCAGACCAGCACTGCAGCACCCTCATATTTAGTGCTTCAGAGCAGTGAGGTCAGGTCAATACTTCAGACTTGTTATCCCACCTTAGCACTCTGTTGGACCACGCTCATCAGCTACAACCCTACTTATAAATTTAACATTTCTGCTAGCTGGGCTGGGATCGGGGGGAGCAGTCTCCAGTGTAGTTTTGACCCAGGACAACCAGTGCTCCACACACAACTCACGGACATGATTACCAGCAGAGTCCAGATGTGATCCCTCTCCTTTGGGATGAGGCTATGCAAATTTACTAGTACAGGCACACTGGGACCATGCCAGTTGGTCGCAGGGCTACAGAACGGTCTTTGTCAGTATATGCTTTCCTGGTACAAACCTACCCACTGAATGCCATGTTGCTATTACTCTTTTTTTGGTTCTGATAAAACAGCTGTAGAAATGACTTAGCCTGTCAGGAATTTTCCTTGGATGCTATTGTAAAGGTTACACCATCCACTCCAGTTTCACAGACTTACAGCCTAGGCGCTTGCTGAAAAGACAAATGGCAGTGTTTTACAAAGTGCTTACATTGCTTCACATACGATGACCCAGAACTGTTATTACAAGGTAATTTAAGGTCCTGGCTTGTTGTGTTTTACCAGTTCCTTGGTAACTGCTGAATACTGTAGAATGTCTCATTTCTTGAATGACCACTGATTTTTGCTAAATAAGGTCAAGGTCCCTTGTGCATATATCCTCTTCAGCATGTTCTCTGGAAACCTTTTTTATCCCTTGTCATAATTTGTTCATGTAGCTCCTTTTCAACCTAAGTTTGGGATGAAGACTTAGGAGTCAAAGTCACCACAGAAAATGGGAGCTGCAATACTCAGTGATCTGTGAAACATCACTCAAACTTAAATAACACTGACATGCAGTGCTTGCTAAAATTATAACTCAATACTAGAAAAGGTGTTCAGGAAAATAATGCACATATTCAGCTGCTGCCTCTTACATTGCTCTCTCCTCTTAATTTCAACAGGGCCTTCTTATTCAGCAGTAAAGACCAACAGTGTTTAACATTGGCTGAGAACACCAAAACAGCAGTGATATTCAGAAGAACAAATGCAGTTCTTTATGAAAAAAGAAGTATGTCTATGGCTTTTTCATATTATTTCACTGAGAGATGCTTTCCAGTGGGGTTCATATAACCCTATTGTAAATGGGGGCTAAACCTTCACTGGGTCAGATGAAGTGGGTAGGTCAGACTTTACCTAACACCTGGGTTTACCGTATTGCTGGTATAGGAGTGATACCTTTTTTTTTTTTTCCCCCCGGAGATTAGTGCTCCAGCATCTTTCTTGCTTCATTAATCCTAGCATCCACAGGCAGAAAAGAGCACTGTTGCTTGGGGAAAGAAGAGGATGATGGTAGTAATGGAGGTGCTTAAGGGTTCCTTCTCTCCTCTTCATTTAAACCAGCCAATAATCTACAGCTGCATCTTCTCTGTATCTGCTGAGGGTACTAGGAGGAGCTACTTGTGCTGGCAATGGTTTCTGAGACAGACCTTTGCTCGCAGGAAAACTGATGGAAACTATTAAATAATTTCATTTGTATTATTAAAGAAAATTCACCATTTACTTAGGTAGGACTCAAATCAACTTCCTTTTAGTTGCACACCTTGTCAAAAGTATTACCTATGCTTCAGATAAAAGCAATCTATTTTTATAGTATTTGTGTATCATTATATGATGTTTGTATTCTTCAGTTAACTAATCTGTTGAAACTTTTATCCTAATCTATATTTTCATGGTATCATTAATTGACATGGTGAATTTTTGTATTCTCCTTTTGTACATGTTTTATTTCTGATCATTTGCGTCACAGATGAGGATTATTTGACTGATGTGTATTTGATATCCTATTCTTTCTGAAAATGGAAATCTGTCTTTAAGAAATGGCAACTATCCATTACCATCTCTTTTAAAAATCTGTCACCTTATGCCAGATGCAAATAAATGATTGGATTTTAAGATTATTTTTTAATTGCTTCATCAAACACACAGCTCTTGCTACACACAGGGAAGAAGGAATGAGTTTTATTTTTAATGTAACATGTTTCATTGTGTTGTTCTCTAACTTTATTAATACGCAAGGGAGAAAACATCTCCTGATCATACAGATTTAAGGTAACGTGGTAAACTTTGAATAGAATTACTGTTGTTCTCTGTTAAATGCCTTTGTGAACATTATCTTTCACCATTTGCTGTTTTATAACTTTTAAAAAAATATTAATGCATTTGAGACTATTCAGAAATTGGAAACTAGAGTATCTACCAAAAATTTGGTCTCCTTCAACAAAGGTGCATGAAGAGGAAAAATGAACCAGGTTCTCAGCTGCTGCAAACCATGCAGTCGTTTCAATAGGCCAGTTTCTAACTCAAAGTCAAGAATCACAATATCTAGATTGTAAATACCAACGAATCCCAGCAAATTGCATCCTTACTCCTCTGTTGCCCTGCAAAGACTTGTAGGATAAGATAATGCTATGTGTATAGCATCTGCAAGAAGATTTTATGTAGTAGTTCAACAGCTTTGGCTGGATTGCAGGCTTGCATCCAAATGAAACTTTGTTCAGACATTGAGTATATAATGAAAATTAATTTTTCACAGGAAGAGTGGGTAAGCACTGGACTACATTGCCCAGAGAGGTTGTGGAACCTTCATCCTTACAGATACTGACTGGACAAAGCTCTGAGCAGCCTCATCTAGCTCAAAAGCTGACTGTGCTTTTTATGGGGTTTAGACCAAAAACCACTGAGGGTCCTTTTCAGCCTGATATTTTCTGAAGCCTACAGACAGCTGCTGCCTTCTGTATATATAACCGATAAGTAACTTACTGTTTTGAAGATATTTTTATTATATCCAGAAGCTGGTGGGAATTTCCCTGAATCATAATTAAGTAATGCTAAGAAATCTTATGCAGTTTCTATTGTCAAAGGAAAGCTGAATAGATCAGTTGGCAAGTAATAAAGTTAAAGACTGAACAAATAACTTACATGTAAATAATCCTTACTGATTTTACTTCAGTACTGTGATCAGGAGCCAGACTGTGATTCTGAATTATTTTTGAGACATCCCTTGGATTTGCTGAGTTTAGGACCTGGATGAGTCCTATAATGTTCAGTGGAGATCTGTTACTGCATCCTTTGAAATCTTTTGAGGTCATAGGCATGGATTTTAGTTCCTTCTGAACCCCATCAGAAAAGGTGTGAAAAACTGTAGTTTTACATACCCAAAATGTTGACAAATTGCACGTCTACCTACAGAAAACAAAAGATGGACCTAGGTATCATGAACATCAAAAGCACAGCCTATTTAGTATGTGTCAGATGGTTACTCTGTTGCTCAACCCTTCATTTGCAGAGAGTGTCAAATAATTATGTACCTGTTCTAATGATAGCATCAATTTAATCTATTGTTATAGAATAGGATGGAAAACGTAGCTTTTACCTATGCAGATTACATCACTGTCTCCAGCAGATGCTGCTGTCCTGATACTTCAAGGAAATTATTTTCACATGCCCAGATGCTTTTGCAATACTATTGCTGAAACCAGCATGATATTTTTTTCAGTTGAAGCAATTACTTGATGAGAACTAATTGCTCTTTATCATTGTGTTCAAAGGAAGGGATGACAATTGATATAAAATTCACAGTTTAAAAAAATAATTTTTTTCTATGATATGTGCTATAAAAGAGAAAGTTAACCTTCTCTGGCTTATAGAAAAAGTAATGAGAATTGAAGCTAGCATTTTGGAGTTGCTATCCACATACCTGTTTGTAAATAATTAACCCAAGGGACATGGGTTGAGTTTGGGGATCAAAGTTAGTTATTTGTCATCAGACAGAAAAAAAACCTAAAGGTTATATAAACGGTCAGAAGTTTATGCAAACAAAAAGAGTCAGCACTTGCTTGATTCGATGTTCAGTTATTGAGGGTTTTAATGTCAATTTATTGCAAAATTGTTTGAGAGATACAAATGACTTCCAGCTAAAATTTCTAGAGTAAACTTGCCCATATATATACATTGAAATAAGGACGTGCCTAAAGGTACATCTATAAATCCAGATCTAAAATACCTGTCAGACCACAGAAGAGCTGGACCTTATTTCATATTCAAGTTCTTTTTACTTTTGACAAAACAGATATGTGTAAAACAGCATTGTTTTCCCAGATTTATGTTAATCTTATGCTTGTATGTCAGCTTAGGCATAACTTTGATGCTGAGAAAAGCTGATGCAATACTGGGTCTCCACAAATATCTGATTTAGACACTACTTAAAGACACTGAGACAAGCCAAGGTCACAACCTAAAAGACAAATTGCTTTATTGTATCTAGAAAGGAGGAACTGGCTGATGAAATATGCCCTGTGTATAAGGAAATGTTAAATTAATTTCCTGCTGAATTTTCTAAGACATAAGACGTGTTGTGCCTCACAGTGACTGTCCCTAAACTGCAGATATAGGAGCTCTGAAGCAGTGTGCCAAAATCTGAGTTCCTTCAGCTGTGCCTTGACAGAGCTGCCCCTTGCAAGCCTTCTCTCCCCATTCAGCCACCAGCTCTTTGCTGGGACATGCGATTGTTCAGTCCTCATCTTAAAGGATGAAATGGAGTTGTGGTTACTCCCTCTTCCTGGGAAAAAAAAAATTACAACACTGAGCTTTTAGTTCTCATTTAACTTAGTGATTAATAATTTAAAACAATTTCACATTTTTAAGGCCACCAATACAAGGCCAAGGCTTATTCACTGTTAAAATTCCCCTTGAACTACACAAAGACAGGATATCATTGCTAATTCTTTTAGTCCTTCTTTGTCTTTTTTTAATGACGTTTTATTAAGTTCCAAAATTTAAGAGTACAAAAGCATATATAATATGCACCTTCAACCAACTTTCCATTTTCTCTTCTACAGCAGTCATTGTTTTAGCATATCATGAATTAATTAGATGTCATTCATCATGTGGTGAACTTAAATGAAACAATGTCACCCACATTTGTATGAGCTTAAAAAAAAAAAAAGCTTATTTAAACTGGTAAAATGCCATGTGTATGCATCTGTGCTTCTGTCTTGTTATCTTCTTCAGCTGAATTCCAGTGGCTCTCTTTTAAGGTTTGATTTTAATTACTGTGCCTAACTATAAAAACTTCATAGGAGGCAATGAAAAGAGAATGTGTTTCTATTCTGTTACAGTGCATATTTAAGTGTTAAATTATTTAAATTTACTATAGCATGTTCTCAAAAGAACTGGGTTGTGTTACACTTATTTTTCTGGAATTCTGGTTTGGAAGTTTTTGGCTTTCACATAAATTTTGCAATGCTAGTTAATTCAACTTAGACATCAGATAACTAGTACGATTTTATAATGTGAACTGTCTGTTTATGACAGCATAAGAAAGTCAAAATATGACTAAATGTATTTAAATGTATTAACGTGAAAATGAATTTTGTATATGCTAAAATCCAACGGACATGTCATTATACTGATTAATTAAGCACATATCATTTCAGTTTATCTTCTAGAATGCAAGGAGGGAAAAGGGGTGAATTACAGAGGAACAGAAGCCAAAACTCAGAAAGGTGTGCCATGCCAGAACTGGGTTGATAATGCCCCACATAAACCAAAGTAAGACCTTTATGTTTGTATCCTTTTCTGAAATTTTGCTAAGCCATTTTTATGTGCTGAGTAGTCTTATAAGCAATTTGTTTGGTGTTCAAAGTCTTTTTCCAAGATATTTTTCTAAACTTATCTAGAATAAGATAATTCTCTAATCCGAGTTGTAACTCAAAGACATGCGATTGGGGCTATGTGATCAATAGGTACATTGTCAGTCTTGGCATTTGCATTTAATTTTGTGGCCCATACATGAACAAAACACTAGACAGGGAAGTATCTGGTTCTGATGAAATAAGAATTTTCCATTAATCTCACCAGGGCAAGAAAAACTTCTCTCTGCTAAAGGTATAACATTTGGCAGATGAGATGGAGGTACATCATTTTATCAGTGAATCCACAGACAGTTAACGGGGCAGTATTTCTTGTATTTAATGAAAAACATCCAGTTGGGTTTATTTAACCTCCTATTGAGAAGGCATAGCATTTAGGTTACAGAGAACTCTTACATTGCAGCAAGTATCTTCTCATTGCGTCTCCCAGGGAACATGTCCCAGAGGAAACTTTTCTCTACATGGTACCACAGATGAGCAAAAATTACTGGAAACTGAATAGCTAGTGTAAATGGAAGTATTAAAGACGTGACTGACCTTAGAGGCACCGTATTTCCTGAAGTCTGTAGCTATGACACTTCTAACTCTTCAGCAATGGCACACAGTAGCAATCAGGAGACTTCTAATGAACATCTACAAAATGGTCCTCAGATAAAGATTTCATTTTTAGAGTCCTCAGCTGAACAACTGGGATATTTTCCTTATTCACTAATGCCATCTAAATTTTGTTCCAGTTATACACCTGAAAAATATCCCAGTGCAGGACTGGAGGAAAACTACTGCAGAAATCCTGATAATGATGAAAAGGGACCCTGGTGTTACACAACAGATCCTGCTACCAGATTTGATTACTGTAACATCCCAGAGTGTGAAGGTCAGGATCTATATACCAATTTCTTTCCCTTTTTAGAAAGTGTGTTCAAGAACGTGAAGCTATTCAGACACTTTTATTTTTAATCGAGTATTTGTTCCAAACTTGAGTTTAGTTCAACCTGAAACTTTCCGAAGACATTTTCAACACCAATAAGGAAGATATAAAAAGCTATACAAAGTCTTTATCCTTAAAAAAAAAAAAAAAAAGTGTAAATGAATATATTCAAATATCATAATCCTAGCATTGAATCAAATGCTAGTGCAAAAGTGAATAAAACATGACAACAGCAAGGCACAGATATTCAATTATAGCTTAGTAGTTTTAATTTAGCTCTTTTAAAAACTATGGTGTATGAGGCTGGGTCTTGTTTTAATTGAATACTATAAATGTAATCAACTAGTTGAAGTCATCTTACCAAGAGAAATAAACCTTTACTTTGCCAAAAAGGGACTATCATTCAGCCTTGTGTTCTGATCAACTGTTGAGCTTTATGTGAGATGAGTGTTTGTGGACCAGTTCCGCAGGGACTTTCTGTCTCTCATGTCTTCATTCTGTCTTGCTTCTACAGTGGAGTGCATGCATTGCAGTGGAGAAAACTACCACGGAGAAGTTGCAACAACAGTGTCTGGGATTGAGTGCCAGCGCTGGGACTCCCAGAAACCTCACTCTCATGGATACCTCCCAGAAAAGTGAGTCAGACTCTGTGATGGGTTTTTTATTGTCAGTGGTGGCCTGAAGACCACTCCGCCCCAGAAAGAATATTTGTTACAGACATTAGTGACTTCTTTTTTTTAAAAATTATTTTTACCATTCAGTTTTCCAGAGAAGGATCTGAAGATGAATTACTGCCGTAATCCTGATGGTGAACCTCGGCCCTGGTGTTTCACTACCAACCCTACTAAACGCTGGGAATATTGTGACATTCCTCGTTGCAGTGAGTCTGACTACTATAATTCTAGACACAAAGACATCTAGACAGCTTCCATTCAGGGTGGTGCAAGGAGCTAGAACAAATAGAAGAGGCTCCAAAGATAAAGGAAAGAATAAATAACTGCTTTTATCTCAAAGAAATAAAAAGAACAACCTTGAAATGAACCTCTGATGGCTCTTTTGAGGCTAGACATTTCTACCATGGTCATTTTAAATGGTTTTGCCTAGAGCACATCTCCCTTCTTGATGTGTCCATGACCAGGCATTTCAGTGGTTCTGATGTTTCTTCTGATGTTCCTCTTTTGATTCAGTTTCACTATTCCTGAAATCTTTTGGCTTTTGTTTTACTTTTCCAATTAAATTCTCCACCTTTTCAATTTCCTTTTCCTAAGGCCTGTCCTTGACACAATACTTCTCCTCGGGGCTTTTCACCCGACCTCATCTTTGCTGTCTGTAACTCTGATCAGTTAGAGGACATCTCTTTTATATCTGCACCTACACCTGTTCCTATCACTGATGGACCTGCCACTTTCACACTAGTTTTCTTCACAGTGTTACCAATTGCTCACTTTCCAGCTTTGTTCTGATAGGGCTGCTAGCGCTTGGCTGTGTTGTATCCTGGCTGCTGTAAAGGGGAAGATGCAAATTCCCTTCTGGCAGTCTGACTGCTTGTGAAAATGTTAAAATGGAAGAAAGAAAAGATATTTAAATATTTTTTTCTCTGTCTTTTGGACTTTCCAAATATTTTGGTCTTTAAACGTTACCTGCAAAGAAAGCTAAAGAGCCCACTTAATTATAAAGCTCAAAGTGGATTTGGTTTTGTTTTTTACTATGTCTAGAAGGCACGGCTTAATTTCAGTTTTTTTTACTCTAACAGCAACACCCCCACCAGTTCCTGCACCAGGACGTCAGTGTCTATCAGGAAAAGGAGAAGACTATCGAGGCACAATATCTGTTACTGAATCAGGAAATACCTGTCAGCGCTGGAGTTCTCAATTTCCTCACAGACACGCTCGCACTCCTGAAAATTATCCCTGCAAGTAAGTGAAACCTCTCCATTATTCAGTGTCCATGAGAAGTACCAAGGCACAGAATTTCTTCATTTTTATTCAGCTATATTGCTAAATTCTTTGGTTACACCAGCATTCATCACTTGCTGGATTCCACCTTTTCAATTTTTTTGCACATTTCTTTTATTCACTTTGTTGTTCTTGGATACTAGCATGTCCTCTCTGACTTTCAGGCTCTGCTTGATTAACTTCAGTTCATCCTTTTTCTGTATTATTGCTCAGGTGAAGCAATGTCGAGTACAAGTTACAATTATGGTATTTGCTTGGGGCTAGATTCTTTCACCCTATGTTTCTGCTGTGCTGCTCTTGGCTTCAAAGTACTACATGAAATATGATCTCTTAGTTCATCCATCAATCAAGGAGGTGTCCGGTTTAACACATCCAAAATACCAGAGCATTGCAATCATTCATCTAGTAAATGGAATCTGTAAATGACAGCAGCAGTTACCCACAGTAAATACAACAGTAAACTAGGCAGGAAGGTACATTCTCCTGTTGTTAATAACCTTCACTAGGTTTCCATGAGAGGCTTTTCTTAGCTAAGTTTTCTGTTTCAGGAGCCTAGAGGAAAACTACTGTAGAAATCCTGATGGTGAGAAGATGCCATGGTGTTACACCACCAACAGAACTGCCCGGTGGGAATATTGCACCATCCCATCCTGTGACGGGACAGAGCCAGAGGCCCCTGGTAAGAACAACGGGAGGCATCTGGAAGTGAAAGGTCGTCATGGTTTATTTTGAAAAATCTTGGGTAACTCTGCTCCGTTGTGCTATTGCTGTCACTCTCAGTATTGCTGTGTATCAGTTGAACTCCTGAGCCTGTTGTGGAGCCCATGCTGGTATGTTCAGTCTGGTGGAAAAGGGCAGAAGGTTTTAAGTCACCTACTGACACAGCTCAAGAAAAATTCCTGTAACAGGTCTTTTCTTTTTGCCAAGTGGTGGTTCCCTCCACCTCTAAATTTTTTAGTGTTCCATGGAAAAGTTAGTTAGCTTTATATGCCAGCTTCTGAAAAATTGAATCCAAAGCAAAACCTCATACAATTTAAGAGCACTGAAATAAGACTCCATAAAAAGCAATCAAAAGAAAATTCTCCCTACACAAGGCAGGCTTCTTCCACACATGCATCTGTGGCAAAGCCACAGACATTCCCTGACCCTCGAGAAGTTTTAATCCATATCTGAACTATTTGGATCATTAACTGAAATAAATCCCCATGCATGGCAGTAAAATTGATATACAAGTGCATTTAATCCAGAGTATCATAAAATTTTTGCAAACATTTTTGGAAATCTTCCTTTTGATCTACAATCTGAGAAGGAGAGTGTGCTTTGGTGGTCTGTGAAATACTCTGGCTTTTTTTCTGTTGGCTTTCTATGCTCATGTGTAAATATCAAAGTATTAAGATGCAAGGGACTGGTTTCTGTTATTCACTACAGCTGTTGATGTGCCTGAGCAGGCTCAAATTACTGAGGAGTGCTATCAAGGCAATGGTGTGACTTACCGTGGCACAGCTTCTTTCACTCTCACGGGAAAGAAATGTCAAGCCTGGAGCTCAATGTCGCCACACCGACACAATAAAACGGCAGACCAGTTCCCAAATGCGTATGTGTTTCCCATTTCCATGTTTCATTGGACAATGGTAATTCATTAATTAATTTTGATTTGCATCATCTTTACACAGCAATGATTTTAAAGCTGGAAAGAGGACGTACTTGATAAAAATAATCCCTTCCTTTTCTTCTTTTTCTAATGTGAAAATATTTTCTATTAACCTCATCTTGGAACAAACCACAGTTGTCACTATTATGTTTTAGACTAACTGTGTGTTTCTACATTGCTTCTAAAGGAATTAAGAGTTACAAATTTTCCCTTATACTGAAATGAACTGTTTCTATACATGAGATTATTCATGAGTTTAAGTCTTTGCTTCCTAGTCTGCAGTTCATTAGACCTTTGAGGAAAGGATGGATTATTTTCTTATCCCTAATACTTACTACTTATTTATTCCAAAATGAAAAAAAACCTCTTGCTTCTTAAAACCTAATGATGTATTTGGAAAAGTAAAAATAATTGTATCTTCATATATATATATATATGTGCATTTGCTTATCATCTGGATTTGTAAACAGTCTTCTACTATAAGCATTAATTAGTGAGTAAGCATTTGGCATATTTAAATATTCTGCATATGCTTCTTCATTTCTTTATGCTGGAAAAAGAATTTCTGTTGCACACTGCTAACTCTGTGAAAGACCTGCTTTCTAAAATGATCTTTCAAGTTCTCCTCAGATCAGTGGTATGGATGGGAATATAATTGTAGTGCTAGGGCCTGAATAACGGGCCCTGAAACAAAGCTGACCTCTAAATGAACCTCACAACTAAACATTATCCATTATTAGTATCAATTAGTAAAATCTGTATTACCATTAATGTTAATTACTAGTATCTGATCATCAACAAAATATGTATGTTCACTAGTGAAAAATGTAGTTTAGGCAAAATGTAATCAGTAGTGAGAATGAAATGCTGTAAGAATGTGTATCCAACTTTCCTTGTTTAGCCTTGTTCAAGGCTTGAACCCAAGTGTTTGGCCTTGTTAGAAACTCCCTTGATTCTCCCCACCAAGCCCTGGCCAGGCTTTGGGTGGAATCCAACAGGAGGATGAAACCAGATGTTTCTGCTCAAAACAAAGGTGCAAGTTATTCTGGCTCACTGATTTTTGGTATATAAAGCTGGATCTGTTTGCCATGACTTTGGATGTCTCACCTACGGGTGGACACATCACGTAGGATTTCCCACTTGCAGGGAAAGGCTTTCCAAATCCTCACTGCAACTGGGGGTCCCCAGGGACTGCGGATCTGGATGATGGTAAAGTATGCAAGTGGTGATGCATCTTTCCTAATCACTATTTTCCCCATTGTGTAGTAATGATTAGCTGCATTACCTTGCTTAACTGTATGTAGTAATAATTAAGTGTATTATTTTGTATTTTTTTACTGCTTATTTTCTGCAGTACTGAGTTATATCCTGTAATTATTAACAGTAAAGTCAGCCTACTCTCTTCACTCTGGTGTTTGAGTTCAATTGGCATCCTCGATCAGCAGAACAATAATATGTTTACATTTGTAGGGACCTGAAGCAGAATTATTGCAGAAACCCAGATGCCGATAGCCGCCCATGGTGCTACACCACTGACCCCAGTGTGAGATGGGAGTATTGCAACCTGAAGAAGTGTGATGACCATGTACAAGTCACTTTACCAAAACCTCCTCAGACAACACAGGAACCAAACCCTGGTGAGAATACTTTCTGCTTCCCCCAGAATTGCTCATAGCCAGCAAGCTGTTTTTATGGAAATGTCAAGAATTTAATGAGGGTGAAATACAGGAATCTCTAGATAATTACAGAATTTAATATAATACTGTATCCACTCTTTTCATTTTCTGAACATTCTTGTGGAATTTTATAGCAGGGTTTCTGCATTTGCTTTTAGATTAATATTGCATATTTTACCTACTGCATCTGGCAATATTGGAAACACAAGGAAACAGATGGCTAGTAGTTTCACACTACTATGGGAGGGCTACTAGCAATGACAGCAAATATAAAAGTGATGGAATTGTGATTGCAAGTGTTCCAAAAAAGTCTTTTCCTGTGCCATGCATTCATATCTCCAGGGCTCCTATTTCCCACCAGAGGATATTTGGTTTTTTAAATTCAGTTCAGATGCAACTTTGTTATGCAGTAGATGTTTTTTTTTTTTTTTTTTTTTTTTTTTTTTTTCCTACGACATGTTCTTCTTTTAGAAGGCTAATGGCTTTGGCTGAACATGTTCTACTGCTTTTTATCAACTGTAAAATGTGACTTTGGACAGATATCAGGGTCTGTAAGGAAAAGACTTCATAAGTGCATGATCTTTGTGGTCCTGGCTTCTGAACTCACAAGTGGTCAACTGAGTCTAAGCTTCTTTGATATATAACTTTCATAATCATGAAGAAAATGCTTAAAATGCAAGGAAGTTAAAATGTGATTGTTAGCTATCACAGAATCACAAAATCGTCTAGGTTGGAAAAGACCTTGAAGATCATCCAGTCCAACCATTAACCTAACACTGACAGTTCCCAACTACACCACATCCCTCAGCGCTATGTCACCCCAACTCTTAAACACCTCCAGGGATGGGGACTCCACCACCTCCCTGGGCAGCCCATTCCAACACCTAACAACCCCTTCTGGAAAGAAATGCTTCCTAATACCCTGTCTAAACCTTCCCTGGCACAACTTGAGGCCATTCCCTCTTGTCCTATCACTTGTTACTTGGTTCAAGAGACTCATGCCCAGCTCTCTGCAACCTCCTTTCAGGGAGCTATAGAGGGTGATGAGGTCTCACCTCGGCCTCCTCTTCTCCAGACTAAACACCCCCAGTTCCCTCAGCCGCTCCTCATAAGACATGTATTCCAGACCCTTCAACAGCTTTGTTGCCCTTTATTGACACTATATTGTCCTTCTTTCTATGTATACATACTAAGTAGTACATGTAAGTACTAGTATTATTTCCTCAAATTTATTTCTGCTTCACCACAATCAAGTATGTATGTGGCCCAATAGCTAACAGTCATTTTCTTTTCCTCTTTCTTCACAGATTGCATTAATGGTAATGGTAAAGATTATCGTGGCACAGTAGCAAAAACTGGAAGGGGCAGGACTTGTCAAGAGTGGAGCTCTCAGAGACCTCATAGCCATGACTATTTCACTCCCATAACACATCCAGGAGCAGGCCTGGATAAAAATGTAAGCAGCTGTTCATTTAATACTTGCTGTCACTGAACTTCATCTGTCTTCTTCATGGTCCCTCAGCGAGTATTTCATGCCAGGTCTTTGTAAATTAATTTATTTTCCTCAGTTCAATCCAAGAACCTGATCATGCTAATTCTTGTTGACATGAGCAGTCTGTACTTCTGTGGGACTCACAGATGCCCAGAAGCTCTGCTGAATGCTTCTGCAGCAAAGCCAAGGGGCTTCAGATGGACACTTGCTTCTCCTCACTACTGAGGACTAAGTGCAGTTGTTCTGTGGGCAGCATCTCTGTGTCCTCAGCCAGAAAGAGCACCTGGGGTCATAAGTTTCATTAGTAACAGTGACAGGTGAGATGGAGGGGGATCTAATGTCCAGTGCAAGTTCCTTGAGATATATAGCTGATGCATTGCTCTCCCCATCCTCAATTAATTCCCCCTCCAGCCCTCCAACTTCTGCTGCAGTCCATCATACAAAGATATACGTTCATCTGACCCCTCCTGTAAGTTGTTCTCTATCTCTAACCTTCACCTCCCTAGTCCTAACACATGTACTCATCACTAGTTCTCTAGACTTGTAACATCCTCTATACAATATTTGAGTGGTTTGTGACAAGCTCTGTATGCAATATAAAGAGCTTGTTTGATGTTGCCAGCTTGAACTATTTTTTCTCCAGTCACATGATTTTAGAGCTTGCTTTAGTCAATCCTCTGATGTTATCAAATACTCTGTATTGAATTCCAGCTCAGATTGGGGAAATTCCCTCCAAAAAACTGCCTGCCATAATTTTTTCATTCTTGCATTTGTCAGGGACTCTTGGGGAAGGGAAACAAACATTTCCTCTTTTTTCCTAAGACATGGGATGTATTTCAGAGTAAGGAAGGGGATTAGAAATATAGCTGGTAGCATGTCATTGTGTGAGGTATCTCCACTGAGCAGAGATCAGTCAGTATGGCCAGTAAGACCTAGAGAGTGATTCAGCTAACCAGGCACGCCACGTCAGGGTGAACACTGCACCTCTGCCCCTGGGACTCAGGCATCACGAAGTTGTGCAAGAGCAGCTTTCACAATACCCACTTGCTCTGGAATCATGCAACCAGAGTGGGCGTGAAAAGATCTCAGGGCTGACCCTGCTGCTCCTACTAACTGCAGTGGAAGCAGAGCAGACAGTTTAGTGCTTTAGAAAACCCCATCCTAGGTCAAGGTTTGCTTTTTGAGAGCTCAGTGGTGCAAGCTTGCACTAGTGAAGCTTGCTGGCTTATGACAGTTGAAGAGGTTTAAATGTTGTTATTTTTTTCTAAACTTAGAGATCAAATAGAAAAATTAAACAAGTTTTGACAAAAGGAATTGGAAATCACTTATCAGTAAGGAAGTAAAATATATATTTCCCAAATTAAATTTGATTTTATTTTGAAACGTGCATTGGTAGGCTTTTTTGTCCCCTGATTAATAGCTGGTGTCTTTATGCTTTGTTACAGTATTGCAGAAATCCTGATGGAGATGTGAATGGACCTTGGTGCTACACAACAGACCCAAGAAAAGCCTGGGAGTACTGTGACATTCCCAAGTGCCGTAATTATTCCTTTAAAGACTAGTGTCTCCCTTTACTGTAACCTTTACGACAACTGGAGGACATTCCATGATTAATCTGCAAGACTGATCGATCTAAGTGCAATAGCTTTAGACTGGGAATTAAAGCTGTAGGGAAGTGATGCTCAAAATCTGTGTCTGAAGATTTAAGAATGGTGCTTATTCCTTGGAAGTCCCAAACTCAGCACAGGATGTACCTAGAGCTCACTGAAGCTTATGGAGGTTTTGCCATGTGTTTCAAAATAGGGATGTTGCTGCAGAAATTTCCCTGCCTGGTCACCTGGATAGATGTGTGTGTGGCCAGGGTGAACAAAAAGATGCTCTTATCCCAGCAAAATTTTTGCAGCTCCTGATGATGTGGCTCTGGTTCTCTCCTGGATGAAAGACAGGTTTTCCTTCTCTGATATTGTACCGTATGAGATGGCTGGAAAGTGCATCTGGCCCTAAATATTTAACCAAATGCCCTTGTCTTTGTTACTAGTATTCAAGCCATTCAGTAATCTGAATGAGGAAGTGGAACCAAGTGTACAATGATAAAGTTTTACAGCATTTTGGTTTCAAGTCCTTTCATGTCCATCAAGAACAAAAGCTGTGCCAGGAACTACCTACTCAAAAGAAGGGTGATTTTCTTGCTGCTCTATCCTCTCAGCTGCGAGCAGCAGCAAATGTGCTCTGACCAAAACCGAAAAATGGAGCAAATAAGAAAGAGACAGATGCATCTACTGTAACTGTAAAAATACTACGGCATTGAAAGCGTTGGGCTGGGACTCTTAGAGGAAAAAATGGCACTTTCACATGGTTATTGTATTAATTTTGAAGATCCAATTTCTTCTTTTTAAAATTAGTAATATTTTGTTCAGTTGTTTAGCTAAGCAACAGAAAAATCATGGCTTTTGCCTTTAATTATTAGTTAGTTCCTTTTGTTGACAACAAATTCTAAATTCTGTGTTGATAGTCAGTTTTCCATGGCTAAATAAGAAATACCCTTTTTTAATAACTCTGAGACATATGAAGCACCAAGAGATCCTGTGATAAGAGTGGACAAAATTTTGTTCCACAGTGACAGTGATTTAATTTCATGTGCTGTACCACCAAGATTAGTATGAAAAAAGCTGCCAGTGCAGCTTTTGTATTGTTGACATCAGTAAGAGTACACTTAAAAGTGTTGGGAGAATTTATTTCTTCTTTGTCTCTGTCTCCTTCTCCTTCTATTTTTTTTTTTTTTTGATCTGACTATAGATCTATTGATATGTAATTTGCTAACCACTGAGAAATGTATGTGAAAAAAGTTGTCCAGGCATTTTTAAGTGTTCCAGATGAAGGTAACCTAACAAAATATAGGTGGTGCATGGTATATAATTGCCTGCAGAGAATCAAAAGCTGAAGTGACAAATGCAACAAGTTAATCTTAATGTTTTCTGAGTGCATAGTGAATGTATAGGAAATATGCTGAAGTTCCTTATAGTGATTTTTTTTTTTTCTTATTCTGTAGCTCCTGCTCAGTATGAGTGTGGAAAATCCAAGTTCAGACCAAAGCTGTGTGCTCAAAGGATTGTTGCTGGGTGTATTTCACATCCACATTCCTGGCCCTGGCAAATCAGTCTCCGGACAAAGTATGGCCATGATTCCCCATTACATTAGACTTTAATGCAAGGAAACTTTGCCTCTCACAGGATGTTATAGTATGTGGTTGCAGTGTTTTAAACTTGATTTTAATTTTAAATAGCTCAAGGCTAGACATTACGTGTGCTAATCTTAAAGAAGGTCATTTAGACAACCATGAATGCTCAGTTTTGTGATAAACAGCTATAGAATTAATACGACCACTAGCTTAAAAAACACTTTCACTAAAAGGTGAAATGACTTTAAATCTGTCACTATATCCTACAGTAGAATCAGTATCCTATCAGTAGAAGCAAAAGTTTGAAGTATGGCTAGTACGGATTTTGACTGGTCCTTTCATGTAAGCATTTGATGCTACTGGCAAAGTTATTAGCAAAACTAAGACTCAAGGCCAGTTTCAGACCTTTCTGACTGTGATCAGAGCTAGATAAAAGCCAAAATCTCTAAAATGCTATGCATCACTGCATATAAGGTTTTCCAGTAATAGAAATACTGGTTAAGAACAAAGATCTAGGTGTTTTCATGCAAGGCCTTATTAACATGTCCACACAACGCTACTGTCATTGTAAGAAATATTGTTCAAGGATAGTAAAATGTTGATTCTTACTGAAAATATGGAATAATCTCTTTTGTTTGTAAAGGCATACATGTTAGAAAGATTACGTGATAAACTGCAGTAAAATTAACTTCCCCACCTTAACCCTTTTCATGCTTTTCTGCTCAATTACAGTTTTGGCCTGCATTTCTGTGGGGGAACTCTGATAGACCCTCAGTGGGTTCTTACTGCTGCTCACTGTTTAGAAAAGTAAGTATCTGTTATAGCCTGCACCAGCATTTTCTTACACTAGATAGAAAATCAGATGAGAAACAAAATGGACCCAGTAAGCAATCTCAGCTGTCTTTCGACTCAGCTTGCAAACAGTTGAGAATTGAGCCAAGTCTATCCATTAACCATTAAAGCAGAGTTTTGACTAAAGAAACAAAGACTGACAGTGATAACTTTTGCTGACATGATTTCATGTGCCATAGTAAGGGATTTAGAAATTATGCTTATGCCCAAATTGGCTTTATATTTCTGTCTTTGACAGAACGAGGTGCCAAATAACATCGTAAGTGGTCTATGTCCTGGGTGTGTGTCTGTCAGCTCACCATCTGCTATCATGTCTAATAGGTCCTCACGGCCATCTGCGTATAAAGTATACCTTGGATTACACAAAGAGCGAGCATCAGAGGCATCAGTGCAGAAACGAGATGTTGAGAAATTGTTCAAGGAGCCGCACAGGACAGACATTGCTCTGCTAAAGCTGAGCAGGTACCCTTTTCACCTGAAGTGTTCCTTCATTCTGATGGGACAAGTTGGTTAATTAGTGGTTGCTGGTGTCATGGAAATGCGTGTTTCTATACACACTGTGTTCAATCAGCAATTTAAAACCCTTTCTTTCTTCCCTTTCTGCAGAAGCTCTAGTGGAAACCAAGGTGATTCAGCTGCAGGGCTTCAGAAAGTGAAAGGACTGCCTTGGGAAGGGAGGAGGGCTAGGGACAGTGACACAGGCTGGCAAAACACTGGGTGTCAGCATTTAGGAGGTGAGGCAGAGGCAGTAGAGTAGGAGGAGGTAATGCCTAGAGGAGCTTTCAGTCTGTGTTTCTACATGCTTCTACCTTGATAAGGTAATGAGGATTGAAAGCTGCAATATTAGCATGATGTTATCCCACATGGTTTCCATGCTGTGATGGGGAGATTTCTTCCTCCCTCAGATCTGTCCAGTGCACAGGCAAACAGTATGCACATTTGATGCAATACCCAGTATGGCCCTTCTTGCATCTGTTTCCATTCATCTGAAGCTCTCACCGAGGCACTGTGCAATCAAAAAGAATACATCCATACAGCTGCAAGCAGATGGCAAGATATGGTGCTTGGGGTCAGCACAATTAATGTGGCTTCTTAATTGAGCCTAGCCTTAGGTGCATCCAAAGGCAAGTCAGACTGACGGGTTCTGCTGTGTGCTAAGCGTCCAGTTTGAAAGTGATTTATAAATAGTCAGACTGGATGCAGACAGAGCAAGCTAACATCTGTGTATTAAATGTCACTAATTCATACCCCTAAGTAGCTTTGCAGTTAGGTTTTGTTGGCTATGTATTAGCCAAAGTCAAGGCATTCTCTTGGATTTATGCTAGTAATTTTAGTATCAAACCACTCTAACTGTTCTCCATTTCAGATCTTTTCCTTTTTGTGTATCACATTCTGAGAGATTAGAGACTAAAACAAGAGCAGTTCTGCACATCAGAAAAACCCTTTGCCTGAAGTTCAGGATTTCAAAGAAAAGAGGTTGACTGTATATAAAATCTTTTTAGAAACCCGAAGGTGGTATCAGAGATAACTGTGCTAATGATTGTTCCTGTATGAGTCTCTTGTTTGTTTCTTTCAGCCCAGCAATCATCAATAATCATGTAATACCAGTTTGTTTGCCAAAAGAAAATGCTGTGTTAGGAGGAAGAGAGGAGTGCTATGTGACGGGCTGGGGTGATACAAGAGGTGAGACAGCGTTAACACATCTGAAAGCTCTGTGTTTGGAGGTTGGTATATACTAGTATCCAAAGCGTATTCTCTTTGTGCCAAAAACACCCCACACAAGCTTCCATGCATACATATTTCATCAGAATTTATCAGGTACTGCCATTCTGTCTGCTGTCTCCCTCTGATTTAGATTCTCCTAAATCACTCAGAGCCATGTAAACTGAAACCTCCTAAACCAATACTAAAAGAAGAGAATCAGACCTAAGGAACTGTTCTTTCAGTCCACTCTGTTTTTCCTCATAGTGGGCTTTTATGCAGTCAGAATGAATTTTTTTCTAGATCCAGACTAATTCTTAATCACATGAGGGTGAGTTTCCTCATCCTCTTGAATGATTTTTTTTTTCTCCCAACCATCCTGGTTCAGAAGATCTCATACAAATATAAACATAACGCTAATTTTCAAAACCTCTCACTCTGTCTTGGTTAAGAAGGGCATCAGCACCTTCTCTGCTTCATTGTTTCTGCCCATCATGTCATTTTCAACTATTTACTTCCTACCTCCTTTTTTTCCACAGAAAAGAAAACTCACAGCGAAATAAAATGGCTTGGGAATGACTCCCACAAATATCAGTGGGTACTGGATCCATATTGTGGGAGCAGGAAGGTCAATCAGTGCAGTATGGGTTTTGGTGGGTGGTGGAGGCTGATAACTACCATGCTACTGATAATACTTACTGCATGGAAAATATATGCATAGTGCATAAACACTCTGCTTATTTTACTGCTTATCCACATCTTGATTTTCTGTTTGGGAAGATGTTCATTTATCTTTGTCATTTATTGTGTTTTGGTTTTATTTTTGTTTGCAAAGGAACTGGTGGTGATGGCTACTTAAAGGAAACTGGTTTCCCTGTAATCGAGAATAAAATATGCAACCGCCCTGAATTTTTGAATGGTAGAGTCAAAAACCATGAGCTCTGTGCTGGAAATATTCATGGTGGCACAGATAGCTGCCAGGTAAGGAAGTCTGTGAGCATAGGAGTTGATTAGAAGCACATTCAAATCAAATAGTGCTTTGCTTTCTGGGCTTTAGAAGCTCAAAATTAGTCTTGGGATGTTGCCACACCACATGGCACACAGTTTCTGCTCTTCCCTTGCTCCCTTGTCTGCTGCTAGGAAGTGGGACAGGTAATTTTTCAGACAAGCCTGAACTATAAAGCGCATGGCAATACACGTCTGCCTGAGCCAGGGGTATGGAAGCCGTTTTAGTCTGATTTTTTTCCCCAAGACCACTTTGCTTTCCTCAGCTAGACTAGCTCCAGGGTCCAGGCTAGCTCAGTTAACAACCTGAGACATTTCAGATAACGAAGAATGGTGCAGTGGAGTCTGCCATGCAGGCATACCATGGGCCAAAGGAACAACTAATTTCCAAGTGTTAGTGCCTGTGAAAATCACACTAGGTGAGGCAAAATGCATGCTGGACTTCTCTTTTAATGAAAAGGAAGAATATGGTTGGCAATAGCTCATCTCACAAGTGTGGTATGAAGGTTTTTTCCAGAAGTCTAGGTTTTGAAATTGAATTCTTAATTTCCTTTAAATACAAGAAAGGGCTCAGAAACGCTTAACATACTGAATCAAGATGGAAACTTTCCTCCCTGAAAAGCTAGAGATGATTCTGTGAAGAAGTGTGGAGACAGCAGACTGCCTGCCCCAGCCATTGCTAACAGCACAGATACTCTGTGCATGCACTGTGATGGGCAAGCAGGCCCTTGAGGGGCGTGCACTCGTGTCTTAAGACACATGGTTTGAATGCATTCATTCACTTCGTCTTGGATCACCTAGTAACAACAGGAAGCTGTAAAGGCCTCAGAGAAGAGGGAGAAAATACAGTTTATGTGACTAAAGGCAATCAGATTCCTTCTTACCAAATCCCCTCACTTCAAAAACAAATGTAATACTTGGATGATGGGATGAGATAACTTTACTACAGTGTTCAACAACATGCATAGAGAACTCTTCCCTGGCTAGAGCTCCGGTGTTTTCTTATAACTTGTGTGCTCCTCACATGTGAGAGGTACTTCTGTTTCTGTAACTCCTGTGAGAAGGCGACTCTTGCACATGGGGCTGTCTGTGAAGGAATCATCCTGTTCTTTCTCTGTTTAGGGGGACAGTGGAGGACCTCTAGTCTGTCTGGACCAAGATAAATTTGTGCAACATGGAGTCACCTCTTGGGGGCTTGGCTGTGCCCAGCCCATGAAACCTGGTGTTTACGTTCGAGTTTCCAATTATATTCCTTGGATTAAGAGTATAATGGAAAACAACTGATCCTGAGCATGGACTGCCCTCTCCTGGAAAGCAGTATATGTGTTAGAAATACAAGATTCCAAGTGCAATATTAAAGCTACAATCATTCATAAGAAAGTAAAATAAATATGATCATCCATCTTAAATTGCTATAAATTAACCATTATTGCCAAGAAACGCAACTGATGACGTGTTACCCTCTTTCTTTATGTTCTGTGGTTTTCTATGTTTGACAATAGACTTGCCCGCCTCTGAAATTCATGTCACAAATCCCAACCTCAACTGTAACTGAACATCTACATTTCAATCTTATATTAGGCTCCACAATGACTTTTTCTCCTAAGTCTGACTTTTCCAAGTTATTGTGCTTCCAGCAAATGAAGAAAGGAGAATACTCCTCATTTTCATTGAGTTTTCTCAGCCTCTTACCAATTTAATAATACAAACTGAAGAAGAATCTTACTTTACGTGTCTTATATGCATGTGAAGTTTTATTAGATATGTCCAATAGCATTAAATACACAGGAGTAAAGCAAAAAGAAGCAAACACATTTGGTTTATATTTTCATTTTTTTATTGACATGGAAATCTGTGTGTCAGAAAAAGTACAAATACTGCATCAGAGATATAAAACAGTGAATAAAAAATAGCCTCACCCTAAAATTAGTCCATAGTGAAGACAGAGAAATAACTGTCAATCATTACAGCAAGTAATGACAATGTCTAACATATTATAAAATTTTGTTGTCCATATTACACATCCTGTTTCACTATATAACTTTATCCCACTATATAACTGTTACATGTACATTTTTCTTCTCTAAAAGAAAATTATGTACACATGCCTGTGAGTATAGGAATGAAATCTTAGACATTTAGAGATGCTCTCCAGGGAAAGCTTGGCTCATGCTCACTGCAGTGAAACACTTGCTAACTATGAGCTCCAGCTCTCATCCTGCACCACTTACATATCAGCTGGGGAGCACCCCACAGACACCTGGGGATCCCCAACTCTTTATGGTCTCCTTCCTGCATCCTCAGGGTGCACTAGTGTGCCCCAAGTAACACAGCTACTTCCTGGGCTGGGATTTGCCTTGCCCACTTTCTGCAGTGCAGAGGTCCACTCCCACACATGCCAAGCTGCATGTCATTTAATTTAAATTGCTTTTTTTTTTTTTTTTTAATATGCATAAATATACAGAAAGGATGGGTTGCATCCTGGGAGTTCTTTTTTTTTTTCTCCTATAGGCTACAAAGGGAGATACAAGCTATAAAACAGTTAGGTGTCAGGGTGATATTTTTTCAGCTTCTACACCTGGAATCTAATTCTAGGAGAAGCAATGACCTCAGAGCATTGCCTTTCTGAGCAGGAATAGCACTGCTAAAGCACTCCCCACCCACCTCTCTGGCTGTGGGGGATTCACTGGGCACAAATACTCTCCTGCATATTTTCTGTATCTATTTATTTGGATCATAAAGTCAGCCAAGAAATACTCACAGTACTTCCCTGATAACAGAAATTCTGTGTTGCAGCTTGGTCTTTGATTTGTAAAGCTCTTCAGATGTGAACTCTTGCAGGCATGGTTAATACCTGGCTTGTAGGCAGACAAATCCCCTCATGCTGACCTAGCCAAACCCGCCAGAGACACCTGGACACACCTGAGCAGCTACAGAAGTCCCACCTCATAACCTCTTAAAGTGTGTAAAATGTGATCTTTTCCTTCTGCAAGAGTGGCAGTGGCAGTAAAAACTGCCACTTAACACTAATCACTTTCACAGACTAGATGAAGTAACAAGGCAAATTTGGAGGCAGCAGCACATTTGCTCATTTGTTGGTCTGGGAAATCTCTTTGTAGGCAGGAAGAACACAGCTTCTGAGTTTCTAGGGTCATGTTGAACGTGTGGCTTTGGGGGTAGTAAGGTGATCCTTTGTCCGCTATGCACATCACATCTCTCACTAAGCCTCTGAATTATAACTCATGCAAGACAACTAAAGCTGTCGGTGTCTGTCACCTCCTGAAGAGATGCCTCTCACTGAGGTGGGTCACAACAGCCTTTTTAATATCAACCCATGCAGTTTAGAAGAACTGCTTCGTCACCTGAGAAGTTTGTGGGACTCTCCTGTAAGGCTCAATGTATTAAGTGGTTTGAGGTACATATGAATTTATAATAATTCTTTTAAACAAGCAGCCTGTCCAGTGGTCTGCACAACCCTGCATGGTTTCCCCCAGGCTTCTCCCTTGCTGAAGTTCTCCCTCTGCTTCCAGCACCTTGTCTGTCCTCTCTCACCACAACAGTGTAATCCCTATCACCAAACCCATTTCGCAACCTTCACGAGGCAACCCAAAGTCTCACGGAAGATGGGAGGATTTTCCATTTTACAACTATTTGGGGTAAGAGATAGCACAGGAGCCTTTATGAAATATAAACTCTACCTGAAGTTGTTAAGTACTATTATATTAGAAGTCAGAACACATACACAGGTTTTTTCCTCCTGTTCTTTACATAGGAATTTTCAGAAAATAAATGCATCTAAACGTCTGACACTGCTCCTAGCTATTTTGCATACTGAAATATTTCACTTATATTCTCTTCTGAGGAACATATGATGCTATGCAAAACAAAGAACAGTCTGAAAGGTCAGAAACAAGTTTTGAGTCTCTCACTTCTCAACACATTGTAGTTGTCCACAAACAGAAGCAGCTGGAAACTAATATTGACATTTCTTTGGCAAGCTGTAGCTTTAAATGACCTCCATAGTCCTTCTCAGACCAACTAAATAAATCAATTTTAAAAAATTAAATTTCAAAAAGAAGGAATATTAGAAAGAAGAGAGAGGCTCAACTCATACATCACTGCATCTGATTGCCTCATCCTGCCTCTCCAAGGGCCGTGACTGTGGTGCAAGGAAGTCAGGGCTGAGCTCTGGGGCCAAGCGCCCATGCTCCCACCCTGTGCTGAGACAGGGCACCTGAACAGTGCAAGCCCACACCTTCCAGTTCAGGGCTGGTCCCAGCCAGCCAGCCCCAGGGAGCTTACAGCTATTTTCAGACCACACTGGTGCAGGAGGAGTTTTCTCCCTGCAGCCGTAGCTCCAGTTCTGTGTTGTCCTCTAGCTATTGCCAGTTAGACAGATATGAGATGCTTGTTTAGTTTCATATCTTTCAATCACTACTGACTTTTGCTAAACATCCCATTGACCTTTAACTATGCCTCAGAGGAAGTTAGAAAGAGCCTTGAAAGACAGCCCTTTATCGCTAACTGCTCAAAGTATGCAAATATTAGATGGAGATTATTAGTAAAGGTCTTGTTTTCCTCCAGCAGGGTTGGTGGTATGGGCAGTTGCTGGGAAAAACAGGGAGAGTTGGGAACTGCTGATATGCACAGTATCCTCCACACCGTAGGAAATCCCCCTGTGCAGGCACCTGCCTGTATGTGCTCTTAAAATGGTGAGACTGAAGCAGTAGTCATTCAGCAGCACTGAATGTAGTGTTAGCACCACTCATTTGTGCTATGAACCTTCAAAAAAGTCCTATATTTGCTTATGCCAAATATGTTATTTTCTGAGCTTATAAGGCACTTTACAAAAGCTCACTGGCTTTCTTTTTTTTAATTTAATTCTCTGTTGGTAACAGGATACCTTTTGAACACCACATATTTTCAAGACTTTTACTGTAAGAAGTCTGTTGTTTACCCGTCAGTGGCCAGGACCCAGTGCTTGAAGAAGGTCATACAGTTCAAAGGGAAGGCAGACAGTCCCTGCTATCTGCTTGCAAGAAGCCCTTCCCTTAGAGATACGGGGAATTCTGGCCAGGCAACAGGACAAGGGGGTGTCACCTGAACCCCAGCTGAGTCTGGGGGAGGTACTAATAGGCAGCAGGACGATCTGACCTGCAGAGCTAATGCCCTGCATAGGATGTGACACCTACAAAAAGGTCTGGGAAGGTGAGGAGGAGGACTGCTGCCACACTTCAGAAAGCCTTTGAAGAGGGAGGGAAGCAGGGCCTTTGTGGCAGAAGCTTGCTGGGGAAGAGGATCAGACCAGGGCAAAGGTATCCTGATGCATGCTTCTGATTTCCACCCCTCCCAACCAGAGGAAGAGCTGCCCCAATCAGCACCCTCCTTCCTGCACCACCAGGTCTTCTATTTGTCGAGATTCTCCAGAGGCAAAGGAGAACAGGTTGAAATACTCATCCTCTCCTCCTCAAATTCATCAAAATCTTGAACAAGCAGTACCGTTTCAAACCCAAAGGTACATGCTAACAATAGAAATAAACATAGGGCTCAAATATATAAAGAAATCTATAAATATATAAAGAAATATATAAAGAGCTCACTGAGCTGGATAGTCTATGTTTTTAAATCTGTTCTGTTCTCTACCAAGAACCACAGAGTGCTCCCTTCCTGCAAACATCATACTCAGAAAAAAAAAATATTTTATTCGATATTTATAAAAAAAAATGCACTCTGTTTTAAATGTCCTTATGCTTCAAGGAAGAACATGGAGTTTAATCCATACTTGCAGCAAATTTTGAAGTGGTGGCAGCTGGAGAACATATTCCCAGTATGGGAATATGTTTCTTTGTTCAGTGCTGTCCTTCAAAGGTCAAATATAAGAGTTGGTGTCCCGGTGTTTCCATTTCTTGCCACATTTACCAAAATGACTGAAGAAACAGAAGAGGAGAGGCATATAAGTGTGAAAGAAACAGGAAAAAATGTAGTCCAAGTTGTAGGCCAAGCTGCAGTAGTTGTTGATGTAATATCCAAAGCCACTGCTTGAAACATTAACATATAGCACTAGCTCCTCAAGAGATTTAGCCAATGTGCAAATGTTTCCTGCACACATGCAATGCAGTGAAGAGTCTGGCTTGCTGTGTGCCAGGAGGTGGAAAGCTCTGCCTACAACTCTTCAGCTATAAATTCATCTTGTATGTGACTTTCCAATGACTTCACAAATTGTGGAATGCTCCCATGATCAAGGGCTTTTCTTCACAGGATGCTTTGACTGAGGTAATGGCTGATTTTCTTGAGCAGAGAGTTGCAGGCTATACTTTGCAGTATCTCTCTTGCACACTGTTATTTTCTGCTTCTAGAGGTGCATAGGACAACTTTGTGTCTCTATGAGAAAAACACAGATTCTATCCCCATGCTTTTTTTTTTTAACAACCTGTCTTAATGGTACTGAAAAGTTCACATTTCTATCGAGAAAAATACCACTTGCTCACAACATCAACCTGACTAGGGAATTTACTTTGATACTTGGAAAACATTTATGACAACTGATAAGGTCAGAGGAGAATAACCCCAGGAAACCTCACCTAAGTAAAAGTAAGAAAATACATATCGTACCTTGAAAGTTGTTCCACATCCTCCACTGTCTCTGGTAAGGAGATTCCCTTTGTCTCTGGTAAAAGCAACACTAGGAGCCCGCAGACAACTGCGAGAATACCTACAATAGACATTGGAGAAATACAAAAACAATAAGAAAATTGTTAATTTTCTTATTTCAGGATTTAGCCACTGAAGAAAGTTTATTCAGATTAAGGTTGAAGTGAGATTTCTAAAGTGCAACAGCTATTTCTGATTACCCTACTCTTATCAAAACACCTTTATGCTACATTAATTTAACCTATTAAAAAAAAAAAAAAAAAAAAAAAAAAAAAGAGAGGGCTAGGGTTCATTTGCAGCCTGGATTGCCCCAAAAGAGAGATATTAGAAGGTGAAAACCTGAGATAAGTGCACATTGGCAAGTGCATACAAACTGTGCTGGAACCAGGATGGTATTTCTCACATAAGACAAATCTACTTGTGTTCAAGGGGCCCTATCCTGTGTTTCTTGAGATCACTGAGATTTTCCTGAAATACTCTCTTCGTGTACCCATGAACAAAGTAGATTATGTGATTCAGAATAAAAATTCATCCTTGAGAAAGCGCATTCAGATACAGAGACAATCTGAAATAGTTCATCAGCAATGGTTATTTTGGAATAATTTCCTGAAAATACATAATTTAAATAATGTAATAAGACAAAAATAGAAGGGCTGGAGAAAAAAGTGAAATGTTCCCTGACTGTTGCACAGTCCTCTGATCCTCTCTGATTTTGTAGCTGTTTACTCAAGACAGAGGGAATCCATATGTCCTTCAGCACCACAGAATTTCAGAATCAGATTATGTGAACACCATACTTCTACATGTGTCTATTCTTGGAATAATTGTAATCTTTTAAAGTTACTTCTGGTTTTCCATTTTTGTTTTCAGCTAAAATTGTCATTAGCACCATTTGCCCTTCTTATTCTATCCTATCCTTTTTGCTTTTTTCCCAGTCACATGTATCTACTGAAAGTCTGGTTTAGCCACAGATGCTTATTTCCTTGTTGGAAATAACTCCACAGGGGTATTTTTTTTTCCAAAATGAAACTGAGGAAAAAAATTTTACAGGAATATGAAGTTACAATTAATACAACATCCATAATCATAACTGTATCTACCAAAAAAACCCAAACCAAGTATTTTTTTAAAGGACATTGACCTCTACTCTTGGGAGACTAAGCTTACTTCTCTACAATTACAGAATTTAGCTGTAAGGTTTTTCATTCTTGAAGCACCTCACATAGTTTCTTTTATACTCTTTCAGCCAAGTTACCCAAGCAGACCTGAACTCTTCCATTGCATGCCATGAAATCACCCACATTTCACCCATTTGCTGTTCAGTTTCTTGCTCTAGGCATGAAGGTTGAGAGAGGCTGGTCTGAGGGGCAGATGAGGCCACACACTGCACTTTTGCCCCAAAAGACAAGCTCTTTTAGGAGGAGGATATTTAAACCAAAAGTACATTTTAAATCAAATCTTACTGAAAATAATTAGAGGTAGCTCCAACCAAATGGCTGCTAATCGGAAAAGCAGGAATGGGGCTATGATCCCACCTAGGTCACACAAACTCGAGCACAGGGAAACACCAAAGTTTCTGAAAAAGAAAAATAGTGCCAGATATTTGAGAGGTGTCACCAAACAGAACAACCAGCAGTTTAAGGAGCAGAATGTAGACTTAGCTCAAAAATTATCTTTTCAGTATATGCCATCCAAACTGAGCAATGGCTATTCAGTTAGGAAACTGGAGAAAACCAAGTTTTACTAAAGAGCAGTGAAACAGAGAACTGAGAAAAAGCGGAAAGAAAAGTTGAAAGAGTCCTGGGATCTTCTGACATACCTCAGTGTTGTTGGATACAATTCAGTGTTCACAAGATAAACTATTTCGAAAGCCATCGTGATGCCCAGTCTTCCCAGCGTGGCGACTGTTGTTTTAAGCCATGGGATATCTGTTAATTCAAAAAGAAACGCAGGTGAAGTGTGCTTTGCTGTAGAAGCAGAGACCTTCTAAGATCCCTAGGCCCTGTCAGCAGAAGCTACATCACAGAAACACTGGATCAGTGCAAATCAGACTGAAAGGCCACTGCTGTAGATATCAATCTATATAGGCATTTATTGCTTTACAGCATCATGCGAGGCTGCTTTGGAGAATCAGAAATCACTTCTAGTTGATTCAAGATGCTGGTGGGGTATAACAGCATGGGTAAGAGAATGAATGTTATAAGCTTCCATGACCATGTGCACATTGTGCTCTGGAAAGGAGCATTTATTTATACAGGGATGTTATGCTGTAAAAAACACCATTGTGTCATCTCCCAGAATCTTCTGATCACAAAGAAGATACCTCTAAAGGTGCATAGAATCACAGAATCATTTAGGTTGGAAAAGACCTTTAAGATCATTGAGTCCAACCTCAAACCTGATACTGCCAAGTCTACCACTAAATCATGTCCCTAACCGTCACATCTACATGCCTTTTAAACACCTTCAGGGATGCTACAGTAAAATAAATCTCCCTAGAGCAGGCCAACTACACTTTGTAATTTGCCTAGCCATTGCACGATCAACACACTCCTAATAATGCTGCTCCTGGCCATCCTCCCCCTTCCCATCACTGGTCTTTGCTTTTGTACCTAACTGACCAGCCCAGGGCCTTACGCTGCCCGGGTGGCTCTGCCCAGCTCTGGCAGCTCCACTCGAGCTCTGGTGCACAGCCACTGCCCTGTGTACATCATCAGAAAGCCTTTATACATCAGTAGGGGTTGCAATGGTCACGTCTGCACCACAGGGCAGAGCCATTCAGTCTCACCATGTGCAACCCCTCAGCAGTCCGAGTGCCCTCTCTGAAGAGCCGGTGGCCTCCGGAGGATTATCACAAGGAATGCAATAAGCACTTCTGCAATGCCCTTGTGAGAAGACAGTCTCCTGTATGGTTTAACCATGACTGAGCAGATGGGGTGGCAAGAGAAACAAGCCTGAACCTGGCATGGAGGAAAGCTCTGCCACTGGAGATTTGGCAGTGATTGTGTTTTCCCAAAACTTCAACAAGAAGAACAAGAAAACATTTCAGTTTGCTCTGAACCAAAAACTGAGATGCTTGAGATTATTTCCCTTCCAAAACAACCAAATAAAACCCCATCAAATTTAATCCCATGTTGCAAAATACTGCCTTTCCCCTGAAAAGTTCTGTTTTCAAACATTTGTAAGCAAAACAAAGGCTGGAAAGAACAAAACAAATCCACATTTTTCTCCCTGGAACCCCTTCAGTCCATCAGACCCCCAAGGTGAGGGGGATGTCCGTATGCCTCCTCCTGCGAGGGAACTCGAACTGTGTGAGCACCCCAGCATGACAGAGATCTCACAAGCTGCCACTGTAGCTTTTCTCGTCTGTATAAACAGACTTTTCTTGAAAGCAGGACTTGGACCTCAGGTATTCCATCTGCGAGTATCTTAACCTCCAGGCTGTCCTCTGCTCATCTGGGCAGGGTCCCCTCAGCACTACTGAGAGCAGGCTGGTGGCAGCATCCTACTGACTCCAGGCCACCGCTTTCTCCGCTTGCTCAGGCTATGCCAGCCCCACCCAATGCTTCTGCTCTAACCCCAGACCTGATGCACCATGTTACACGTATAGTGTGGCCCAAAATACATGAAAGTGCTGGAGGCAGGTGACCTGCAGGAGTAATCCCCCAGTGCCACTATTTGTTTCCTCCTCTACCTGCAACAGCCCTAGCTCCAGGTGATCAACAGTCCTCAGACCCTGCTGTCCCAGCTGGATCTTTGTAAGTTTTTTTAACAGGTAGAAAATGATGCTGTCAAAGCCAACAGGTCACATGGTGACCAGGTCCTCTGTGCCTGAACTGCCCTGCCCTGTGTCAGGGTAGCTGCCACAGCAGCACGGGGCAGCTGGCATCTACTTGCTCTTCTCAGAGGCACACAGGAGTGGGGGATCTCGGGAAAACCTGCCAGGACAGCAGAGTCAGTCTTCATGGGCTTCAGTGGTCAAACAGATGAATGCAAACAAGTGACAACAATGTGATATCCCAGGGAACAATCACACAGCCACCAGTGCTGGCACCAGGAACAGACTGCTGATTGTCCCTCTCCCTTCCCCATCATTTCTGCTTCAATTGAAGCAATGGAGCTCCTCAAGCACACAGTATTAATTTTAAGTACTTTTGGAGGAATCCCTTTAAAGGGAGCTTAACTGAGACAGAGGTGAACCAACACACCTCTTTGAAGGACTTCATTTTGCATTCACCACAAATCTGTCTGTTTTCATGGGCACATCATACTCCTGAAGTGGTTTCTCATGGCTATTCTCTAGGAAAACGATTGCCTTGTGATATCACTTCAGGAACTAAAACCTCTAAGGCTGGCCAGTAGTGTGCCTTACTTTGATGGGAACATCCCTAGGGAGGAATAATTCTCTGAAATGTCTGTTCAGTTGCCAGTTTCCCAGCTATGTTAAGGCAAAGCACGCTGATATAGTAACATTCACCTCAGAGCACCTCCAAATTCTTCCCCAGGGATTAAAAAAAATACACAGGAAGGAAAACAATTTAAAGAAAAAAACGTAAGTGCTGGGAAGCCTGTGTGCAATATCAAACCTTTTAGTTGTCCTTGAAACCAGATAAGAATGATTTATTCAAAAGCCGTATCTTTCCTCCAACCCCTTAACATGGTACAACCCCTGGGAGGGTGAGGGCAGGGCAGCAATCTCAGTGTTGTCTGCCACAGGCCCTACATTGTGTTGCAGTTTGCATTGCTTTATTTTCAAATCCAAGCTGCCTCAGTTAAATCACTGGTTTCTTACACCATTAAGTGTCTTCCAAGTCAGAGAATGTATTTTTCCTTTATGTTTGTATATTTTCCCTTTGCATTTGCTTTCAAAAGCAGTACAGGGCTTTTATAGACATTTTCCCTAAGCCTACACCCAGCCATTGCTCACGTCCATCAAAGATATGGCCATTACATGTCCCAGGGCAATCTATGAGCAAATAAAGTATGTTGTTCCATGACTGCAGTACTGCTTGCATCACCAGACCCTTTTAAATTTTATCTACAATTTTGTGTGTCCTGCTGTCCTTGCTTAAGGGATGTCAGAGAGAAGTCATTGACCTAAAGAGTCTGACTTTGGGAAGGGAATTACCTTCAGGCAAGAAGGCAGTAATGAGGCATGCAATTCCTGCCACAATGCTGCCTATTGCAAAGGGAAGGCGCCGGCCAATACGATCAATTGTCACTAAAATTAGAAGAGCAGCAGGCAGCTCCACAGCTCCTGAGATGAAGAAATCTAGGTAGAGGTTTCCTCCAACAATTCCTAGGCGCATGACAAGCCCTTGGTAGATCAGGGCACTTGCAAACCTAAACAACAAAGGGAAAAAACTGTTGAGAGGCAAACAAATGACTGCAAGCAGCTGGATAGACCCTAAAAGTCACAATGGGAATTTTTATTCAAAACCCACTGCCCTGGTAACAAGCTGGACTGACATGGACACTCACCAGGCATACATCAGGATAAGCGTGTTCCTCCTCATCCGGGGAGTCCTCACCAGGTCGAGAAAGGAGGGGTTGCTGACCTCCTCATTGCTAACAGTGATCTGAGGAGAAAAGCAAGCAGTAGAGTCAGCTGTCGGGGGTCAGGCAGGCACTGGGGCAGAGTTTCTATGTAATAAGCAGTATTCCAGTCAGTGAGCAAAGGTTCTGATGAGACAACTTGCTGCTTTTAGCACTCCAGAGCGTTGCACAGATATGGGAAATAGCTTATAAATGGACACATCTGTGGGCTTTCCTTAATGATGATCATGCAAAAATCAGAAAAAAAATCCCCAGTCTTGACTTCAGAGTGGAAAAATTATTTCCTCATTGTAAACTGAGAGAGGTTGACCTGGAATTTCTTGGAAGGCAAAAAGCAGTCATTGTCACATCCGGGTCACTAGGAGCAGAGCTATCTTCTGCGAGAGGTGACAGAGGAGGAGACCATGGCAGGAAGGGCAAAGCAATAGGTTAAGGGAAGCAGGGAGAGAGGGAGTGAGCAGCAAGCTTGGGAACATGGCTGGTGGCTCAGCTGGGCAGCAGGAAGAAAAGAGGATTGAGAGAAAAAGCAGACATGTGAAAAAGCTTGAGTGCTACAAAACATACAGTTGTGAAATTCAGAGGGTCTTAAAATACACAAGCAATGTGCTGAACATGGCTTTTACCCTGGAAGAAAAAAATCCTGCAAAATATAAATTGATGGTCCTCATAGTGCCTACAAAGTACAGTAAATCTGTTCACAGCTTCTTCCAATACAGTCACAATGAGGCACTTGATGAAATCATTACAGTAACAGAAAAGGGCAGGATTTTACACAGTCTGTGTTTACTTGTTGGAGTTCATTGCCATAGGTTACTGTGTAACAATTAGCAGGGTCAAAAAAGTATTAGGCACATTGATGGAGGCTGTTTTTAACTGTGGCCAGCAGTTTTTAACCATGATGTCCAAGACAGGTGGCAGACCTTTTGTTTGTATGTTTATTTGCCAGGTGTGGAAGACAAGAGAAGGCAGAGATGGTTTTAGGCAGGGACGAACTGTGAGACCTCCCGAGAACTGGCAGCCGTGTCTGGGATTGCCATCAGCTCTCAAAGCAGCTGTGGGAAACATGGGATTAAACCTGCTGTGCCCTTTTTAGAAGGATTTCAGGCATGCTGACTGCTCTGACTCTCAGTTATTAGCCCCTTCCTGAGAGGAAGCCTAAGAGAGCAAAAAGGAGTAAAGCCCTCTCTACCACCGCGGCACCCGCTGCCCACACAGGCACAGAAGCCCAAGGAAACAGTCTGGGCCAGTGGGGACACAGGCGTGAAAGGATGGAGAAGCACATGGGACCATTCAGATCGTGATAAGAAGACAGGTAAAGCCAAAGGCATTACCCAAGGGCCTCATCGACTCAGCCAGGGCTATGCCCAAAGTTGTATTTGTATTGTATTTGTATTTGTCTTCTGGTGAGATTTGGCTGGATGCATTTACATGTGGCTTTTCCATAACTGAGTGACACAAAACTTTGTAAGTGGACAGAGAAACCCTACATTTGTTTGAACTTCCTTTCTACTCTCTCCTGCTTTTCTTCTATAAGCAGAGCCAGAAGTTTGCTTCAAATCACTGATACTTCTGGTGCATGCCAGAGCTCTTTGTGGGGTAGGTGGATGTTGCTGGGTAGGTGGATGTTGCTGGGTTTCTGCACTGCTCTTGGACTAGAGAGTCCATATATAACCATATTATGGTCATAAAGCTGCCATGATTGTGCTTATAAGAGCAAGCTGCCAGACATTAGTTGTGACTGTGCAAATATGGTTTTAGTTTTCCAAAGGACTAGAGATAAATTCAGCATAGTTGCTACCATATATTTTTATGTCTTAATAAAGTCATAATAACCCCAACCATGACTGAACATTTTTTAATGGATGAAGAAAAAAACCTCTGTGGAAAGTCAGATCTTTGTAGGGAAAAAAATCCTCTTTTTCTTCTTTGAAGTCAAGGACAACTTTGCTCTTTACATCAGTGCAGGCAGGAATTCAATGACAGGGCCCTTGTCTCCAAAGATAAGCTATCTGATAACTCTGAAGGAAGTTTTATAACCAACTTCCCTGACACTTTTATGTCGCAGTAAAATTACCTATCAGTTTTTCTGCAATAATTTTTAAAGAATCTTCATAGCACAGACATATTGTTCTGCACATACTTAATTCTGAACAAGACAGTACTTCCATGTATGTTTAAAATACATATGTATGTAATTTAGTATATACTAGAAATATCTATGTCCAGATATGTTTATAAAATAGAAAAATGAACACATATGTACAAGTCTCTTAAGAAGGAGCTCTTACTCAGCTGGTTGCAGTCCATTCTGCTTCTGGACAGAGACCAAGAAGTTGAAAAGAAAACATGCTAGGATAATTATGAGCAACTGGGGAAAAAGAGTTTATAATTTACAATTAATTTAATGAGTTCTGGATGGAGCTGAACTGTACTAGTGTTGTAACTCAGAGAGAAAAAAAAAGCAAATGTTTATCTATCTTCATATAAAGGTTATCTGTGGTTTCAGCATGTCAGTAAAATGCAAGGCTGTTACATCCAGAGCCACGTAAGGGACTTGGCCAGTTAAATCATTACAGACATACCAAAAAATATTAGCCCAAATGCATTGATGGATGCCTCTCACAACTCCCTGTGCCTCCTTACCTGCAGCACTTTGCCTGAAATTCTGAAGTTGCTTTGTAAAAGAGAAGTCTGATGAGAGTAAATGTGAAAAATACACTTGATCTGGGACTAACGTGATTCCTGGAGATGCTCTATTTCCTCTGGGCACAGCACCAAGGATGACAGACATTGTATATTAAAAAGGTCCCAGGAAAACATCCAGCACAAATATGGACATGTGGAGGTTAATCTGCTGTAGCCATGAGTGGCTTAGGGTCATGAGTAGGGACACTTCTGAAAAACATTAAATATCACTTAAAATGAAAAGCAGAGAAAGACCCACATCTCCATTCTGACATGACGCTTTGAAAATGCTGAGGTTTAGAGAGGGAACTGAGTGTAGGAACACAGGGCTGAATGTGGAGGGGGAGCTGCAGCAGCACAACCTTCCCACTACATGTCTCAGGCCAAACTTGGCACTGGGTAATGCTGACCAGGATGGGGGAATCTCACTGGTGTATATGCCTGAGCCAAGGAAAATAAATCATAGAATCACAGAATCATAGGGTGGTTTGGGTTGGAAGAGACAGAATCACAGAATCACAGAATCATCTAGGTTGGAAAAGACCTTGAAGATCATCCAGTCCAACCATTAACCTAACACTGACAGTTCCCAACTACACCACATCCCTCAGCGCTATGTCAACCCGACTGTTGAACACCCCCAGGGATGGGGACTCCACCACCTCCCTGGGCAGCCCATTCCAACACCTAACAACCCCATCTGGAAAGAAATGCTTCCTAATATCCAGTCTAAACCTTCCCTGGTGAAACTTGAGGCCATTCCCTCTTGTCCTATCACTTGTTACTTGGTTAAAGAGCCTCATCCCCAGCTCTCTGCAACCTCCTTTCAGGGAGCTGTAGAGGGCGATGAGGTCTCCCCTCAGCCTCCTCTTCTCCAGACTAAACACCCCCAGTTCCCTCAGCCACTCCCCGTACGACCTGTGCTCCAGACCCTGCACCAGCTTCGTTGCCCTTCTCTGGACATGCTCGAGTCATTCAATGTCCTTTTTGTAGTGAGGGGCCCAAAAATGAACACAGGAATCAAGGTGCAGCCTCACCAGTGCCCAGTACAAGGGTCAGATCCCTTCCCTGTCCCTGCTGGCCACGCTATTGCTGACACAAGCCAGGATGCCATTGGCCTTCTTGGCCCCCTGGGCACACTGCTGGCTCCTGTTCAGCCGGCTGTCAATCACACCCCCAGGTCCCTCTCTGACTGGCAGCCCTCCAGCCACTCCTCCCCAAGCCTGTAGCGCTGCTGGGGGTTGTTGTGGCCCAAGGGCAGCCCCCGGCATTTGGCCTTATGGAAACTCCTCCAGTTGGCCTCAGCCCGTGGCTCCAGCCTGTCCAGGTCTCTCTGCAGAGCCTCCCTGCCCTCGAGCAGATCAACACTCCCACCCAACCTGGGGTCATCTGCAAACTGACTGAGGGTGCACTCGATCCCCTCGTCTAGATCATCAATAAAGATGTTAAACAGGAGCGGCCCCAACACCCAGCCCTGGGGGACACCACTCGTGACCGGCCGCCAACTGGATTTAACTCCATTCACCACAACTCTTTGGGCCCGGCCATCCAGACAGTTTTTTACCCAGCAAAGCGTGTGCTCATCCAAGCCTCGAGCAGCCAGTTTCGCCAGGAGAATGCTGTGGGAAACGGTGTCAAAGGCCTTACTAAAGTCAGGGTAAACAACATCCACAGCCTTTCCCTCATCCAATAAGCAGGTCGCCCTGTCATAGAAGGAGATCAGGTTCGTCAGGCAGGACCTGCCTTTCATAAACCCATGCTGACTGGGCCTGATCACCTGGTTGTCCATTATATGACTTTTAATGGCACTCGAGATGACCTGCTCCATGACCTTCCCTGGCACTGAGGTCAGACTGACAGGTCTATAGTATCCTGGATTGCCCTTTCTTGTAGCTGGGTGTCACATTTGCCACCTTCCAGTCCAACAGGACCTCCCCATAATGGGACCTTAAAGATCCCCTAGTTCCAACCCCCCTGCCATGGGCAGGGACACCTTCCACTAGACCAGGTTGCTCAAAGCCCCGTCCAGCCTGGCCTGAACACTGCCAGGGAGGGGCAGCCACAGCTTCTCTGGGCAACCTGTTCCAGTGCCTCACCACCCTGATAGTGAAGAATTTCTTCCTTGCATCTAATCTAAATCCACCCTCTTTCAGTTTAAAACTGTTACCCCTTGACCTATCACTACATACCATTGTAAAAAATCCCTCTCCAGCTTTCCTGTAGCCCCTTTTAAGTACTGGAAGGCCGCTATAAGGTCTCCCCAAAGCCTTCTCTTCTCCAGGCTGAATAACCCCAACTCTCTAGTCTGTCTTCATAGAAGAGGTGCTCCAGACCTCTAATCATATTCAAAGCCTCCTCTGGACTTGATCCAACAGGTCCATGTGCTCCTTATGTTGGGGGCACCAGAGCCGAACACAGTGCTCTAGGTGTGGTCTCACAGGAGTCAAGCAGAGGGGGAGAATCACCTCCTTCAACCTGCCGGTCAAACTTCTCCTGAAGCAGCCCAGGATACGATTGGTTTTATGGGCTGTGAACGCACATCATCAGGTCATGGCAAACTTCTCATCAACCAACACCCCCAACTCCTTCTCTGCAGGGCTGCTCTCAATAAATTTCCACCCAGCCTGTATTTGTGCTTGGGATTGCCTTGACACATGTGCAGGAACTTGCATTTGGCCTTGCTGAACTTCATGAGGTTTGCAGGGACCCACCTCTCCAGTCTGTCCAGGTAACTCTGGATGGCACATCCCTCCCCTCTGTCGTATTGACCACGCCACACAGCTTGGTGTCATCAGCAAACTTGCTGAGGGTGCACTCAGTCCCACTGTCCATGTCACCAACAAAGATGTTAAACAGCACCAGCCCCAACACCAACTCCTAAGGAACGCCACTCGTCACTGATCTCCACTTGGACATTGAGCTGTTGGCTGCAACTCTTTGAGTGCAACCATCCAGCCAATTTCTTATCCACCGAGTGGTCCATCCATCAAATCCATGTATCTGCAATTTAGAGACAAGCACGTTGTGTGGGACAGGGTCAAAAGCTTTGCAGAAGTCCAGTTCAATGATGTCAGTTGCTCTTCCCTTGTCCACCAGCACTGTAACCCTGTCATAAAAGGCTACCAGATTCGTTCAGGCATGATTTGCCCTTGGTGAAGCCATGTTGGCTGTTACCAATCACCTCCTAATTCTCTATGTGCTTTAGCATAGTTTCCAGGAGGATCTTCTCCATGATTTTGCCAGGCACGGAGGTGAATCTGACTGGGATGTAGTTCCCCAGGTCTTCCTTTTCAAAAATCGGGATTACATTTTCCCTTTTCCAGTCAGTGGGAACTTCACTGGACTCCCACAACTTCTCAATTATGATGGATAGTGCTTAGCAACTTCATCTGCTCATTCTCCCAGGACCCATGGATGCATCTCATCGAGTCCCATGGACTTCTGCACCTTCAGGTTAATTAGATGGTCTCAAACCTCATCTTCTACAGTGGGTGGTTCTTCATTCTCCCGGTCACTGCCTTTGCCTTCTGTGACTTCTGGAACCCTTGACGGTGAAGTCTGAGGCAAAAAAGTTGTTGAGTATCTCAGCCTTCTCCATATTCTGGGTAACCAGGTCTCCTATCTCTTTCTGGAGAGGGTTCACATTTTTCCTAGTCTTCCTTTTATCACCAATGTACCTGTAGAAGCTTTTCTTGTTGCCCTTGAACTCCCTGCCCAGATTTAATACTGTTAGAGATTTGGCCTTCCTAACCTGATCCCTGACTGCTCAGACAGTTTCTCTGTATTCCTTCCAGGCTACCTGTCCTTGCTTCTACTATCTGTAGGCTTCATTTTTGTGTTTGTGTTTGTCCAAGATCTCCTTGTTCATCCTGGTGGTTTTGCATGACTTCCTCTTTGTTGGGATGCATTGTTCCTGAGCTTGGAGGAGGTGATTCTTGAATAATAACCAGCTTTCTTGGGTCCTTTTTTCCTCCAGAGATTTATCCCATGTTACTCTGCCGAGCAGATCCTTCAGGAGGCCAAAATCTGCTCTCCTGAAGTCCTGGGCAGTGAGTTTGCTGTGCATCCTCCTCACTGCCCTAAGGATCTGGAACTCCACCATTTCATGGTCACTGAAGCCAAGGCTGCCATTGAGCTTCACATTCACCACCAGCCCCTCCTTGCTGGTGAGAACAAGGTTCAGCAGAGCACCTCTCCCTGTTGGCTCCTCTATCACTTGGAGAAGGAAGTTATCATCAACATGTTCCAGGAACCTCCTGAATTTCTTATGCCCTGCTGTGTTGTCCCTCCAACAGATATTGGGGTAGTTAAAGTGTCCTCATGAGGACTGGGGCTTCTGAACATGAGGCTGCTCTTATTTGTCTATGGAGGACCTCATCTGCCTGGTCTTGCTGGTTGGGTGGCAGCAACAGACCCCACAATAATGTCACCTGTGCCTGCCCTCTCTTTAATCCTGACCCATAATCTCTTGGTCAGCTCCCCATGCATGCCTAGGCAGAGCTCCATGCACTCCAGCTGGTCACTGACATAAATGGATTTGCCCTTTTCTCTCTCCTAAATTAGTCTTTACAGTTTGTTTTTCTCCCACCAGTTTCAGTCTGCAGTGCTCCAGTTGCATAATATGCTACTAGAAGATGACTAGCAAAGCTCATTCTGCATCGTGGGACAGCTGAGGGTGATCTCCTGACCTTGGCTGGTATCACAGAGATGCCTTGGCTTACATCAGAAAAATGGTTCACTAATTGCTGGCCTAGCTTGTTACTGCTCATGAAAACTCCTGTCATGTTGCTTCACTAATGTACAACAGTCTCATCCGGTACATCTCATTTCTTGGACGTGGAATTTATATATAACTCTTTTCCCTGACAAACCTCCCTCCCCATCATTAACCTCTGTGTGCTTCCCTGAGCAACACAACATTCAGAGAAATGCCATTATAGTGATGTTATGGCACTTGAACAAGTTGCTTATGAATAAAGCAGCTGGCTGTGGAAAAGCATGCTTCAGCATACTCATCTCTGCTGATAGGTCTAATTTTGACTTTACAAAATCATTAATCCAGAGTCATATATCCTAAGAGGCATAGTATAGATTAGGGCCCAGCTTCTCTGTGGAACCTGTGTGAAATTTACCTTGCCAGAACTGTCATTAACGTATACTTAATGAAATGGAAAGATAAAGGAATATTGGTATAAATCAAAACTCCTACACTTCTATACTCCTTCTGTTGCCACTTCATGTAAGGTCTATATTGGTCCTGAATAAGCATTGCTGCTTAGGCTGGCTGGATGATTTATGGAGCCTGTTTCTCATCAGGTAAATAAAATCCTATGGGTTTGGGAATGCCTATCTGGTGTTTCAGAAGAGTGCCAACTTCTTGGGCTTCATCCAGAATTATACTCTAGGATTTTGATGAAGCAACCCCACTTTTTTGGATAAGCTGAGCTAAATTGTCAGGTTCTCCCTTGCTTAAGAAGAGCAATGAGAAAGACCTAGGTAAGATACCAAGCTGTGGGAACCAGGGTTGCCAGCTGCCTGTTACAAAACACACAAGATGGGACACATCAGTCTCCTCCAAACACTGCCATCCCAAAGCCTTTGCCTTTGGTCTCCACGCAAATTTAATTAAAAGTCACACATGATAATTTTGTGTATGTAGAAAAATGAATGCATATGCGTATGCATGTATGTAGGAATAAAGTATACTACTGTGTACTGATAGATGGACATTTTATGTAGGTCATTTCAGTAAGGAAATCACAATTCCTTTCTGAAATACATGTAGTGTGTTCAGTAGGCTGCCTCTAGGCTGCTGTGTGCTAACAATTTGTGGCTGTTTTCCTTAGTTCAGATAATGATTTCTAATATTACAGTTGCTAGCATTTAGGCTCCAGATGTGGTTTGTTACAGAGCAGGAACCCTGTACACCTCTGCTGTCATCACCATAAGGAACCATAAGGCCAACTCCATGGTAAACGTGGTCTGATCCAGGCATTGCTACCCAAAGCAGAACAAGGCAAATGCTGCAACAACACAACAGTGTTGTTTGAAATAGACCAGTCCTTTCAGTTCCATCAAGACCACTTTTCAAAGAACTGTAACTCTGACATATATTGTCCTGTTTTGTAAATACTGATCTCAGACAGTGCTTCCCCTATTTTGAATTTTGAAGCGTATTTTCCCCCTTTTGTGATGGAAGCAAATTTATACTTAAATTCCAATTTTTCTACATCATCTTCTCTTTGAGCTGTAAAAGGAGGTTCTAGCAAAGGAGCCAGGAAAGTGGATCCTGCTGTCCACTCACTCTGTCAGCTAAAACGGCAGCTGCTGTGGAATACTATTGGTCCTCGGGCTAGTTTCTGGTATTTCTCACAAGTTTTTAAAGTAGGAGTGTTGCAAATGAAAGACATGATTCATTGTTTTGCAGACTTCTTTTTACAGCCCATGTCTTTCCATCCAGTTCCCTTTTACCCTCTTGCGATTAGCGAAGTAGGTACGGGACTGACAATCTAGTTCTGGTGTGACACTTTCAAGAGTGTTGCCCATCACATAAAGACAATGCATTTTAACACAACCCAACCTTCAGAAGATTAAGAAAATATAGGAAAAAAACCTCTATCTCAAACAGATGACAGTACCTCTGAGTAATGTGGTGAGAGATATTTTCCATTGTGTTTTGCAATGTTGTGCATGATTTTTAATGCCTTCTCTCCCTTTTTACGTGTCAGGAGCCAACGAGGAGATTCAGGAACCACCCTGTAAGAATACAGAAGTCATAAATAGGGGGTTTGCCCTTTAACATCATAAATAACCCAAACTCATTTGCCCTTTGCCTGTGCTAACAAACACCACACTGATTCTTCAGTCTTAGGGATATAGAAACTCTTTTGTGGACTGCTTTTCCAGTCAGACTCCTGTAAAATATCTGATCCTTGTGGCCAAGAAAGAAGAAAGTAGACTATATCAATGCTCTGCAAAGCTAAAAAATAATAAATAATCTAAATAAGTTGTATTTGCACAATGGTTGTCAAAAGTATGATAACCACCAAGCAAACAAGGTGCCTGTAGAACAGCAAAGAACAATGAAAGTCAACAGTAAATACATGTAGTACCAAGTACAGGCAGATCAGGAAACTTCTAGCTGTATCATTATATGACAGACACACACACACACAAATGTACACAAATTTTATAAACTGAACACAAAGCTATACTAACTGATTGCTGTTTCAGCTTCTGCTAGCCTAGGGTTAAGATGATTCACCGTTTAAAAGTTCACAGCAGGCAGTGCTTAAGAAAGCAATGTACAGGAAGAGGGTATGTGGATTAGTTTCTTTGGATCCAGCTGACGGGCTGGCTGCACTCCACTGGGACAGAGGTTCACCATGGCATGGTGCTCTGCTTTCTCATCACCTGTACTGCCCAACTCATGCGACCTGTAAGGCAAGCTCAGCTTAAACTGAGTACATAATTAGAGGTAAAGGTGGGGTCCCATGTCTGATGGCAATAGCAGACTTTGGTCAAGTTAGCCAGATAAACAGCCCTAGGCTAAGCAGGAGAAAAGCAGGGTTTTGTGAAGGGCCAGCTGTGGCTGATGCAAGAGGCAAAACCTGGGCAGAAAAAGGAAGTAATGTATGTCTGCGATTCACTAATTAAAAATGCCAAAATCAATAATATGCAGATATCTTCTTCCTAACCTACAACATCTTGCACACTGAAGACTTAGGACTACAGCAGGACTCTTAAAGTGCTCCGAATATCAATAGCAATAATGACAAGAGCAATGACTGCAATGTTACCAGTAGTAGAGCAGGAAGAGGAAGTTGGGCAGTGAAATGGCCAGCTGGATCCCCTGCCAAGTGGGAACCAAATACGCAATTCCAGGGAGGATCATAATTCCCAGGGTGAAGAATATCTGAATCACAATCCCAACAATCCGCTGGTCAGAACCAACCATCTCTGTCACTGATCAGAGAGAAAGCCAAAATAAACAACACAGAAACAAACCTAACTGGGAAGAAAAATATTAGTGGTAGAACATAAAGAAGGATAGTACTGTATTAGGTTACAAACCTCTCTTGCCTTTGTCAGTGTAAGCATGACACCACTGGACAGTCTCGGCAAGCATGGGTGACACTCCCTCATCAATTCACCCACCATTCTTCAACTAGAGGGGTATCTGACTGCATGCTTACTAATGAAATAAATAGGGCCAAACCAGCAGTTTGAGACTGCAACATGATCACGTTTTGTGGTGAATTGCTAGCACTCTCCCTGGAACAGTTTTGGTCCATGCTACAGACTAGAAGATCCTCCAGGTGGGGACTGCTCCCAGGTGGCAATGGACAAGGCATATGTGGGGAAGAGAGTTTAGCCATGCCATGCTGGTTGCTCTGAGGGCTCAAGTATGGTCCACAGTTTGTTTTATTTACTAGAACAAACATAGCCTTTGGTGGGTTTTTTAATCCTTTGGAGGAATTCTTATTTTGTGAACATGTCTAATTGCTTCTGAAACACATGTAAGCCCATATTTCAGGCAATATCCTATGCCATGAGATCCACAGTTGAGATGAGCAATGCATGAAGAAATGACTCTTGTTTGTTTCAAAACTGTCACTACTACGTAGCCTTCAGAGTAAAAGCAGAGGACTTCACCTTGGTTTATAATACACAGAAAACACTTTTTTTTCTTATCTTTTACTAAAGGAGACAAATTTTACAAGTAGCAGTGATTCATTTCATTTAGCAATGTAGTAAGGTATGACACCATTACTGGATTTATTGACTGTTCATCATCTCTGCATGGCTCAGGGGCAACTCTGTTGCCTAAAGGGAGCTGCTTAGCACTGCTCCGGGTAGAGCTGGGTTATATGTAAAAGAAAAGAGATGTTCCTGGGGCAGCCTGTTGTAGATCTGAAGCATGGATCTGTAGCTTGGAAAATGTATTAATGGCAACCATCCTCTTAGTGCAACCAAACCAATGATCTGTATATGCCTTTTAGAAGATGTTAGGTTGGTAAATATTCTGGGTGATCGTGCGACATAAGAGTAGAAGATTAGTAAAGGAAGCACTCTCTCCAATAATTAAGCACCTTGCTTAGGGCTGCAGTGATATGCAGTCTTTCAGGATGCTATATCTATAAACCTTTCTCTAAAGCCCGGCAGTCTGATCTGAGCAATGCAAAACATTCCTTTCTGTTAAAACTTGGCCATTTTAAGGAAGCCACAGCCTGTCAAAAAACATTTTGCTGGTTAGAGCACCTGCCAAAGTTTTAGGAAAAGGTCTGTTTAAAATTAGGCCATGTGCTTGCAAGTGAGGGGAAAAGCAACTTCTGGCCCTTTCACTGGATCTTGTACCCGAGCTGCTCAGCGTTGTAACTTTGTCCAGAAAACTGATGTGCTTCTAGGCTTCAGCTGCTGAGAGGGTTAGAAAGCTATGTTTGTGCATACATCACCACAGTGTTCCCAGGTCTCACTGTAACTGTTTACGTCTGGTTGCAATTCTGCTCTCACTTGTACAAATTGTATAAATTCCGCTAAGAATTAAAAAAAAAAAAAAAAGTCACAGGCCTCATAGTCTATAGTGATGGTACAAATTTTTGCACTATATAATGATGTTATCACTGTGTTTTGGATTATCACAGTAGATTGCTGAATGGCTGATATTATTTTAAAGTATAAAATCTAGTAGGATGCTTTCCTCAATGTCTTGCTATTTCATGCTCTAGAGAGGAGTTTCCCTTTCTGAACATGGCAGTCATTCAAGATGCCACAATACCCTTTTCTCATTAAAAGTAAGCTTGCTATGCGAGGAGCTTCATTGCTGGGCCATGACTATAATCTATCAAAGAATCTATCAAATCCCTGCTGTTTTGATGCTATTTATAAAAAAGCTTCCCTTCATTTTCCCTTTTCAGGAAATAATAATCCTAATATGCACCCTGGCACTAAGCAAAGACTCCCAGCTAAAGAATGAAGAGCAACCATCCAAGTGTCTGTCCTCCCAATGAGGAAAAGCAGTTAATTCCTCTGGGCATGTGCGGAAGACATTCAGACTCTGCCAAAATTAACCATGTCCCTGTTTGTGTATCTGGTTTATTTGGGGATTGCTCTGTAGATTTTTATCATCTTGGTGATCTTTTATGTAATAAGAAAACCTTTATAAATACATATTCTACTCTGCCACCTCTTAATTATTTATGTGAATCACAGCCATAAAAGTCCTCAAATAACATCAACAGAAAGTGTTGCATTGCTGCTGAATTGCCTACGGCCAGCTGCTCACAAGCATATTCAACTACCACAGAGGTGAGTAGAAAAGGAGCGCTTGGACAGTTCTGAAGGACATGTCACTCTTGTTAGTCTGCTCTCGTGCATTATTTCTTCTTCACTCTTCTCCCTGGAATCCTACCGGGTTAGGCCTGTACATTGCTGCGCATTTCCATCCTATATCAGTATTGAATATCAGACAGAGTTTGCACTTGCTGCCATTCTCAGAGGCCACCTCTGTACCAGTAAATTAGCAGACATCACCAGGTAAGGAAACACTATACTGTTTAGCTGCTAGAAAGGTCCCTCGTATTGTCTGGACAAAGGCGAGTGATTGCTTCTCCAACCATTCAATTCAGACATGAGCCCAGACCATGAATGATGCCAAGTTATAATCTGCATGCAGGTACCTTGTCTTAGAGAACAACGCAATAACTAGGGATGGACTTGCGTTATTAACTGTCCGCTGACTCCAGGGCCAGTGCTTTGTTCCCAAGAAAAAGTATTATCAAAAGCAGGTGTAGCCAGACTTCCTGTCCTCCAAAAATCCCTCACTTTTCCTAACCAGGAAAGAAATAAGATAACAGCTCTCACCAATCACATAGCATGTCATCCAGGTTCCCTTGCCAAACATGCCTTGGAGAAAACGGAAGATCAAAAATACAGTAAAGTTTGGTGCGAATGCCACTATGATACCACATATCCCAACCCCGAGACAGGAGAGCAGGTAGATGAGGATTCTGCCATATCTGTTGAAAAGGGAAAAGAAATTGAAAATCATGGAAAGACACAAAGAATTATTTTTTTTACAGTCATTTTAATGCTAGATCTGAAAGTGCCTTTTTGAGACCAGCGTTGCTCCAAATGGAGTCTGCCTGAAACTCTGTACTCTTGACCCTTGGGATATGGGACCCTTTTCCCTGCGGTAGTTATCGCTGCCTTTGTGGCACTAATTTTAAAACTGGTGATGTCCTCACCAGGCCCCCTTTTATTTTAGAAAACAGTTTGTATCTAAATTATAGCACATACGTTACAGTTCAGATTTTTGATTCAGCTGAAATAAAGGCAACTTTTGTTGGGGATTTCTGTTTCCACATATTAGTCTCCTAATAATAATTACAACCAGCTCTGTGAAAGCAAGTGATTTCTTCTTTAATTACTTTATGTGATTTTCCAGTGTTTTTTTTAGGTTTAGACCACTTGTTTTCGAAGTTTGCCTAATGTATTCATGAGTTTCATTTTCCAGCAAAACCCATCATTATTAATAGGTATGCCCAAAATAAGCCATAACAAAAAAATCGCAACAAAACCTCCCTGTAGTTTCATGGCAGCTTTGTCCTTGGAACACAGCTAGAATTTCCATTTTGATTTCTTCTCCATTGTTATTGTTATTTTAAGAAGAAACTGTGAAAACTGATGTAGCTGTTTATCTTATCAAAAAGCATTTGAGAGAATATTTGTTCTATTTTGTTCAAAAGGTTTCATGAGAAGAATTTATATGGGACAACAATCAAGGTATTTTCAACCAGGTCCATTGTTTTGAGTGCTGTCAAGGAGACAAGAATCAAATGATCTGGCTGCAGCACATTCTCCCAGTGCTATCAATGTACAGCATTCATAGTTGTATGGTAGTTACATTATGCTTAACACACTAGTACCCCTAGACATATTATTTTATTTTAATAATTAGCTGTAATATCTTTACTCTTACACAGTCTTAAGGTGCTAGTATCACAACTGCCCAGGCAGACACTGAGCAGCGATATCTTAAGCTAGTCCGTGCCATGGCATCCTTTTCACTTTACTTCTTCCCTTATTACTATATTCCTTGGACAGATGAGGTTATCCTTGAAAGTACTTTTGTTTTCTAGTTCCACATTTGTTACCTGAGATGACATTCCAGATAATTCTGTAAGTATCCTTGCCTACAAAGAAATTGTTCTTTAAGTTACTACTACTATTATTACAGATACCAAACCAAACCAAAACAGGCAGAAAGAATTTTATGAACTGAAGAAATATGTTCTGCCATCGAAAACATCAGTGGTTCTCTCAGCCAATGCATAGGTTGACTACTGTTTATTATCAACACAAATCACAAACCACGCTCCCTCCTTTACTCTAAGAGCAAGGTAGAGCTAATGGGAACTCCCTGCTACGGGGCACGTCAGCTGCCTAAGCCTGAATATCACCCACATATTTTCCTTGATATTCATTCAGCTCTAACAGAGTTGAGGACTGGCTGGAGGGACCTATGACCTCAGTGGTAAACATATGAGTCCAGCCTGTGAATGTAGAGAGTTACCATACTGAGTCCCCTTCCTTCTTTCCTCAAGTAGCTGTTTTCTTCTTCACTGGTGTCTATTAAACATCCTCCAGTAAACACCAGTCCAGAAAACTTCTCTGAATGCTTCCTTTTCATTTCTGTGTCCTTCTGCCCTTCCTGAGTCCAGATGTGCACAGAAAACATCAGAAACAGCAAGAAAAGCTCTTTTCATGACATTTTAAAGTCCAAACAGGATCATTAAGTATGATCATGTGAAGTTTCCAGACCAAAAGGAAGTGAACATTACATTGGCTGGGTTTTGTTAACCCAGGCTGGGGATGCTTATCCAAAGTGAATTAAACCCCCAGAGTGCTGACGCATGCTTACTGCAGGTGACACTAGAGGTGTTTTCACCTCCGAACAAATCAAAGTACAGCAGTGCTTATACAGTACCTGTCTGCAGCATAGCCGAGGGTGAACGCACCAGCCAGAAACCCCAGATTGAGGATAGCCTGTGAGAGGTCCAGCATCCAGGCGTTGCCACACACAAGGTTATACTGCAGGAACAAGGGAGAGGCATAAACACTCCAGGTGGGTCATTCATCATCCTCAGGGCAAAATATTATAGAGACTGCTTCGGGTCAGGTGGGAAGAGGAAGAGGAAGTTCAAATATGCTTGTTCAACAGCAAGCACCACTGGGGCCAGGGAAGCACAGCCATAGCAAGCGCTCTTCAAGCTATTGTGAACATTGAAGGAGAGATACTCTTTGCCAAAAGGATGCTGTCTTTCATACATTAGTTGTCCAGATATGGAAAGCAAATTGCTCTTTTGCAAACCAAACAAATGCTGTTAAATGTGTTGCCAAGGCAAAGCCATGACTTTGTTTAGTGCAGAATAAGGGTGCACAGCTATAGCCAATGAAAACATCAGCTCATAGAAATGGTTTGATTATTTTTCTTAGTGCCTTCTAGATAAAAGCAAAAACATGTCTCTGAGGAAACGGAAAACAGATCTCAGATCAATTTCAAACACATTCAATATGTATTTTCTTGGTGTAGCTTTCCCAGACTTTTCCATTCCTTATACTGCAGTAGCCGCAAGTCCCTAACATGACGTTACATTGGTGCATATCTGAAGAATTCATTAACAGGGATGGGGACAGGGAGTGGGTGAGAGGAAGGAAGACGAAGAGACTAGGAATGAAAACTAAAATGTAACTAAAGTAGTCATTCAGACAGCATGCCACTGGAAATTACTTTAGAGGTTCTTTGAGAATAAAGAAATACCAATCAAGTTCTGAAAACCCTATTGGAGTTGGGAGGTTTCGATCCAAACCTGTGGTAACCTTAGGAACAATTCAGCTTCAGGAGCAAGGGAAGCCACAGACAAACACAGCTGCCACTGTTTACCCTAGAGAGACTGTTTTGCTTTCAGGCATGAGCTGCAAGGAATCTTTTCATTGCTAACAAGGTGCTGGTTGCTGAAGCACACACAGTGTGTCACATTTGTGCTCACCAGCACATGTATCATAATACCAGTGTTCAAACACTGTGATTGGATGGGGTGGCCACAGGGTGGGTTGGAAAGAAGATTAACAGCCTCTTCTGACACTCACAATTCTCCAGACTCTGAAATTCAGTATCGCGAGCCTGACCTCCATCTTGGCCCATTTGCATGCTGTAATGCCCCGTGAGTCTTGCCCAGGCCTGGGATTTCAGAGGTGCCTACACAGGAGATACAGAGAGCCCCCAGACTTCGATTTTACTGAGCCTGAATCTGGACCCAAACATCTAAAGTAATACTCTTAAATGGTTAATTATGTACCTAAATAAGAAACCATTTTTTCTAATATTCTGAACTCCAGACAGGTGCCATTCACACTCATTTCTATGGGCTATTCTTCACTTTTTAAAAAAATCCTCAGTTTTGGTTCCAAATATACTATTAGCACTGCCACTGACAGTAACTACAGAAGAATCATTGTTGTTAGTTATGATGATTTTACTGAAAGTCCAGGATTTCAGTTTGTTTGTGTCTCTTTGTTTCTGGAAGCTGTAGGTATGAGAATTTTGTGACTGAGATATGCAGCTCCCAGCTCTCACAACTGTGAAGAAAAACTTGGCTAGTAGCCTCATACGTCCCCAACCTGATAGATATCCAACCCCCACTAACGTTAAACAAAGCCATGTTTTTGATGTCAACCCCATCACTCTGTGGAGCCTGACTGGCCACCTTTCAGTCAAGCCAGGCCATTAGCATCTGGCTTCTACTTCTGTAAATCTTGCAAGAGCTGCAGAAACCTCAGCTTCCTCTGAGAGGACTAAAACCTGCTCTCAGCTGTCATACTCAAGGGCTATTGCAATGCTTTCCTAAAATAGCCTGAACATGGAGCAGGACTTTCAGACTTCAAAAGCTGCTTAACCTCTTGCTTCTTAAGACTATGAAAACTTTGGCAAATAGTATCAAAAGATGCAAGTTTGGAAAACAGAGTTTTTAATGAGAATGATCATTGAAAGACTTTAGAAGGCAATGCAATTGACTGTGCTGATGGCAGAGATTGGGGCTCTCAGAGGAGCACCTGCAGCCAGCTATACAGGGCAATACATCTTATGGAAGGCTAAAACCCAGCTACAAGAAAGTATCAGCTTTGAAAACATGCGGCTGAAGTGTAACAGAAAAGGAAATAATCATGCAAAGAGACAGGCAGAGAGGGCAAGCAGGAAGAGTGGTGTCACATGAACCCAAGAAGAGTCTCTGACTTAGAGCTGTACTCAGCTAGATACCTCACAGAACACATCTGGTGCAGGTCCCCCAGTCAGGGCCCATGCTGGACATGCTGTCACTGCCATGTATGCACCATGGGGACAGCTGCTGGACCGTTACATGAACAGAGAGGTATATACATTGCCTTGGTCAGCAGGTCACTGGCATGTCTCCTCTGGCCAGCTTGGTCTGAATTTCAGGTGCAGGTAAGACATTCAGGAGCTGAATGTCACTGCTCAGTTGAGCTTTCGCATCACAGGTCTCCCAGGACCTCAAAGCACAGCACAGGTCTTTCACTCTCCTTGCCTGTCTCATACATAGCTGCACTCTTCCCTGTGGGTTTTTGGTCAGACCAGTGCCAGGAGGAGAGAACCCATGCTCTGCTGTGCAGATGACAGCTCTAGTGAGAGCTCAGAGCCCGATGTCACTGGCTGCTTTACAAAATGCTCTGTTATTTCATGCCATTTCCTGCTGGTGGCTTCAGAGCTGGCTGTGCTGCACTGGCTTTTCCCAGCCATTTACAGTGATGGAGTGTAACAAGGTCAGCTTCAACCTGCATCTGTGCTCCAGCTTTGAACACTGTTTAACATGAACCTTCGCACCATTATTTTCTGCTTCCAGCAGACACTTGTAGAGAGACCCTGGGAGTGCCATTCCCCAGAGAGGCACAGGGGATCCCTCATACCTCTCTCCTAGCATACCCCAGGAATAACTGAGAGATCTGAGCCCATGGTCTGCAGAGCGAGTCGTCTCCCAGAGAAAGTTAAGATAGCTCGGCACCTCACAAGCAGCTTGGCTTCATACAAGACCAAAGTCTTGGAGGGAAATATCAGACCAACTAACAGATCAGCAGTGAGGGCTTCATATAGGACCAAGTTTCAGAGCCCTTCACAGAATTCCTTATGTCAGAGAGAAAAACATCCTCTGACACTTGCAATTGCTCCTGAAGAAGATGGTTATGAGAGAAGACTTCCCCTAATAAGACAAAACAGCCTAGGAGAGAATGAGGAAGGGAGTAAGAGCATTATTATTTCATCAGAAACAGCAATAAACTAGTGCGAGAACAAAATTTAAAAGAACATGTAACAACAAGACTGTTAAAGCAATGTCAAAATGAGATGATGTTTACACGGACATAAAATCTGTAAATAAAAACATTGTAAATCACTTAAAATACACTTGCCCCTAATTTCAGTTGTTGATTTCGGAGATTAAGCCCCAGATTTCTAATATCTACAAACTGCATTGGGATTACAGCTCTCCCCAAACCAATGCATCAGGTTTCCCAAGACCCAGGAGGTAATCCCAGTAGTTCAGGCAACAGCAAAAGGAGCGCCGTCATCAGCAGAGCCCGAGGAGGAGAGACAAGCTTCCTGCCCTGCCATGGGACAGTGCCAGCCCAGGACCCACAGTGCTCCCAGGAAGGACACCTGCCCTTCGGGGAGCAGAGGGAAAGCTACAGAGCTACAAAGGTAGCTCCCAGGGTGGTGGTAGGTGACTGTGCCGGTCAGCACTGGAGCCATGCCCAGGCACACAGACAGCCGGAACAGAGCTGCCAAGAGGGACCAGCCCCAGTGCCTGCTGAAGGCACTGGCCTTATGGGTTTATACTTTTGGTCCTTTTTCAAAGGGTGTATTTATTTTTAAAATAATTTTATCCCTCTTTACTATAAACAGGCAGTGAATAAACTGTCATGAAAGAAGGCAGGAGAACAAACACATGCCAGAAAGATGAAGGGAAAAATATCTTTACTGGAGAGGACTCTTTCATCTGAACAGCAATTTCACATGATTTAGGCGGCAGCTGAAACTAGGTCTTGGCTAACAGCATAGTAAAATATTTTAAATATTCTGGGAAATAGGAAAATGCATAAAACTTCTAAGAAACTATGAGCTCTTTCTGAAGAGATTAGTGACAATATTAGTGACTAATTAGTGACAATAATAGTGAACATATTAGTGACTAATATGCTAACTGTACTCCCCTAAATTAATCCTGTGCTTTGTTATTTTCTACGTATTTAAATAACTTCTGGTACAGATAAGCATTCTCAGACCTTTTCTGTTTGCTTGACATATCACCTAGCATTTAAGTCTTCACCCATCTAATGTCTTGCTTTTCGTTTGCAAACATAACCTTTAGAGGGGAATGTAACCTTTAAAAGAGAATTGCACACCCTGCAGAGATCTTTTTTTGATCCAAGCCGCCTGTCAGATCCACATCACCACTTCAGCTGTGACCTGGTTTTGTTGTGCCTGATAGTTATCCCCATCTGCATCACTTCAAGGAAAAGCATCTGCATCTATTTACCCAGGATTTCAGTCTGTCTCCAGTTTGCCAGTAGTCCTACATGACACTCCCCCAAGGCATCTCCCACAACCCTTGTTGGCAGCCTCCACAAAAGGAACTGGAGTGGTGCCTCCTCTCTGTTTCTCAACAGTCATATATGCTCATCTATGCATGGGCTGGTGTTAACACTCCTACCACACAGGCTGCTCCTGTGCCCAGGCAGATGCGGTTCATGTTGTGAGGAGTTCACCAAACAGGAGCACTTCCATGCTAATATCCAATGGCATCGAGTAGCAGAAGAGCTATTCCATCTCCCACTGTCAGTAATAGGAGATACCATTCCCTGAAAGTACATGTTCTTCTCATAACATACCAAAAAAATCTCAGCATATGGTCTTTAAATGTCACAGACTACACTCCTGTGATCCCACTTGGTTTCCAAAATTGGTAACATTGAGAATCTAGGGCTCTCTATCTAGACCACAGCTGTCTGACTTTGGTTTT